GAGTAGGGCAAGATAAGGAATCCATTTTAAAAATCAATGCTTTGAGTTCTTGTTCTTCCTATTTAACTAAAAATAAGTAAAGCCATAGTAGAAAATTTCAGAGGAAGGGACCTTTTTCATAGAGTTATTTGAGATCTCCAGGTAAAATACTTTGTCACTACACAAGTAGATTATGATTAAGTGTTTCCCATTAAAGTTTGCTAAGCTTATTTGTCTAAAATTGAGTAATAAATGTCAGAAACCAAGTATTTAAAAGAGGTCATCAGTCTTGCATTGTAAAATGTATTGCTTTCATCTCTGCAGTTGCTACTTTACAGTTGCAATTCTGCTTTTCAGCATTAAATTCCCTACTCGTTTCAGTCAATTGCCATGGAAAGTAATTTAAACCATAATGTACAGAATGAAACCAAGCACAAACTTTTCTTCCTGTACTCAGCAGCCTTCATCCCATTGCAATTCTCTTTTGACTCCTTCTACATACTTAACTCACGTAAAGATGGAAGGAAAACACTGGAAAAGACATTACTTCTTGATATGTTTCATATCTTTACCACCATGTTGAATTGAAGCTGTTCAGGGCTGCAGCTACAGAAATTCTTCATTCACAAGAGAAAAGTGTATGGTAGGTTGACAAGTGCTCCATTATGTGGAGTGTGTACCATATACACTTGATTCACAGCTCTATCTAGTACTTTTTTGTGGGAAAGACAAGACAAAATCAAGGGTGACTACTTTACTTCTATGTTCAGCTATTCAGAATAGTGATTCTAAGTAATAGCAATTATGTTCTGTTATACTTTTCTTCCACTTTTTCATGTATAAGTTTTGAGAAGTAGAATAAAACCAACAGAAATGTGCAGGAATATATGCAAATTTTCCCCCCTAAATGTGGTACCTGCTAAAACAGAAGCAGCTGTTTTATCTGAATCTGAAAAACTGCATGTAAGAGGTAAATTACCACATGCACAAAAAATAAAATAAAATAAAATAAAATAAAATAAAATAAAATATGTAATGGACAACAATAACATAGCTTGGCTCTTATTTATGTAATTTATGTACAGCATCTTAAATCACTAAGTCAGTAGAGAGAAAAGCTCCTGGCTTTTCTGGTAGTTGGAGTACTGGTTCCAAAACAAGATAAAGAAAATTAAGACTCTTTAAAATTTTGTGTATGAAACACATTAGCAACATCCTGTTTTTACAGTGAAATTCTTCTTTTTTCTTTTTTTTTTTTTTAATTTGGCATCACGTAAGTTCCTAGAAATGTAATGAAAGTCAAAGAATCAAGTTGTAAAAAGTGGGATTAGAACATAGAGTCATTTGCCTGATGGTGATCAAATGAACACATTTACCTTATAAGAAAACCTCTTTAACATTATGATGGTGTATAGGTGCTATTAGATTACACTTACATTCATGAAGCTTTACACTCCCAGAGCAAGCAAAGCCTGATACTTTCTCTTTCTTGCAAGTATTTTTCCCATTTGTTTAATAATATACATCAATTCTTTATAATCTTTTCTACTTAGGTATTTTTGTCTGCAGAATTTTACATTTAGTTCAGTGAAACATGTAAAATATTATGACAATGGTAAAAAAATAGTCAAAAACCTGAAATTTATCAAAGTCAGGATGAACATTAAATTTTTATTTGACTAATGGAAGCACAGTAGGGAAAAAATGAGAGGAAAAGCCAATCAAGGCTGTCAGGCTAAGTTAAAGTAAATGAGGAGGAGTTTGATAATTTTCTCTTCACCCACCTAATTGGAGATCTATTAATATTCCATGTAACATATATTCATGTGACATTTCCGTATGACACAGCAAATCAGATCTGAGCAGCTCAGCTGGAGAGAGTCATAGGAAACAGGGTGGGAACCCCACTCAGCCACCCCTGTGTCCTGCCCTCGGATCTCCAGCAGAGATGTCCAGCAGAGCCCCCAGGTACCATGCAGCATTCTTGAAAGCCCCCCTCCAAACTACTCAATACCTCTCCTGTAATCTCAGTGTCCCCAGAGCTACCAAAAGCCCTCCCAGTGCCCCTCAATACTTCTCAGAGCCCCTCCAGTATTATACTGGAGTCCTGCAGTATTCCCAGAGCCCCCAGTACCCACCCTATGATGACTGCAGGGGCTAACGATGTAGAACATACCAGTTCAGCCATTATGATAAGAAACGGGGACAGAGGTGAGAGGGAGCTGAGCAAAAATACAGTTAAAGCAATCAGAAACAAAGTAGGAGGTAGAGACACAGGGCAGAGAGAAGGGTAGAAGTTGAGATGGGCTGAGGAATCATGGCTCATCCACAAGAGAAATGTGTACAACTAACCTAAGCAAGGGGAACAGTGGGGGAAAAGAGCCTGAGACGGAAACGTAGTAGAGAAATACACATACACATTTGAATAAATGGAAAAGTTCCCAGAAACAAGTCATTTCCTTCTGCATTTTTCAGATGGCACTCCGTAGGTGACCACCATAATATGCTGATAAGCACTGTAACTCTTGCAGAAGTCTTCCTCACATTCCTTGAATACGTAAGAGCTCTTGTTTTTTTGATTACTCTGGTTCAGATTCAAGGTGTGATGAATCCATTCACAAGCTTGTAAGAGAAATCACCATGTACATCTTCATAAATTACTTTTATTTTAAATACAAATGCATTCTATGCAATAGAGACAGAAGTCAGTCTTCTAGTTCCATCCTGTGTGACATTTTTATGAAACTGAGAGCAGGAAGTAAGTAATCTTTTATCAGGTCAAGTTAACAACTGCAATATATTAATGCTTGGATTTCCACTGAAGGATCTTAAGGTAGGTAATCTGCCATTATTATCTGCAGATAAGTAATACTAGCAAAAGAGGTACTGTGTCTTTTGAAGGTCATGCAATCAATCATTCAAAGAGTAGTCCGTTGCCAGGCCCAGGTATTACTCATAAAATTACACTTGCCTTTTTGAGCCTGGAAAATCATTTTCCTCCTTTATCCTCCCAAATCATTTTTTCTCCCTCTTTTTCTCTCTCTTTTTTCATTTTATCTTTTCTTACTTAACCTCTGTCTTTCTCTGATCCTATAAAAAGGAGAAAAGGCAAGAGTCGACAGGAACCAGCACAGTCAGACTCGTCTTTGTCCAGCACTGCCTTTTAATTTGTGGGAGAGAACCATAGGAGAGGTCACTTCATGCTGTGTATATTGCTGACATGCAGAGATGGGAAAAACAGACATACTCCTGATTTCCTGTGAGAATGACTTGCTAGAGCAGGATGCTATTCCATTAATGAAGCAGCCACACGGTTCTAGGGCAGCCCAGCAACTTTTGGTGTAATATTTAAATCCTGCGTGCGTGGCAACATTTTTTGTCAGCTCTGCTAGTAATCTTGTTAAATTTATAGATGTGTTGGATCTTCAGGTTTTCAGTTTTTAAGTTACCAAAATAAAAAATAGATCAATCGTTCTCACTTATTTGTGAACGTCCTATTTTTGTCACAATTGCCTTATTTTAAATGTAAATGTCCTAGATTTTGTTTTCTAACCTGAAAAAGAGGTGTAACACAGAATATCCAACAATTAAAACTGTGCAAAATACACTTTAATGTTTCTGTACTCCTTCAGCTGTTACAACTTTGAATTCCCCAAATCAACATATGAAGCACATGAAAGGTTTGGTCTATTCTGCTTTACAGATCATTAAAATGCACTGCTGTTCCTAGGATAAGCTGTATTGCTGCTTGATAAATATTCATAAAAGTATGTGAATAAATGCAGTTCAACAGGGTTCTGTCATGAAATACCAACTATTTCTAAAAATCTCATCAGCTCTACTAAAATTGCCTTTATTTTTATGGTTTACTCAAAGAGCTTAAAAAAATCACTACTAATGGTTAAGCATTAGACACAGAATTCATAGAAGGTCTTATTATTGTATTTTAATTCCCTGTGGTAACAATAACGTTGCAGAAACTGGTAAATGCTGAAGCAAGAACAGAAAGGTCAAAAGCAGCATAGGGTATCCGCAAGGAGTGCGGCTCTGTGCCCTGCCTATGCTCATTGAGAAGTCAATGATGCAATACTTGGAAAGCACTGTTGGTTTTAGATTGGGTTCATATTGTTTGCATAAAACAAATTTAAGCAAGATGGAAGGATTAAAATATATTTTTTTATATCCTAAGGACTAAAATATAATTTGTTGTAGATAAGATAATCTTCATTGAAGATTTTATTTCAAAGCACCCAAAACAGGTACAGCAGGAGAGTAGCCAATGATAAATTGACCCTGCAGTAATCCTGACGTTGTATTTCGGTATTGAGCTGCTGTGATTTAGCCTGTGAATGTTGGTTGTTTAATCAGTTTGAAAAGCAGTTTTGTACTGGGATGGTTCTCCCAGAATACATTTGTAGGGATTTTAGCTCTTGATGTCATCAAATCAAGCATTTCTGCAAGGCTGTACCTGGCAATTCCGCTGGTTATGATCTAGACGCTTGAATCTTTTTTTTCTTTTTTTTTTTCCCCAGACGCACAGCTACTTTCAGGGCAATTTGCGTCTGCAACCAGCATGAAATGATGTAAGTGCAAACAGGTTGCGGTTCTGTTCATTAAACACCGCATACACCTAACAGAAGGGTTGCTATCAACCCGTCTCCTCTGGTTCTGTAAGAGCTGAAAAAAGCTGCAACTTTTTGAGAATTGGTCATGAAAATGATTGGTGTTTTCCAGTCCTCTCTGCTAGAGGCCCCTAAATTGCATCTCTAAGGTTATCCCTGGCCTTGTGTTGCACAGTGGTCAGGGCAGCCTGCCTCTGAGTCTCTCTGGGAACAGTAGCGGTCTCAGAGTTGTGCTAAGCACTTCGGCTTCTCCAGTTATAAAATCTGATGTGTAGAAAGCCTGAACTATGTTTCTGCCTCCCTCAGACACGGCCCGAGAGCCACCCGTAGGGAACAGCTTCGCTTTGGGGGAGGGGGGTGGGTTCTTTCTGCCGTTGGGGCCGGAGAACAGGCGAGGCGCACGACACAGGACGGGACAGGAGGGCAGCGGCCGCCTTTCTCCTGCCCAGGGCGGTGGGGACGGCCCGGGCATGCGCTCCCCTGGCCGCAGCTCCCAGGGGTGCGGGTGCCCGCCTGGGGTCCCCTTCCCGCAGCCCTCCCCGCCCAGGGCCGGCCGGTGCCTGAGGGGCGGGCGGTGAGTGACGGCGCCAGCGGGCGGGGAGCGACGAGGGAGCCGCGGGGCTGTCGAACGGGAGCACCAGGAAGGAGGGCGGCGGGGCCCGGGGTGAGGAAGGGCTGTGGTGTGCCTGCCCTGCGCCCGCAGCCTTGCCCCCGCTTCTCTTCTCCCCGGAGCTCGTCGGCGGGGCCGAGGACGCGACGCGTGCCGGGAACGTGCCGGAGCTGAGGCGGCGGCGGCTGACAGATGGAGCCCGACGGCGCGGTGAGGAGCGAGGCGGGCTCGGGCGGCCGCCCAGGCTGGGGGAGCCGCTCCGCCGAGGAGCAGGCAGCGGGGCCGGGCGCCGAGGGACCCGGCTCTGCACCCCGGGGCCTCGCCCGCAGGGATGGGGCTGCCCCCGCCCGGCTGCCGGCAGCCCCTTCCCGCCACAGCGCCGGTTGCGGCCTGCCGCCATTTTGCGCGCTGAGGTGGCTGCGGGCTGGTGGGGCAGCCCCCTGCCATCGCGTCTACACATAAACACTTGGAAAACCCGGCCCGCCCTGGATAGTTCACCTTCTGTGGAGTTCTCTTTTACGCCACAGGACGTGGCGGTCTAGGCAGTTCAGCCCTTCGGCTTTTCTCCTCAGCAGAAGGGTCAGAGATGCCGGTCGTCCCACTCGTTTTCTCTGTTGAACAGCCCCCCGGCGTTGCATTAAAACTCAGCCCCGTCGGGTGTCCCAATGCAGTTAAGGATGACCATGTTTTGAAGGCCTGTAGAGCCTTGATTACCAGTTGCTGATGTTACAGGATAGGTGTGGTAAAAAGAGGCGAGTCGGAGTTGGAAGGTGGGATTAATCACCAGGCCCATGTAGTATTTGGTTTTCTGACCATGGATGTAGTCAACATAAAAGTGAAAAACTTGATGCTGGCAAAGGAGCAATTGTCAAACACTGAAGACATAAAAGTACTGACAAATTTACACATGCACACTGTTCTAAACAAATCACATGATAAAAGTAGTTTAGAAACGCAAATAATCGTAACATTAAGTTAGCACGCAAATCCTTTTTGATCCTGTTTTCTTACTGCTACAGTGGCATTAAAGTGAGGAGAAATTGTTTGACTATCAGAACAAAGATTTTAAGATTTTCAAAGGTTAGGTTTTTCTTTACTCTCTTGGGAGTTCACAATTGGTGTGTTTTAATGCCTCATTTCTTCCATTTGGGTTCTTTGTATGTTTTTTTTTTCTTTGTATAAGACTTAAAACTCTTGAAATTTGTGTCGGAAAGTAAAATTTAGGAAGAAAAGGTAAGACTTCTGGATGTGGAGTCAAATGTTACGTCTTATTTTGTATTTAAATAGTTAAATTCTGATATTGGATTTGTGCAGATGATGGACTTGATGATCCTTAAGGGTCCCTTCCAACTCAGGATATTCTATGATTCTATGATTCTATGATATGTTGGTTCTGCACCTAATTATGAAACTAGAATGTTGTATTTCATGTAAGAGGTGAAAAAATAAACCTGTTCATACTTCAGAAGTTGTTCTTGACAGAAAATCTTCCATCTAAAAGCCTTTGGGTGTATGGGAATTATAATTGTTTCTGACATGTGAGTATTATGACCAGTACAGCTAAAACAAGATACAGAAAGAGTTTAGGGGAGCTTGCTCTGAGTCTTTGTACTAAAAACAGTTTGTGAAGAGAGAGAGGTTGACAGGCAGAAAGTGGTGTTATCCATACTACTACTGTTTACCAGAGACAGATGAGTTTAGTACGTAATAGATGACTAATTTTCAGTACATTATTAATTTTGTTTTAATGTCCCATCAGGGAAGACTAGTCTCAAATCATACCATGTGAGGCAGACTGTGCTCCATAACAAAGGGCTAAGGGTATTAAAGGGGATGTTTGTGTCCATGCGGTACAGGTGGTGATCCAGAGACTCTGAGGAAGAGTCATGTACGTGTGAGAGAAAGAGTGCAGTTTGAAGCTGTTGACTTAAAAGGTTGTTGCTATAAAAAGCATAAATTAAGGGGCTTCTAATTAATACAAATTCATCTCCAAAATAGAATAAATAACTTGGGATTCATACAGCAGAGTTCTCTGCACATGCACACACACACAAACAAAAGGATTTGTAGATTAGATCCTAAATGCCAATTTCTGTAAGGTATTTAAGTGTAAGTGAAATATCAGATTGTAGTTTATTTAGGATGCTATGGAATTGCTTAAAACTAAGCTTATATTTAAATACTTCATAGGGTTTCAGAATAAAAATAAATACGCTTAATGTTCAGCTGTTCAGCATTTGCTGTGCCTACCAAAAATTCTGTATTTTCTGTTTAGAATTTCTTCTCTTAGTAGCTTGTACTATGTAAGCTGTTGTAAATTTTTGATTTTTTTTTTCAATCAACAGGCTGCAAATCAGACACAAACAGAATCTTCACCTTCAACTCCCAACACTGTGTCACCAGTGCCATTAAATAATTCAACCGGTGCTCCAAGGTTTGGAACAGTTACTCCAAATCGCATCTTTGTAGGTGGAATTGATTTTAAGGTATATTTTTTTCCTAATTTTGTTCCTAAATGATGTTTTATAGCCTATAAAAAGCAATAAGAGAAGTATGTGTGTTTATTCAGGTGATAAATGCCTTTCACTATAAAGTTCAAATGAACAGCAGAGAATAAAGTTTTAAACCTTGATGTACCTACCTGTGCTACAAAGTTGCATAAACTTCTGTACCCAGCTGCTAGAAGCTTTTGCCATGCTGGTTCTTCAGATATTTTTTTTCAAAGGTAGCTTTTGTAATAAGCAGATACTATATAGTATGTAAATTTTAAATTAGTGTAATTAGTGTAACATTTAGTGTAATTTATTAAACTGTAAGCTCAGTGTTATAGCTTGCACACAGCAGTCGTCAGTATCTTTAGCTCCTCTAGCACTTTGAGATCATACAAAAGAAGGAGCTATGGCAACAGTATTCTTCATCTATTGCAGTCATTTTCTTAAAAGCAAGTATTTGTTTTAAAATATACATTAAAGCTTCTCTGGGCAATTTCCAGTATTGCTTTGAAGCTTTAAAATCCTTGTGCCTTTGCATACGCCATAAAAAAACTTCAAATATCAGAGAGTATCAGGCCATTCTTCAGCCATTTTGAACATTCACAGCAAGATATGCACCACACCTTAACAACAGCTACTGTCTTATTTCTTTCTTACCACTTTAGACAATGAGTTTGTCATTGACTTATGTGAAGCAGTTTTGGTCCACTTAGATGTTGTTTCCACCAACTTAAATGTTGTTCCCACCAACAGTATCTTCTATGCCTCGCTCCTCTTAGGCTGAGGACCTTTTAAGCATTGACTCAGATGAAGAGGAGGAAGAATGACAATGTATTCAGACTATCTTGGATAATAATACAAGAACTTCCAGGATCTCCTGACTCATTTGTCCAAGACAATTCCGATAGAGGTGCTCATAGTTCAAGAGAAGCTGTACAAGGCCTTCGGTGTATTTGGGCTTTAGCAAAAAGGCACAGTAACTATTTAGAGGCATTATATAGTAAGCAAATTACTAGGGCTGTAAAAAGATCTCAGTCTGTTCTGTCTTCACTGCAATTTAAAAGGTTAAAACATTTTTCCATATAACTTATCCGTATTCTTGTCAGTTGTCATTTATTGTACATTTTGAAAGGTTACGTGACTTTGGTTCAGTAACTGATTGGTCTGTTATGAATATTATTTAGCCTCAGTGGCAGAGGAATACAATGTGTTTGTATCTGGAAAGCAGAAGAAGATAGATTTTGTTTGGAAAGGAATGGGAGAGAATGAAACCTCTGTAGACTTTTCAGCTACCTTTCCATTCATTGTGACTCAGATACTAAGTAGAGTCTTATATTTATTTTGAAATCATAGGATATTTATGTGTTAGTCTCAGATTGCTCTTTGCTATGATTTCAGTAAAAACAACATTTGTTTTTTCAAGTTTGCTGGAAAAAAATATAAAGCTCTTTATTTAGCTATTTTTGTGAAAAATGGATGCTTGCACACACAGATAATTTGCTTTCCAGCAAGCTCTTTTATCATTTTATTGGACACTTCATTTGGTCTGTTGCCATAGCAGTGATTCCTATTTGTAAGAGGAAACATCTGGCTTCTTAAACTTGGACAAACAGTTGAATAATTGAAGTTACAGCTGTGTATCTTTTTGTCCAGTCTGAAGGGGTCTCTCTTCAATGGTGTCATCTTTGACATCCTGTAGGCTTACATTAGCCTTTCGTCAGAATCTGTCAACTGCCTTGGTCCTGTGAGGAGCATGGAAACATGAGTCCTGAAGGTGTCTCCAGCAAACTTACACATACCATGTTTATCCAGGTACTTGTAAACGGTACTGTGAATCTTAGAACAGGGTTTCTCTTTTGTTCTTTTTCAGTATACTACTCCACAGATAAATCTTTTATCTTAAATCTTTTATCTTTCATTAATCTTCTAGCTTTTGAAGCTTGCAGTGTTTTGTATACATCGTTCACGTCTTTTAGGTATTCAGTATAACTTTCTGCGCTGATCACAGTCTTAGGACTCTTAAACTGTTTTAATGTATTTTAGTCTTAAGCTACTTTATCATAGGTTCTTTTTCTCAATTTTGTGAAGCAGCTGAGCTGCACATAACGTGGAACTTTAAAGAAACAGTCTGCTAGAAATTGAAATGTTCTCCTAGAGATGTGAAGTTTTATCTGTACAGCTTCAGTTTCTAAGCAGTTAAGTTCTGGTGTTCATTGGAGAAAGTTTTAAGGGAAAGGCACATCTTAAAATCGGTCTTTTTTTTTTTTTCTCTTTGGGTTTTTCATCATTTAAGAATGTGAGAACACTTCAGCTTATATAAAATGGTTCTACAGCATATGCTATCAGTTGTTTGAATGGGTTTATTTTCCGACATGAACAGACTTTCATATTTCTACCTAAGTGCAAAACATGATCATCTATTCAGGAGAATGGCTCTGGATGCCACTCAGTAATTTATTAACCTTTCAGTGCTGCATAGTTGCTCAGGAACTGATGTGTTAATGGCAGAATGCTTGGAATAGTGAGGGAGGTAAGTCTTCCACCATCAATGCTCTCTGGTCTTAAAGTTTGCTGCAAACTACACTATTTCTTCTTGTAAAATACGTCTTCAGGGTAGAGTTATTCAAAAAGTGTTAACTTTCATAACTGGCAAGAATATGAAGCTATTAAATTACAGCTTTTGTTTCTTTGTTTTAAAATCTTTTGCCTTCTCAAACTCAGTTAAGCCTCTGATACACTAGGAGGAGATTTTTGCTAAATTGCATGCATACTCTTAAAAGCAACAGAAGTTATTTACTTAGAGGTAAAATAGCACTTCTTGTACACATCCTTAAAAATAATGATAACTATAGATGAATACAGAAATTACCTGAAGTGGATAAAAATCCATGTATATAAGCATGCTTCTTGACAGCATTAGGTATTGTATTAACAAAGGACTGTGCAGAATAAAACTTTCAGTTCTGAAATGTGGTGTTTAGGGCACCATATTTATTTATGTTAACACTGTTAAGAAAAACTAATTCATAGAAGGGAGACAAGTGTTCACATAGCTTAAGCGTGTGTATTTGCTAGGAATTTGTTTCCTCCATGTGTACTCGGATTAGAAGGGAACAGTACTTAGAGCATTTTTTATCAAAAGTTTCTTGCTTAGTTCATGCTGGGGAATACCCACAGTGTATGTGTATATGTGTGTGTATGTATGTGTATACATACATATATGTGTGTGTATGTATGTGTATACATACACACACATATATCCATATATATGTTATGAAAGCCAACACAGTCTGCTGTTGATGTTGAGAGCGTGATTTGTTTCATATTGTAAACAGTACTCTAATACATAATGTGTGTGTGTGTGTGTGTGTATAATCCCATATTGTTAACTGTCTTCAGTGACCACACCTGTAAAGGGATTGTTCTGTAAATCCAATAAAACATTTCAATATTTTAGTGGTTTTCTAGTGTTATTGCTGAATATGAAAAGGCAGTTATTAAATAGGGATGCTGTTCTCTTGCTTTGAGCCACATGTGCCTGCTTATTCTTTTGTCATTTAATCCAGCATTATAATTAGTTGGTGGCAAACTTTGTTCAAAGTATATCCTTTAAAAGTCTTATGGAAATATTCCTTAAATGACTACACAAATCAGCTTTTCTTTCTTTCTTTTTCTCTTTCTTTCTTTCTTCTTTTTTTTCTTCCTCTTAATTTATTTTACTAGACTAATGAAAATGACCTGAGGAAGTTTTTTGCTCAGTATGGCTGTGTGAGAGAGGTGAAGATAGTAAATGACAGAGCTGGAATATCAAAGGGGTTGGTATAGTAGAGTAAGCATGCTCTGTGTATTGAAAATATAACAGAAAGTTGCCTGACTACATTTTTCATACTGACTACAAATTTTCATAGCTCAGAACCTTATTAATACATGTAATTGGTGGCCCCAAATGTTCCATGTGTGCACAAATCTGCTTGTGTTCTCTAATATCAGAATATAAATGGCTTTGTGACTTGCATAACTCTAAAACCCTGTGGTCATTTTATTATAAGATGAAGCTGTGTATAGCAAGACAGAAAAATCATGATCCTTTCCGTTGTTTTTTAGTAATAATTTAATTAAATTACCCTTTTTTGGATTATCTGTTAAAAATACATAATTTCTATTGCTGAGTGCCAGTGTGGAAAGGAACCTGAGGATAGAGGAAGAGGTGAGATGTACCTCATTATGCTGGAGTACAGCACAAGAACGAGGATTATTTTGTGAAGATTTTTCAAACAAGAACACGGGACAAATCTGAGAATGAATCATGACTGCAGAAAAGGGAACTAAGACTAGAAGTCAGTAAAGAGAAAAATGCCAAAGAATAAATACAGAGAACAATTCAGACAGGGCAGTAAAGTACTTGTTTAAACATTTTGGTCTATGGTTTTAAAAATGTTTCCAAATTTGGTTAGAGAAAGCAATCTAGCAAAAGCTCATGGATTTTACAGTATGGCTGGTCAGAACCTCTATACTCACATAAGCATAGAAATGCTCAGAAAGTTTGGTATTTTGTATTGGAAGTTCTAATATGCTGGCTGGAATAACAGAGGCCTTCTCAGTATTTTCTGAAGTCTGAACTTGGGAAATGTTAGTAGGAGTTCTTTATAGAAAGCCTGTTTCATTTGTTGCAGCAGTTAAGTGATGTGGTGAAAGATATTATGTCGTGAAATGTGAGAATACTTCATCCTCAAGTGCACCACAAAACTTGTTTAATGTTAGTCATGTCAAGACTGACAGAATAATTCACAGGTAAACACCATCTGTGCATTGCTGATTTATCTGAGAACTCTATTTAATGTACTGGGCAGTGACTATGGAAGTGTGGAGCATTCACAGTTGTCACTGCCATTGATGGGAACTATGCTATGAAATACTGTATAATAATAATAAAAAAAAATCCAAAATGTCTCATCTTGGGTACTCATAGCAAGTGAGAGCTTCAAATCAAAATCTCGTTGTTAGAAAAAGAAGAAACTAAAGACATGCACTGTTTTAGGTTTTGCCTAGCTGTTTAGGTGAGCTCATTCACTGCACGTAAACAATAACATGACCACCTACTTAAACATATTAGAAAGACTAGAACAAGGATTATTATATTAACAAATGAAGATTACGGTTGGTACTGCAGTCTCATTTCTACATGGCTGATTTTTTTCTAGTAATTTACTTCCTAATGGTATTTCTACTGGATGTAAATTATTGATGTGGAATCTATGAAAATACGAACTTCAGAGACATAGCTGTCTTTTTGTTTAGGTATGGCTTCATTACTTTTGAAACTCAGGAAGATGCACAGAAGATACTACAAGAGGTAAGTAATACTTCCCATTATGATTCGCTCTTAAATAATTAGTTTCACATTAGTCTTTTCAGTTGGCTACTGTGGATTTGTAGATCTGTTAAGATTGGTCACTATGTCTTTATACCAATATCTTGTGGAACCAGGGAAAGGAGCTGCCACTTCCTAGTAGAACGTTTTACTTTGACATAGTGTTTACTTACTTATTCTACATTTGCTCCATAAGGACTGTTTTTCTAACGCATTCTGATTACTCTTTCTCCTTCACAATTGCTTTCTCTTGCTTTACTGGAAAATCCATTGCTGTCAAAATCTTGTGGAGAGTTGGGAAAGACAACTGCTTTCTTTTATTCTGGCATATTTGTCAGATTGTCAGAGCTGACGTAACTCTTTTCAGAAATAATTAAATTCACTTGAAGTCTTAAATGGTAGGTTTATTTTATGTCACATAATGGTTGCTTCTCTATTTAGCTGCATTACTATTTTGATATTCCCTCTAGAACCTCCCTTGAGACTGGGTTAACTGTTCAGCTGGATATTAGCTCTTCACTTCTTACTTCTTAAACATGTGTTCCATTTTCTGGATGGAATATATTGGGTAGGTCAGTTGGTTGGTATCCATACCTGTGAACATACTGAGAGATATGAAGCCTTGGATACTATTTACTTTTCTTCCTCTCCCTGCATAATGTCCTCTACCAAATGCAAAAATTAAAATATTAAAATACTTGGGCTTTGTTGAAAATTAATGTGCTCAAATTCAAAATAAAAGTTGGGACATTTTAAAAGAAATCTTTTGGGGTATTTTCAAAAAACACGGTCATGTGAAGACAAAAGAGTACACAGAGAGGAACACCTTTTTTTTTTTTTTCCCCCAGTTTTTATTGTTTTCTTTCTCTGAACTAGAACTCCAAGGGTACTTACTACCACCGTGAAAATGGTTTAGGATTTTTGCCTGTAACCAAAAGGCTATTCCACTGAAGTCTTAGTGGTGTTTCACTGAATGAGACTAATAGCTTTTTGTCTGCAGGAAGAACTTTACTGTAGATATCCTACAATATCCTACAATAACATCACCTTTTTCACTTCTGCATCCCACTGTTATTAATCTTAAGATCAATTAGGATATCTCTTTTTTTTTTTAGACATCTTTAGTGGAGTTTCCAAACTTTAATAATATATTACGATTTAAATGAACGATCTTTTATTTTATACTATTGGATTTCTTTGCATTTATATGGCGCTCTGATAGTCATTTGCATTTATTTTTGCATCCTACTTCAGAAATTTCTTTTTCTGTTTTGCAGTCTTTGAGTGTATTAAATTGAATTAGTCTGAAAAACAGACCGTGAGGAGTTTCACTGAAATCCTTTTTCTAGTCATATTTTATGGCATCTAATACTACCTCTTCCCATCTTTCTGTATTCATTTTTTCATCATCACATCTTTTCCTGTTAATTGAATTTTCTTTAGCATTGCATGTAACTTTTCATGTATTAAACACTCTGAAGATATTTGCACAGATTAAATATTTCTCTTAACTGAGGAAGTCATACATAAAAAAACAGCCTAAATTGTGACAGATCACATCGATGAAATAAATTGCATTGGGAAGGTTCATCTTCTGTTGTGCGTGGTAGATTGCAGTTTGACTGAAACTTGCATCAATTTTCAAGGAGTTGCTCAATGGTTAATAGGCTAGGTAGGTATGTTTGCAATAGGTAATACTTTTTTATGAACACCAAAATTAAGAAAAAAAAAGTTTTGCCTTTTCCTAACTTGCATAGGTGTTCAGTTATTTCACTAAGTAGGGCTCAAATGAAGACAGTATTTTCATTAATTAACTGTTGTCCATCTGTTGGATGTAATTTCTATTTCTGCCTATAATCTTTAAGAAGTAAACTATTACCTCTTTACTGGAAAAATTACAGCTTTGACACTGAAAAATTTGCACTGTCGTGTGGTGGTTTAGGAATTGTATAGCTATTGGGAAAAAAGCAGCTTTATTTGTCTGTACCTAGCACTTTATTTTAGTTCTTCTGCTATACTTTAGCCTTACTAGGATATCAGTTTTGATTTGCTTTTATGTTCTGTTGCCCAGGGTATAAGGAAGTTTTCAGACAGCCTCATATAAAATAAAAGCATGTTTATGTTCTGGGCTTATTACCTAGGATTAATTACTGCTGTCATCTTTTGTAAAATACATCATGATCACGAAAAAAATGAAATTTAATATCGGTATTTGCATATATATATGCATATATGTTGTATGAGGAGAAGGTATCTGTTACTCAAGAGGCTCCGTGAGGAGTAAGTAATATTAGAAATTACTAATAATTGCTTTTGTGTATGTGAAGTATAAGGATAAGATAAAAAAGGATCTAGTGTAGTTCTTGTTTTATAGAGAGGCACTGTAAATAAAAAGCAGTGGAGGGTGAAACCCTAAGTAGCTTGCCTGCCTCTTATTTTTGATTCTTGGGTCCTTAGATTTATGTAGAAAACAAAAATACTGAATGCCTTTTTTTTTTTTTCTTTAATTCTAGGCTAAAAAGCTTAGTTATAAGGATAAGAAGTTGAATATTGGTCCAGCAGTAAGAAAACAACAAATACGGATTCCTCGTATGTATTTTCACTTGCCTTTCTCTGTTATGTGTGTGTCACTACTCATTTTAGTTTCTAACCAAGATGTGCCTGGTCATGCATTGCATTAATGCTGTGGACAGAACAGACTCAGAGTAGTTAGCACTGGAAGTAAGTAGATGCTAGTGGAAATGTCCAGATTTGGAGTGTCTAGGATTGATAATCTTGAATTATTTTATCTCTTAATGTATTACTGGCTTGGAAAAGATTATTTATGTAGGGACAAGCTGAATGGAAATTTTTATCTCAATTGCCAGACACAACCTCAGGTCTAAACACTTAAAAGAAGGAATCTGTCCTCACAGATTATACAGCACAAAGCAGGTTTTGCTGGCTCACTGATTGGGTTGTCACTAATCATTTATTTATATTAGCAAAATCCATCAGAACCGTTGCACTTTGCTTTCTTCAGCAGACACCACATAGAGTGGGTGGTTTCAGTCTCCATTCAGTTATGCCATTTCTCTGCTGTGAAATGAAGACCTAGATGCTAGAGTTTCCTACTCTGACAAAGAACTATCTAGGCCAAACACTTGCATAAGAGGACTGTTGCTGAGCCACCTTTGTCAGATAACTAGTCTTTATCTTGGGCAAGTATGCTGTTAAGATGTTCTTCTGGGGGAGACCTTTCCATTGTACTGACTTCCTTCTAGAGAAGATGCCCTCCCCTTCTGCCAAGGACAGTTTTATTTCCATAATACATCAAAAAGGTTAAATCATAGCATTTAAGATGAGATCTGATTTTTTTTTTCGTATAGCCAGACATGCTATTTTGTTATTCCTCAGTAAAAGCTGTGTATCAGAGATGTAAAATACTTTACTTTAGGAATGCAGCAGCAAATTAAGTATACTTTTCTTCCATTTGAGAACAATAGTCAGAAGAATTTCAGTTGAATTCTAAAGTTTTCTTTATTTTTTATTGTCATTTTATTGATGAGAAACAGTTCATAAGTGCATTAGCACTGTTGTTGCATGCATACTTTCACTCAAGACAGGAAATTTCTTCTCCCTCCGTATGCATAGGTATGCCCTTCTCCCTTTTAAACTTGTAGGGTAGCATTTGCCCAGGGGAAATGGAATTCTTTATTCCAACTGCATAGTTTCTTTGCTTCAGAAATTATTCTGCATGGTCTTTGCTCAGCCATTGTTGAGGGTTTACATTTGTTTATATTTTTTTATTGTTGGTGGAGGGGTTTTTGTTTGTTTTTGTTGTGCTTTGTTTTCCTTTTAATCTTTGACTTGGACTTCATCAGTTGCACTGCCAGACTTCTGTTGCTTCCTTCTCCTGACTCTTGTGCTCAATGTGTCTAGATTCAAAGTGTGGTACAAGATGATATTGTCATCTGGATATATATCCTGGTATTCTATTTCAGTTTTTCTGCTCTCATGTTCAGCCCACTAACCTTAGTCGTTAGGATAGTATGCTCATTTGGAGGCTTGTGCAAGTCTAAACTTGCAGTCGCTGTAGGGCTGCAGCTGTATTGTATTCAGCAGAATTGAAGACATCATTCCTTTGGTAGTCTCATTTATCATTGTCTTTTCCAGCCCAACTAATCCAGTGTTATGGATCTCTTAAACTACAATTTAAGGCAGTAGGAATAAAAGAAAAGCAATCTTCTTTCTTACGTATATATCTTAGGTATATATATATTTACTGTCTCTTCCAGAAGCGGGTAAAAATCAGGGTTCAAAATTCAAGTACTGCTGTACATCACATTCTAGTTGTGTTGAATAACTGATACGCATGTATCTGTATTCTGCAGCCCTTCCAAATTACCTCTGGCATCATCCTGTGATTCTCTTAGAGGGAGTTGAGGTGACACTAGGCACACACAGTCCCATGTTCATTCTTTTGGGTGTTTTGATTCTTTGAAGATCAGAAATGATCTTCCTTCCTTTTTTATGACCTTCACACTAAAAAAAAAAATAAATTACTGTTAACTCACTTTCAGGTTCTACTGTAATACCAGAATCTGGTACGATGTACTTGACTACTTCAAGTGGATATCCTTATATTTACCATAATGGAGTGGCTTATTTTCACACTCCTGAAGTTGCTTCTGTTCCACAGCCATGGCCAGTAAGTAACAGATTTTTGTATACATGCTTTTCTATGGACAAGGATGAGTGCAGCATTTCTAATTCCCTCCTGCTTCTGGTTTCTCCAGCTATGCCTTATGTTTGATATTTAAATGTTTTTTGTTTGTTTGTTTGTTTGTTTGTTTGTTTACTAATACTGAGGAGCTCTCGGTGCTTATGACCCTTGATTGGCTTTATTTATTATTCTGCTGTGGGTGAGGTGCTTATGGCTGCAATAGCTGCTATGTTGAGGGTGAAAGGAGAACTTATTGCTAGATGAACAAAGTAATTATATTGTCAGTACTATGGTAGGAGTACTGCTTCTTATAGGAGGAAGAATGTAGTAGATTAATTGTTTGACTTTAGTGGGTTTGGTGCGGTTGGCCCCCTTTATTTTGCTGGTGTTTCCCTGATCCTCGACTGGTCCCCCACAATAAACAGATTTCCAGCTGGTTTAGTTCCTTGAACTGTCTCACTGCCAAAACATACAAGTGCTGGGGCTGGCGCAAGGAAGGGAATTGGAAAAGGGAAGGTAACATCTGGGGCTGTGGAGAGGATAGGAATACATCAGTGAGAACTTAGATTGGCCGTATTGCTTCATTTATTGTGTAGACCCTCAGGAAGCACCGGTCTTGAAGAACCTAAATGAAAGTTAAAACCTGGTAAATGCATTTTCAAAAGGGAGGGGAGATGGTTCAGCATATAGTATTTAAGATAAATTAAAGGAGGGACAATTTATGAAATTGCCGCATTGACTTGTAACTTTTTTGTCTTTAAGTCACGCTCTGTTTCCAGCTCACCTATGATGGTAGCTCAACCAGTTTATCAGCCTCCTACTTATCATTATCAGGTATCTGTTTGAAAATTACTTTCAGAGCGTTGGTACTCCCTCCAGACATGCAATTTTTGTTTGCAATGCTGTCCCAGTTCTGTTTATTCTTAAAAAATAGAAAGACTGTTCAAAATAGCTGTTTAAAGTGGATTTTAACTCCATCGAAGATTTTTCACTAGTGATTTTTTCATAGTGATTTTTCACAAGTATACGATTTCTACCTACCTGTCTAATTATATGGAAATTGAATAAATTCTTTTTTTTTTCTTTGTTGCTAGACAGCTGTCTTAGTACCATTCTTTTTTTATTTTATTTTTTTTTTTAATCATTCTAAGCCAAACTTCTGCTCAGGGCAGTGTTGGTTAGGTCAGGTGTCTCAGGAACTTGTCCAGCTGAATTTTTAAAATCTCCAGTGGAGATTCTACAACCTCTCTGGACAGATTCTTCCAATACTTGATCCTTCTCCTAGTAAAAGATTTTTTTTTCTTTGATTTTGTTTTTATTTATTTTCCTCCTTGTGTCTGAGTAGAATGTTCAAGTTCAGCGTTTGTCCGTTAACTCTTGTGCTCTGAACACCTCTGATGAGTCTGGCTTGGTCATATTAATGCCCTCCCATTAGGTAGTTGCAGCCCGTGATAGCTATACCCTCCCACCTTCATCCTTCTTGAAGCTGAAGAAACCCACTTCTGTCAGTATCCTGGTATGTCTGTTCTTCAGTTCCCTAACTGTCTTGGAGGCCCACTGCTGAACTTCTGCAGCATGCTTCATGTGTATTGGAAAGTTAACTGCATTTTGTACATTTTCTTACTTAGCCACATTTTAGAGATGCTTCGTTATTTTAGAAGCAATGAAATGCCCAGCTCAGAGGCTGAATGGAAGTAGACGAAATTATGTTCTTAAATTATTTGGGGGTTTATGAAAATAACTAGTTCTTAATTAAGATTTGAATGAGGATTTTGGATGGTTTTGAATCTAGTATGTTGGGAAGGTGTATCTCTGTGCGTATGTTCTCGATTATGTAAGTAATATCTTCTGCCTGTTTGAGTTTAGGCACCAACACAGTGTCTTCCAGGTCAGTGGCAGTGGTCTGTTCCACAGGTAAATACAGTTCACAGTTGAAGCATTTTACCATTAGCTTGCATCTAGTTTAAAGAAAGGATGTGGTCGTCCATTTTTTTCTGTACTTTTTTTCTTCAAATCAAATGCTAAAATGAAATTTCCCACTATTTACAATGTTGGTGAAATAAATAGCTATATTTTATTAATGCATCTGCAACATTTCTGGTACAATAGAAGGCATAAAATAGCATTTACTGAAACATGAAGAAAAAACCTCTTGTAAAGAGATCATGTTCTGCTTCCCCTCTTCTTCCGAAGAAGTTTGTGTTAAATTATCAACAAGGTTTTTTTGTATAACATTTTTGCAAATTATAACTGTACAATGTGTGATTTTGGGAGTGTCAGTTTTAGAAAGTTCTGGAATTCTCTAACAATGATCTCTAAAATGTCAATGAAATTTGAAAAATCTTTTAAAGGGATTTAAGGACATCTTTGTTTTATCCTATCTGACTTGCCTAACGGCTTCCCCTGTCAGATTGTTTCTTTAGGTTTCTTAGATTCTTTCTTAGTGAAGATGAATTTGGCACTTTGATTCAAAGCTTTAACTTTGTTTATATGTAGCAAAGATGACTGTAAAATAAGCTTTGCTATTTATAGCGTATAAATCATGTCAATTTATGGTAGTAATGTGCTTTATTTCAGTCTCCTGCTTCTTCACCTTCGTTTTTTTATCCGCACCCTTCTGAAGTCATTTATCAGCCAGTAGGGATTGCCCAGGAAGGTGGTTGCGTACCTCCTCCTTTCCTTCTAGTGGAAGCTGCAGTTCCAGAGGTATTTTCATGATCACTTTTATTCTCAATCGAAGCATTCATCTGCAATTGAAAAACACATTTAGTTTAAGCACAGGTAGTTCCATGCACTTACGTCAACAGTTTGATGTACTTTCCCCTAAATCCATACTGTTGCAGAGTTAATTTATTTTTAGTTGTCTTCAGATTAGAATATGTCTTCCAGTATGAGTAGTTCTTTTTCTGTGTAAGTAGAAGCTAGTTTCTGAATATTCAGAAGAGCAGAATGAATTGAAAGTAGTTTCTGCTATGCTTCGCATACAGTATTTTTTTTGCTTCTGTATCAGTAGCAATTCTACTTTTTGAGAGATTTTTAATGTACAATAAGGCTGTTTCTTTATGATTGGGTATGAAATATGACAGTAATAGACTAAAAAAAAACCTTATTAACATTTGAAAAAATGTTATGATTAATTGTTACTCTTCCTCTTTGTTAATTCATCTTCCTTAACAGAGATGTCAGAATAAATGGTAAATTAGCTCAGTAATAAAGTATTTTTACAAAAGTTGGAGATAATTGTATTGCTACAAGAGATGATTACCAAAACTGATAATCCAAATATCTTTAGTGAGAAATCCTGACACACGTAAATAATACCACTACAGTCGCCTTCTTGAATAATACAAAAAATGCGTTGCTGTTTTTTTTTCTCTTTTTATAAAACACATAAATCTCAGTATTTATTGTATAATATTTAAACACTGTTCCAGTTAGAGCTGAGTGAAGCTCTGTACTACAAAAGTGTGCTATTTCAGTAAAAGAAAATGCTTTCTGGCACTAATCTAAATAAGGTAGATTAAAGATATGATAGTGATCTAAACAAACTAAATTAGCCAAACTTTGATACGTTAGGAATAACATGTTTAAATAGTGATATTTCTGTTTGTAAAAAGTTTAGTAGATGTTTTTATGTATAAATAGTATATATTACTCAACAGTTTGAAGTTACAAGGAATTTAAAATCACGTGAAAGGTTTGTTTGCAATAATAATAATAATAATGAAAAAATGAAATAAGCTTTTTTGCTCACTTTTTTTTTTTAATTTTTATTTTTTTATATTAGCCATATTCTGATCATGGAGTTCAAGCGCCCCATCACCAGCCTTACGCCCAGAGTGCCATAGCCATGCCTGCACCTGTGAGTCAAACTAAGCCAGTTAAAGTAAGCACAGTAGTCTTACTGTCCCCTCTTCTGAAGGGGGACAGGAAGAGAAGAGGGGCAAAGGTGAAAGTCTTTTAATAATGAATTAATAAATAAGGAAAACAGAGATGTTGCAGACAAAGTGAGGTTTTTCTTCACTTTAGGTTTGGTTACAGAGAGAGCATAGAGATTACTGATTTTAAAACTATTTTTGGAAAAAAAAATACATAACTCGTTATTATGAAATTGAGAATCAGAGAAGTGCAAATTAACAATGTGTTTTGAGAGAAAATGATGGTACAAATCCTTGTCTTTGTCTTTGGATCTTGAGAAGTTGAATTCATTGCTTGAAGCCTCAAATAAGCACCCTATGTTGTGTCAAGGTGGAGTTCTGGAACAGTGTATGAAAAACCATCTGGGTCAGTTGCTTGCACATGTTTTTCTGCACAGTTCTGGTATTGAATGGCCATTCTAAAAACTGTGGTTCTTCCATATCACCTGATGCTAGGTTTTTCTTGAGTCTCAGTTTAAGAACCTTTCGCCTAAATTTCTAAGGATGTTAACACAGCTTTTAAACTTAGGTTTTGCTTAGACTTTGCCTGATAACAAAAGACTGAAGGTGTCGGTAGGTTTACTTGATACTACAGCACTTCTTCTGTTAAGATGATTGCTAAACTACGAATAACAGTAAGTAAGAATGACGCAAAGATTTGTTACAGGCTCTCATATATTTCCTTAATTTATTTTAGATTTATTTTGAGAAGAATCCTTTCCAGAGTATTGTGTAACAGTATCTCCTAAAATATCCAGCAGAGGGGGCTGTAACATTAAGTGTTGTCTGGAAATAAAATGCAATTACTCCAATAAAAAAAAAAGAAAATAGAAACTGAATATGAGTTTAAGAATAGTAGTCCTGGGAGATTTATCTCTTAAAAGAGAGCTGGTATGACAGAGTGATCATATTACCCAGTTTACATTCCATTTTCTCACACACATAAGCAAAAAAATACACAATAGTCTTGGAATCAAAACCAAATGCATTCTGTATCAAATACAGAAGCAAGCTTTTTACTTTGAAACTTTTATTATCTATCCTAGGACCAAAGAGAGCAAGATAGTGTGCAGTAAGTTACAAGGTAGATCTAAAGCATGTTAGCTTTTCCTCTTCCACCTTAATGACCACAGTATCATGCATTTTCTTAGAGCAAAGTAGTTTACCATGTGGTAAGTGATAACGTATTAATTTGGTGTAGAATGTGTATGCATGGTAAAGCCATGTTTGAAAAGTTATGCGGCATAGGAAATGAGCTGCACATTCATACTCATTTATCTCATGATACAATATTTAGTATGTAAGCTTTAGACCAGCTTAATCTGGTATAACCCAGGAGCTCATTCCTTTTCCATACCAACCATTGCCTGTGCTCATACAGGTTTTTGTGTGGCAATATGGTAAAACAGGTCAGGGGACTGATGTAGGTAAAGGTGAATCCCCGCTCCCAGTACACAGAAAGCACTAAAACTTGCATCAATTCCTCAAACCACTTTGTCAAGCAATAGCACAAACTCTTAAACTAGAAGTTTGGGATATAACAGAGGAGCTAAGACTCGTGTTAGCAGTGCTCATTTAAGCATAGAACTGCTAATCCTATGTATTCCTTCGCTGTATTTTTTTCTCATTCTTACCTATTTTCTCAGAAGTCTTCTTTGAGTCTATAACTAAAACTAAGCTCTGTTCAGGTCTCAAATAGGTTCCCAAATATATTTAGACTCTTACAAAGACTAGAAGAATTCTGATAATTTTATTCATTATAAATTAATGTCAAGTAATTTCTGACAGTTAATTTTATTTATTTATAGTTTTGTTTAGCAGTTAATAGTTCTGGAACATAATTCTCCATTCATCTTACCTTTTTATGTACCCTCTTACAGTTTTAAGTATGTTAAATGCATAATGCCTTTGATCAGCATATATTGTCTATCACTATGGTTGGGCACTCGAGAGTGACTGGAAATAAAAGAGCAAATGTTGAGAGCAGGCTTGTATGTATTAAGCAACTGTTTGTCTCATTACCACCTGCTCCCCAGCTGCAGGCAAATATTACCTGCTGGCTGCTTTCTTGTTAAAATATCCCAACAAACATGTATCTGCTGCTTGAAAATTATGAGTAATGGCCATGTAAGAGGGAACAGATTTAAAAATGAAGACGTAATGATGGTCATTTGTTGTCCCCAGTGCACTAGGAGTTGGAACAAATGCTTGAATATTATTACTACTAGGAGCTGTTAGTCACGTGATGAGAGCAGGATGGGTGACAGCCAGTATCCAGATACAATACAGATATGCACAAATATAGTAGAAAGTTACAGACTATATAAGTTAAGATTAGAATTCATGTTGTCTGGTTTCAGACCTGGAAGTATTACTTCGGAGTTAAATTTTTGTTTTGATAGATGGCTGTCTTGAATTAGGAAGTACTGGCATGGTCAGTGTTTACTGGATATTGTCTGGGAGGCCTGGGGAGCTGTGCGTTACAGTCTAAAAAACTGAGCAAAGGTATAAAAGGTTGTGCCAAGTGGAGGTGGGCAGGTGAGGGTGGTTTGTTGTTTTGTTTTATGCTTTTTGTTTTTCTTCTCGGTCATCTTTTCCGACTGGGGTGTACCCAAGAGGGGTAACTTTGCTGTTCCCGTGATCTGAATCCAGTGGAATGGTTTGGCCAGTGTGAGAAGTATGAGATGATAACACTGTCTTTTCCTGTGCAAGACTTCTTAGGAGGCATTCTTTTTTATTTGAGCTTGGACATTTAGTCTAAGGGGAAGGAAATCAATCTACTCTACTTAGATTCTTTATGCCTGCCCTCACAGTAGAGTAGTTTTAGCTGACAGTCTGATGATCCTCATAATCCAGTTCTTGAAAACTAAAAGTGCTATATACGAGATTGGATTTATTTTAAGCTTGACCTGTAGAAAATGTTCTAGAAAGTCACAGAAGAGTACAAAGGTAGTAAGGTTGTTTTTTTTTGTTTTGTGTGTATGTCTTGGTTGTATTTGTTTTGTTTTGTTTTTGTTTGTTTTTGTTTTGTTGTTTGTTTGCTTATTTGTTTTTTGTTTGTTTTTCCTGCAAGCCTCACTGTCTGGGCTCTAAAGCAACAACCAATCAATGATAGAAATATAACTCAGCTTTCAGATTTGTTTGCTTGTTTTTTGCCACCACTTTGTTCTCTGTTCTCCACAATCTTTTCAATAGCTTTAAAATGGAATTTTGTACTTCCCATAAGAAAAGGCTTTCAGAAAGGTCAAAGATTCTTCACTTAAATACGTCCAGTGTACAGTCCGTTGGCAGTAATTGCATTGCCTCCAACTCAAAAGGCAAAGGAAGATCTGCCCATGTCAAAAGAGAATTTAGAGTATTCATTTGAAATGTAGTATTACTAGTACTCATGTATGCTTACATTCTGGTTATAATGGCATATGGTGATAACACCTTGGTCTTTTTGTAGTGGCCATTCTGTAAATTTAACTGAACTTAAAGTGATCCATTTTTCTCTGCAAATAGGAGCAATAAGGTAAAATTTGTGGTTTATGTGCATTTATAATACGCATAAATACACCTATGTTTATGTCTGTAGATAGGTATATACATACAAATGTATGTATGCCTAAATTGTGTTTTTTAAAGGAAAGTCTTGGTGTAAGCATTTTTGGAAAAGCATAGTAATTTTATACTAGAACTATGTACTTAGAACATGGTATGTGGAACAAAAAAAATCAAGTTCAATTTTCAGGATAGGTAAGTATTTTTTTCTTCATTTATACATGTAATGAAATAAGGAAGAATAAAACTTCTGTTTTAAATTACCTAAAATCTTGTCCTCATTTATGATTAACAGGAAGCTTGTCACAAGCTGTAGCATGGTCTATTGCTCTTTACAGGGTATTTTAAACTCCACCAAAACCATACTCGTTAATTCTATGTTAACATAGAAAGGAGCAAAATTGCATGCTTTGTCTGGCATTGATTCCTTCTGTGTTCTCTTTACAAGCTCCTCTTTTTATGTCCTGATGGTTCGTTCTCATTCCAGTTTGGTGGTTTCTTTTGCTTTCTCTGATCTGTATGTTCTCCCTCTCTTTACTTTACAGACACTATGGAGCATTCACTATTAAGCCATTTCGGCAGCTTTAGCCTACCTGTTCTGATTTTCTTGTCCAGTCATTCCCATGTGGCTGAGATCCATCATCAACATACCAGCTAGCAGCTGCCTGTTGAGAAACTTAGGGTCAGTTTTTTTGTTGCAATGCTTGATAGTTATGAACTGGTAAATAATAAAACCCGCTAATATGGAATTTAGTATAATCTGCAAAATTACTTAGTTGCTTCATGCATGTTTGCAAATTTCCTGTTATTTATAGACAACAAAGTTTATGTAGCTCTTAAAATTCATTCCCAAGACAGTTGTGTATATATTCAATCCATCATTATTTTTCTCTCGTATTTAAGTTTCCAAGTTCTGTGCTGTGTTGGGATTGTTTTTCCTTCAACAACAAGGGAAAATTTTAGCTTTTCAATGTTTGATTTTTGTTTCTGTTATTAGCAACTATCTTCCTCCCCTTTTCACCTGATTTTTGGTGATTTACAGTGATTTGTGTTCATGGAGTTAAACTCTATGGCAAGTGCTTAATCATGCTTTTTATTGTGAAAAAGGTGCTGCTTTTAGTTGCTTATTTTTCTTTTAAAATTTAATATTTTAGTGAGATGAAGTTAGGGAAGAATATCCTTTGCACATGCTATTATTTGTGTCCATTTATTATTTGTTAGCCTTTTAACAGCCCAGCAATGTGTAGCAGGGGCTTGCTGGTTGGTTAGGGTGTGACTTCTTACCTGTGTACACATCTGTACAATAAATCTCTGGATGTGGCTTTAAAAAATATATGCTAGTGTGAAGCTTTAGTTCTTCACTGTCCTGCTGGGACCAGGCATTACAGAGGAGGAAATGTGTCTTCCATATCCGAATGCAAGTCAAAGCTAAAGAAAGATTTTGAGAAAGAGATTGGAACTCCAAGGCTGATGGTAACAGTGGCTAGAGTAGGTACTGAATGAAGGCTGGTACTAGATCACCCACGAGCCTAGAAGTTTGGGAAGGAAGTGTACAAGATTTGGAGCAAGTAGATGATGAAAAGAAACTGAAATCTTAATTAAGATTTCATTGAGTTGGGTTGAATATTCTGATAGGAATGCAAGAACTACAGCTGGTAGTACTGTGAAACTGGCAGAGCTAGAAGGGAGGGGAAAAGACAAATAAGTTTAATAACAGAAGAAAGAGGAGTAGCAGAGAGCTAAGGTTAGAAAACAAATACGGTTTTGAGTCTATCCTGTGGCATAGTAGGAAAGGGGTAAAAAGATTCAGAATGGTTAAGTAAAGAAAACAAAATATCTGGGAGTTCCACAAGTGGAATACAGAGCAGCTGAGATGCAAAGGGAGATTGTAGGAGAAGAACCTGATCTTAGGAAGACCAAACAGAATAATACAAGCATTCTAGAAACAGTTCTTGCTAGCACCTAAAACGGTAGCCCTGTTTTCTGGATCTTGTCATCTTTTTGTCAGCAGCAAGTGTCATACACTGCCAAGTTAATCAGTCAGTTGCGTATTTGTTAGTTGACAAACAGGACAGCTGTCAGTTGTTCAACTCACATTTTACATATCTGTGAGCTTTGGTTACTGAAAATTATATAAGCATGATTACAATTTCAAATAGTTATTTCAAAACTGTTATTAAAAATACTGGAAACTACATACAAATCAAAAGAAATTTAAGGCTGACCCATCAGTTTGAGTCAGAATTAAGGCTATTTATACAGTATGGAGCTATATATGGTTTTAAAGCTATCTAGAATATTTTCCCAGCTAAGGTGAAATGCTCAGGTATCAGGTTATATACTTAGGAAACCTGTGAAATAAACTAAAACAGTTACTATGAATATCTAGTGCTAAGCTGAGTTTGAGGTTTTTTAATCTATTGTTCTAATCTGTTGCAGAGAATGCAAAAGGTGTTGTTGTGTTGTTTTTTTTTTTAAAAAAAAAGTATATATTGGTTAAATAGTTTCACACAGTATGTTATAAAAATGACTGTTCCCTGATCATTTTGAAAGAGGATAGCTATTACTTTACTGACTTGATACACTTCTGTAAAGCTATGTGATGAGTGAACAAGACCTGTTCTTGCTAAATTAAACTTGAACTCATTTGAAGGCTCCATTCTTGCAAACAAAGAAAGTTACTTCTTGCCACTGTCAACTTCACCTATAGTATGTAATAGATACTGACTTTCTTTTTAAATCAAGTCCGCTGAGCAGATGGAATATCAGAATAGATTCTATCTTTTCATTGAAGCATAATTAATGTGATAAATCAGACACACTTGGAATTGGAGGAAACAACATAGCATTTTTCCCTCTCTTTAGGAATCAAGATTGCATTCTGTGAGAAGAAATTTTTTACATCATCCGTCTGTGAGTCTCAAACCTCGATATACATGAAGTCCCCATTTTCGTCCTAGAAAACAGGACAGAATGGAAGATGAAGTATGCCATCTTCTTCTACAGATTCTCTAAAGTGTCTTTTTAGGTATTCAGTTTGCTAACGCACCTCTGACGTGGAGGATACGTAGTTCCTAACTTCTGCCATTTGCCGGAGCGTGCCTAAATTTAAATGCCATAGTGTTTTGTAAATAAATAAAATCAAATTTTGTAGTTTTGACAGGTAAATACATGAAATTGTGATTTTATCCTACATTTCCTTTTCTTAATAAAAACACTTCACAGGCCAAAACTGTAACTTCTGGTATACAGCCTAATGTATAAACATCGGTTACTAACATAGATTGAAAAATGGCATACAAGTTATTAAACAGAAAATTTCACATTTAGTTTCTGTACTATATAAATTTAAAAGGTCCTTTAATTACAGTGGAAAAGCCATTTTCCCACATATACAGTAGCAGCATCTGTGTGTTACAGATATTTTTTTTAATCTATGTGCATTTTGTTTCAATTCCAAGAACTTTTGTGCATTTCTGGTGTTTTTTGTATTGTTCGGAATTCTCTGTTCTTAATAAGTTGTCTTTACATGTGTGTCATTTTAGTGCTTGGGTAGAGTAACTTCTTAAAATTTGGACCACTAGTTGAATAATTGCTTATTATTGCTGATGGTGACATTTTTCTTATATGGTAAGCAGTATATTTGGCTTTATGAAAACTTGAAAACATTTGAAAATTTCACTTCTCTGCTTTGAATTTTTCTGTTGTCTGAGCAAGACTTAGGAACTCCTTTACAATGTAATGAGATTGAATACTTACTTCTCCTCAATTGCAAGAAAATATTTTTCTTCTTTTTATCCTTGCTTCTCCTTTCATCACGCTAGGATACCTTATATATTTTGTAAAACTTGGGTTCCTAAAAGGTTAAAATATAACCTTTGTATTTAATAGGAAAACAAGCTATGGGTTATTGCTTATAGTAGCATTGACATCTTTATATATGTAAAATATGCTGGTTTATTTTTGTTTGGTAGTTTGTTTTTTTTGTTTTGATTCTTAATCACTTAGGGATCTTACACAGTGGGCATTATTGTCAGTCAATGTAAGTGTAATATGTAAATATCTTAAAAGATGATTCTAGCAGTCACTATTGTGCAGGAAAAGAGGTGGAAACTGGTGCTGTTCTTACAGTTGTTTGAAATTGTTCTGGAAGGAGATGCCATGTACTTAGTTGCATGTTTACTCAAGTTACTTTATACCTTTACTAGGTAGAAAAAAAAATCTACATGATTTAAACATGATTTGTTTTTAAAAAAATGTGTTGCTGTGGAAGCTGTTGAGATCGTTTTGCCCAACGAGTATCAGATATTTGCAAGTTACTGTGTCCACAGGGATATCAGCATATTTCTGAGGGGCTAAATAGCTGCTGCTCTAGTTTGTCATGTCTTTGAGCCAAAAATATCTGTCCAGTTATTCTTCTGTTTTATTTAGATTTTAGAATTCATCGTTAGAAATACTACAGAAATTTTGGCACAGCCTCACAATAACTTATTTCCATGAGAGAATTTTTATGTAGTAAATCTTTCTGTAAATGCTATGCTGTCTCTGAAGCTGCCAAAAGAAAGTTGTGTGTTCTGTTAGAGGCTTTTTTCTTGGATCATGAAGCAAATGCACATTTGAGCCACAATGTGGAAGAGTTAGTCCTAAATCCTTATTTTGGGGATTAGCAGTTTCAGTTTACTAAATATAACTTCCCTGTTCCTAGAGTGGTTTAGGGATAGAAGAGGTAAATTTCCTAACAAATTCTATATTGAAAATGTGCTCACGGGGAAGTCTTTTAAACTAATAGCTTGAAAATGTGTAAATATTCTGCAGTCATTAACACATCTATCAGCTTAAGTTGCATCTAATGCAAATACAAAATGTCCTTTATTTCTGTTTATTGGAACAGATGTTAGATTGTTGCTAATGAGTTGATTCCATGACCTTTGCTTCAAAGAACATTTACTTCGTTTTTACTTCCATATGAACTTGATCATTTGGAAGGATATTGAGCATTAAGAACAGAAGTCTACCCACAGTGTTCTGCTGCAAGGTCTATAACTTCAGTCTGGAGGTATCAGTTGTTAGGATTATATCACCAGGTCTTAACAATGCTTCATTTTGTTCTGACACCTAGAAAACACCAAGATGAACCACTGGTAGGTGGTTTTCCTTCAGGAAAATGTTGAAACATTGATGGTTCTCCATTCATATTGTAGTTTACCTTTCTTTAAGATGTCTGCCAACAATGAAGGCATAACATGAATTACTGGTAGCTAAACCTTTAAGCTCTCAGTAGTTGAAATCCTATTTTACTAATTCAGGTACCTCAATTGTGTCTGACTTCTGTAATTTATTACAGGAATACACTCATTTACACTAAGAAGACTACACGATTTTCTCACAGGTGGTGTCTATTATTTTGATACTGTAGCTTCCACGATTTTTAAAATCTCATAGGCTACACAGTATTACCTTCCTACGGCTTAAAATTTTCATAAAAATTTTCATTAAAAATTTTTCAAAATTTTCATAATTCATATACTTCTATACAGAATTCATCTAGTTAAGTGCAGATATTTAGATTCCTCCCTGTGATTTTGGGTTTGGAGAAGGGTTAACGTCTCCTTTGGACCTCTGTAGTTTCCCATTGGTAGCTGTAGGAGGGTTCAGATTAGGAATAGGGTCCCTGGACACTTGGTAGCTGATGGCAAATAATCATCTTTGTCTTTGTGCACTGCTTGTCACATAGTAGCAAACCAAATTAATTTTCTGATTTCCAGTTCCTGAGAATTTAGTGACCCTTGCTAGTATTGTTTATTTTCTACTGAGCTAGCTGTTACAGTGTTTTTAGCAACTGTTGTTTGTTTAGTGATATATTTACATGGTCAAGTGCTAATTCTGACATTCTGTTAAGTAATGCTGGCTAACAACCTGTAGATATACAAAATTTATCTCTCCCTTGTGTTTTTATGTATTTGATCAAGGATTGGTTCTTGCATTAAGTAGAATTTTCTGGTTCCCTAAAGTTTCGAGTTCCTGCTACTTCTAATCTTGAGCACCAGAAGTCCATTCATCATCCCTGTAAAACTGTTTACATATTTCATATTAAAGTGATTATTTGTATTCTGAAATGTGTTTTTCAAATAGTTCAGTCAATGAGGAAACTACATTCCAATATTAACTGAGCAAAACCTCGCAGAATACATGGCAGAATACATAGTTTTTAACAGTTTGTAAATGTAAGAAGTTGTAAGGGTGTGAAATAGTGGGTGTTTGGTTGTTGTTTTTTACTGTAAAAATTACAGTAAAATAGATTTCTAGCTTTGTAATGTTGAGCTGTTACAGTAGTTTAAATTCACCTGGTATAAAATTTCCTTTGGTTCTGTTTCCTATTTAAAAGATACACATAGTAAATCAATACATTAAAGGTCTAAAATATAATGTTAGTGTCTCAATACGCATATACAATCCTGTACATGGTAGGCAAATCTTTAAAGCTTTTATTCAGAAAATCCAAATAGAAATACAGAAAGCAAAACAGTAATATGTGGCTCTAATTTTAACAATGTTTAGTATTGAAGCTAATATGTAGTGGGGAAGTACGTGTCTTGTTAGACACATACTTGTCTCTGTAGACTTCTTGAGCCACAAATAATTAGAAAATATTGAAATTAAGTTTGAGGGCTTCCTATGGTCATTTTACCCCTCTGTCCATCGGTGGAGCTCTAGTCTACATAAGTGTGTATATTAAATGTAAGCAAAATGCTGTTCATAAAATTTCTAATTGTTTTTTAATCAGATTAGTAAACGAGGACATCCAGTTTGATTTGAAAATGCATGATTTTATTTAACTGAGTAGTTTCATTCAATACTGTATTGCAGGTTCAGAGGATCTAGTCCATTGTAGCCTTGTTAAATGAGATACTGTGGATGTATATAGATAAATGTGTAATAAATTCTTAGGTCTTTTGTTAGAGAAGTGTTCATGGCTTCATAAATCCAAAGCTCCTTTTGTTGAAGCTGTTTGTGATGCAGCAGTAAGCAAGAAACAAACAAAGTTTCTGTGGTTTGTAACTTCTAGTAAAGTTCTGCTTTGGTAGCTGAAAGTTTAATGCAAATACATTGGTCCCTGTATACTGTTTGAATTGTAATTTGTTTATTTAATTGTAGCATACATTAATAGTTGAAACAGTTCTAGAAAAATGTGAAAAATTGAATTGATGAGCTTTTATCATTAAACTAAGCTTCTGCAGTCATCAAAACAAACTATTGTCATCTAATTCTACTTTTTAGAATATTTAAGTTAAATATTAATACAGAAAACCTGGCATTTCTGCTCGAAGCTAACATGTTTAACAAGACTGTTGTTCCTGTTGCATTCACAAAATTGTTCATTTTAGGGGAAGAAAAAAAAAAGATAAAAAGACCTGTGTGAGACAAGATAAAAGGGGTGGGTCAAAGTGGTTGTAGTGAAATGATTCTACAGAAAATTAACTAAATGACAGTGCTTTGTTTTAGTTTCTCTTAAAAATAATAGTTTTAATAGTTCTTGAAGGTAGAGATGTGAAAATTATTTGGCTATTGAATTGCAGTATTTTTCGTATTTTTCTAATGGAATTTTTTTTTTTTAAGTGTTTTTTTCTCATTGTCCTTTCCCAAGCAAAACCTTTACTTTTTCCTGGAGTCATAAAAATTAAAAAAAGTAACCCTAAAAAGAAATACAGAGAGGGACTATGAAGTGCAAAATTGTTGCGATTTGTGAATAATATTACTTAGTTAATGCACTGTCTCTGATTCCTGTAGTTGCTCAGTTAGCCTCAGGTTTTGGAGCTATTTGACTAATTTAGCTCTGGTTTCTAATTCATCTTCCTGAGTCTTAGTATTTCTGTCCTCTGCTAAAAACATTGTGTCAGGGATGACTACACTGTAGCAGATGATCATGCTTATTTTTCTCAGTATTGCTCAAATACACCTTTGTAAGCTGCAATCACAGCTGCTAAGAAAAGCTGCTACTGGGAAATTTTCTTGGTCCAAATGTTATTTTACATTTTGGCTTTGGCAGGGGAGCTAAGAGTAAACTGTTTTGTTTCTTGCTAGTTGAGTCACTTTGGGGCCTGGTGAAATCTTTATAAACAGAAGTGCTTTATTCTGTAGGTAATTGGTACATTTTTAAGGTATTTGTATTTCCGATGATCGCAACTCTTTAACCTACACAATAGAAATGGTTCTATTTTTCTATAGAAAAGGCTGTGCAGCTTGTAATACCTGAATTTATTCCAGGTAAGCTCATCAGCTCAAGTGTTAGAGTGAATAATCTCACAGAAGTGCTCTTGGTGATGGAGACTCCAGCTGGTTCTAAATCACTTGGCTGAGGAGTTACTTCCCACGACTGTGATACCACTTACAGATTTCATAGGCCTTCTTAGGAGTCCAGCTTCAGTTTCCCATTTCATCAGAATGAAAACTGTTACGGGATCCTGGAAGCTTTTCACAGAGGCAGAGTCACTTTGGGTTAATTGCCCCACGGTTTGGTCAGGCCGTGGCCTATCTCTGTTTGCCTTTTCAGAAGTCTAAAACTGATGCCGAGCTTGGATGAGTGAGTCTCATGTGCTCTTCCCGTGGGAGCTGCTGTGAGTGACACACCTCAGTGAATCCCAGCATAGGGTGGGGACCTCTTCCTTCCCTGGTACCACTTCCCAGAACCTTTGCATTTTGAGTCACTGCAGCGGGCAGTTTTGCTGCAGAACCTTGTTGCAAAATGGATCTAAAAACAAAACCCTTCTTGAAGCACCTTTTGAAGCCAGAAATGTTACAAACTTGTTTCTCTCCGAACAGGTCCAGGTGTCTTGGTGCAGATTTGAACTCCTGTGAGGAATACTGCTCATTTTGGTTTTGTTTTGTTTCCTTTGTTCTGCTGTGTGCTCAATCATTGCATTGGTTCAGTCCAGAGACTTCTGAGTCAAGTCTTTAATAGTAGCTATTGACGGATTTCCAGTTTGGAAGTTTGTAACTACTTGACTAATCTGGGGTTACCTAAAATAAGGATCATCATTTTTATCCGTAAGTGTTTCTGCATTGGTGTCAAAAAGGGTTTGTTTATACTGTGAAAAATGCTGTCTCGGAGAGAGGTTTGGAATCTGATTTAGGCCTTGCTACAAAGAGTTCAAATTACAGCATTCTGGCCTCATTTAAAAACAAAGCTATCTTCAGTTAAATAAAAAAACAAAAAAAAAGCAAACAGCTGGCAACTAGACTAGTGTTGCAAAAAGGTTTCTTCACTTGCTGCTATTTCCACTTCTGCCATGACTTTATACAAGATCTTAAGACCCTTGTGGAATCAGACAGCAGGATTCTCCAGGTCGACCGGACCATTACGTGGATGTTTGGGATAGCAGCAGTTCATGGATGACCTTTTCTGGAGAAAAAAAAAAAAAGTATTTGGAAACAATTTTTGTGTAAGCAGATATTCAGGAAGCTGGAGAACTTAATTGTTTAATTGATATGTTCTCCTTGTTTTAATCAAGAAGACAACACAGGAATTTCCTCTTTGTTTCAGTACCTGGGATTTATTTTTTTTTTTTAAAGACCGTAAGATTGAATTGGTGATGTTGCATAGGCTCTGCACTCAGTGATTATTCAATTATTCCAAAATTAAGTAACTTTAAACTATAATGTGGATTTCAAAGGTGAATCATTCCTGGTAAGCTGCTTAAAGTTACATCACTTTGCTTATAGGAGAACAGGAAGAAAACCCCAAGTGGTTAATGTCTAAATCACATTGACTGATTATAGAAAATGTGGGCAATTCTGTTAAGACTAATAGCATACAGTGAATAAAAATATATAAAGCTTTTAAAATCCAAATACATGGATTATCCAAAATGGATTAATTTGAATCTCTGGTTTCCTCTAGATGATTCTGAATTTCTCTAGATGCAGACTAAAAGCAAAAAACTTGTATTATCAAACTGCCCATCCCTGCAGTAACAGTACCTCATAAAATCACTCACTGTTCCTTTTTTCCCCATGTGTTGTTGTGGTCTGCATCAGGGCTCATACAGTTGCAAGTTATTTGCAGTAGTTAATGTGGGAGTACTGAGTGCTTATGTTAGGTAGCGGTAAGCTTTCTTTATTATTATTTTTTAATTAATTAAAGGAATATATACCGGGCCCTTAAAATGACACTAAATTTTCAGGACTTGAAGAAAAAGATACATAGGGAGCAGAGCTGAACATCTGCTGTTGCAGCTGAGGTCAGCCTGATGGAGGAGAGGACTTCAGTTGTTCCATACCCGTGAAAAACGGGGCAGAAGGTCTTGTAACTATGTTCATATTAGCTTGAAAAGGACTTTCTGATTTGAACGTCAGTGTTAGTTGTTAGTGTTGATCAAAACCAATTACATAAGCTGATTTTAGTGATGTAGATGCGTATTGTAATCACATGATTTTCTTGAGAAGAAGCTCCTTTACTACATGGTTTTACATTATTACAGTATATTACATTATGTTCATGTTTTTCTTTGGAAGAAAGTTCCTGCGGAAAGGAAATGGGAACTAAACTTTGAAATCTAAAATAAGGACTAAACTGCTTTTCATTTACTTTTCTGCCCTTTGAGATGCCAGAAGTAATTTCCTCTTGAAGCTGACTTCCTTTCTGGAAATGATTTTCGTCTCCAACCATGTTGAGGCTCTTTTCTCATTCTTTCATACTGACTAACTTGCTTTTTTTTCCTCTGACTTGCTGCTGCGTTTGAGTAGTACTTCTGGAGGTAAGTAATTACTTACAAACAGGTTTCTCTATAACTTTCTTTTTCAGTTCTTGTCTTCCCCCCACCCACCCACCCACCGCCCCTCCTTCCTGCCCAGTCAGTCTAGAAGGACAAACAAAGCACTATTGGTGTCCTCTGCAAGGGAGCACTGATAGGGGGCTGGCTGTAAATTGACGTGGCATGGAAAATCTCTGCTAGTTTCTAGCAGCTCTAACATCGCTGCAAAATCAAGCCTACTCATACTGAGTTTGTAGCTTGAAAACATTACAGGCTTACTGTTTATATATACGTACAAGAAAATGAATGGAAAGTACCCTCATCTTTTGATTTGGGAAGCAGACTTTTTCTGTATTTGGATTTACAGCTAATAGAAAACAAAATCAAAGGGAATTGATTACTTTTTTTTTACTTTTTTTTTTTTTTGTGTGTGAGCAGCAGATCTCGTTGCTTCCCCCTCCTTTTCCTGCGATTTAATCATTTGCAGATCTTGCCATGGGGTGCGGACTGAGAAAGCTGGAAGACCCAGATGATAGCAGCCCTGGAAAAATTTTTTCTACATTGAAGAGACCACAAGTTGAAACAAAGACAGAATCTGCTTATGAATATGTATTGCTGGATTTTACATTAGAAGGTAATTTCTGTTATATCTGTTGTTATTCTGAAAACGTAAGGAATAGGATTTAACTTTGTTCTGTTTTGTCTGAGTTGTAGTAAAACTTACATACTTTTATCCAAGCTAGCCCAAATGTAAGACTTTTATTTTGAAACACAAATCATGACGAAGGTCTTCACTTAGATAAAATTACAATGGAAACTACTGAAGTATTTTTAACAACGAAACCGTCCAAATTACACAACTGTCCTTGTTAAGGAAGCTGGCTAAAAACTGTTAGAGATTTTCCTAGTTTCCTATGAGTCAGATACTGCTATCCTTACTCACTTCGAATAGCGATTGTCTGAATTTAGTGTGAGTGTTCAGAAAATACACTGTGCCTGAGCAAGGGTAACAGAATGCTGAATAACTGAATAGCAGTTTCTTAAAATGCGTTCAACTTCGGAAAACAGGCTGTCATTGTCCTCGTGACTTTGTGCAGAAGCAAGTCTATTTCTTAGCTGTGTAAGTAATAGTCTTCTCTCTTATGCCCACCCCAGCCTTTCGGTGGATGTTTTAGTAAGAGTATTATAGTTGTTTTTTTCTTTTTTTTTTCTTTTTTTTTTGCAAATGCTCTATTTATAGTTGCTGAATAGGCTTTTGAAATTGTGACCGAAGTGAGACAAAATTTGTATGCGTAGCTGGAGGCAGACAGTGCTCTGTGGGATACTTCCTTCCCGAGGGTGTCCCGTCTCTAACAGAGCAACTCCCTGTTCCAGAAAGTTGAAAACATAAACAAGCCCAGATGGCTGCCCTCGGAGAACAGACAGCTCAGTTTTGCAGTCACTTCGTGGTAACTTGGCATTTTACAAGAACTGAATCTACTGGAAAGTCTTGATAGCGAGGATTTAAAGTACATGTAATAGCTAGAGGCATTTGATAAAGGGAGAAAGTGTAAATGCATGTCTTGTTATGTGTTCAGGAACTTCCTTACAAACAAAACCTGGCCTCTGTTTAGTTTTCTTTTCAAATTAAAGGAATGCAGTCATATCAGTTATATTTTTATTTAAAATGTATGAGGCTGTTCACTGAAGAACTGTAAGAACGAACAGAAACAGCATTTTACAGAGTTACACTACTTGACAGCAAGTATGGCTCTTTATTTACACATAGTGACATGAGTTTCTCATTGGTTTATTCTTTTTGGAGAGACAAAACTTTGGGCAGGTAGTAGTGGTAACATACGGGAAATAAAGCTGGACCCCCTAATGTATATGTGAATTACCTATTAATCTACTAATAATAGAAAAAATAATAAAACTTACTTTTTGTGACTAAAGTGTGTTTGGTGTTCTTAAATAGTCTGTGTTCTAGAGAGTTTTGCTCTATTTTAAAGTAACAAGCTTCTGGAAATAATTCGTAAGGGGTCTGTTTTAAAGAAGGTTGTGGCTTTAAGAAAAATCATATTAAACAGTGTCAATAAAGGTCCGTTTTTGCAGTATGTTAATAACCTATTGTTACAGCAGTGAAGATTCATTTCAAAAGTGCTTAGCTTCAGTGACGTACTGTGGAGTTATGAATGCTAAATAACATTGGCAGAGAGAAATTTTGAATGATTACCTGACTGGTTTTAGGCACTAACTGTAAGCAATTAGATTTAGTACATATCATTCTGTTGGATGGTTTTAGCTGCATGCACATAATTAACTTTTTTTTCATTTGAGGTCTCTGAAGAGGTAAGATCATGAATGAATACAGGCAAAAATGCTGTACACTGTCTTTCTTGGAGGCATTTCTGAATGTTGTTTGCTTGTGAAACATGGGGATTGGCTGAGATACTGTAGAAAATCTGTTGAACTACTTTTTTTTTTTTCTAACCCATTCAACTCATTCACATAGTTGCTTCTATTCAAGTATTCTTGGGCTAAATGAAGCTTAAGGAAGAGCCTATTATCATGTCAGACCAGTTAGTTTTCAGTATGCTGTGAAGTTGTATGTTGTATCTTCATGGCACTCTGTTGACTTCCAGAGCAAGATCTTCCCCAGCATCTGAGATTGTTGTTCTGTTGAGTGACATACTGAATCTGGAACCAAGTAAAACAGAAAATCTTATCTGAATGTATTTAAGATCCTAGAGTAAGCTGTAGCCTGCATTCAGATAAAAGTACAGCAAGCATAAATGCATTATATTTCAGTTTAATATTCTGTATTCTCTGCTTCATCAGATTTATGATATATGGAGTTGAAATGGTCCTGCTAGGGAGACTTTCAGGAGTTCCTCATCTTTTTTCAAGTTGTGGTGCAGATAAGGTCAACCGTGCTCTTGTCTAAATCTACTTGTTGGAGTCCTACAAGCATCTTAACTAGTTATTAGCAGTATGTTTTACCTTGATTTGTTTCTTCTTGTTTACCCAAATATTCCCATCCCTACTACGTAAATGAGTTCTGAGTTCCATGGAGGTACTTGTGCGAAAGAAGAATCACAGCCAAGAAGAATACAGCCAGGCTTGTATTTGCAGGGGTTCAGTGGACTCTGAAATGTAATTTTAAATGCTTGTCAAAGATAGGAAATACAATGGTTTCAGTCACGAGGCATATCTCACTTACAAAAACTTATTTTTGGAGATCAGTTTAAACATAAAGTAGGGATAGCATAAATATTCCTACTTAAGGAAAAAGCTTACAGCTTTTCCAGAACTCTCCTACTAGGGAGAGAAGGAATATTGATGCAAGCATATTGCATTTCAGCCCACTAAAATGACACGCTGTGAAGTTTTTGTCACTCTGAATAACAGTATGAATATGTATGGAGTAGCTGTTTTGTCATCATCTCCAAAGCTTACTATACAATTAGCCAGCTAGCTATAGTGGGAATTTTCAGTTAAGGCAATTGGAAAATCTCTGAAGTGATGATCATGTTGCATCCATACCTGATTTTTTGGCTTGTGTGTGCTGTAGAGCAGTTGTGTTGTGTTTTTTTTTTTTTATGTTTTTGTTTTTTTTTGTTGATGTTTTGTGTTGTTTTTTTAATGTTGATTTTTGTTTTTTAAAGAATGCAAAGTTCTCTGTAATGAGTATATATATCAGTACTATCCCCACTTTATACTTGGAAAACAGTACAGTGATTTAAGCTTTACAGAAAACATATCACTCAACCAGCAAAAATCTAATTAGAATAAAAGTGTTGGCAAAATAAATATTCATATATAGTAGGTTTATGATACTTTAAGCCAGTAGGGTAAGAAGATTTTGTGACTTGCTGTGTCTTTGGTAAACTCCTTACATTTCTTGCTATTGTGCATGTATAGGATTGGCATGTAGATAAAGGAGGAGGTAAGAACATTAAGGAATACATTTACGAAGTGGTGAGTTTTGCAGAGAGAGGGACCTGTCAGAATATGAAAAGGGTGTGCATCACTTGCAGCAGAGGTAACTGACAGAGACCATCAAATTCCAGATCCAGCTGCCTTGTTGTAAGAGGCCACATCTGTGAAGGATGAAATTGTTGATGTTGGCAAATACATGTATATGCTAGCAAAATTACTCTTAAGTTACTGTCTGTAACTTAATATTATTATTAATGTAAATTAATATGAACTAGTTGCTTAGTGGAGGCTCTGAGAGCATCTATAATTACAGTTGGAGTTGAGAGGAACAGGAAATGCTGATAGTCAGGCTCACTGTGGCAAAGCACGTAAACTACTACCAGTGCACAGTCTTCCCTTTTCTCTGTGCAAAAACTGTGGACCAGACCACAGACCACCCCCTAGTTTTTGCCAACTACTGTGTGGTACCTGGCTGTTACCTGTTGGTCAGAAATGCTTGCATACACCCAGAGGTATCCAGCTTAGAATTTAGTGATACCATTTAGCTTACTGTGATCTGGATTTAAGTCTACTTGAGGACATAATTGTGTATATTTTAAAATTTCAACCTACAATCCACAAATGACTTCTAAGGGATCCAAAAAATGTGTTTGAGGAAAACAAACCTGTTTTTCTAGAATTAAATTAATTTTGTGGAAGTTTACCTCTCAGGTAGGGTTAAAGTATACTGCTGCAGTATGCTTAAGTCTTTGACTAGACAAAATAGTTGCTTAATATCCAGACCAATTGCGTGTTTAGTGTTGATGCAGTTCTTAAATTAGCTTGACAAAGCTAGGTCCAACGAAGTATTGCCAAATAGATTACAAATAGATCATATTGTCTCCTAAAAACCATGTGTTTCACCCAGTTGTATACTTCATAATCACAGTGAGTCTCTTTTTTCTTGTGCAAAGAGGACTTTACCTTGTTAATAAATGCCTTGGGATAGGTTTTGTGTGGTTTACATCAAAGGAACTCACTTCAAAGTGTCTGTACATACACAGTATAATGTGCTTCTCTTCTGTTTTTTCAATGCTTTTAGCTTCCTCAAGTCCTGAAGTTATCAAAATCAGTTCTGTGTTGGATATAACATCTAAGGTGGAAGAATATTACAACAAAGGATATGTTGTAGGAGCTATTCATCCTATTCTACTGCCAATTGGACATAGAAGGAATTTCCCTGCAAGTCATATGTATCGGGTGGTACTTTCAAGATTAAAATTAAGGTAACAGTGAAATAATTTAATTATATGGGCCCATTACTTAAGTTATTTTTAAGAGGGTTGCTCATCATGCATAGTTTATTAACTTCCAATAAATATCTCCAAGAATCAAGTAACTGTTCCTTATCTAGAAAGGTCACCAACTTAATAATGTTCTTTTAATTAACCCCAAGTACAAGATGAAACAAAACGCTAGGAGACTAATAAGCTGCATTTAATTCCCTCACATCTATCTTGTCTTGTTTTCAACATTTTTCTTTTCACTTTTTCCATAAGAGCACTACTCAGTTAAAGGTACCTGTAAAGTGTGAAATGCTCACAGTTCCTCAGAGAGAATCATTTAACCTTGTTACGAAGGAAGTACTCTGTGACTGGGGAGGCTGTACAAAAGCTTGTTTTTTTTCAGTGAGGAGAGAGTCAAGAGTTTGTTTTCATTCCAACTTCCATAATCTTGCTTGTTACTTCTGGTTTTGCTGCATTGTAATCACCATGTGATCATAAGGAAAATGTACAAAGAAATATTACAGTTAGCTCCTTTAACTGCAACGAAAACAACCTTTTTGTTCTTGAGTAACTAGAAAAATGGATTTCATGTTGTACTGAGAGGTGTGATGGTTCCCCTTCCACCTCAAGTCCTGGTGTGATGCACAGAGGTTTGTTCAGCTTCTCTGGGAAATCTCCAAGGATGTACTCCCTGCCACTCCTGCAGTTCTATAAAATGTAGTTCATTTGAGGGAGATTCTCCATCAGATGTTTTGACTAAACAAGCATTGCCCATGGTATGGCATTTGCTTCTCATACATCTTACCTTCATAAATTCACGTGAAGGCAAGGTGAATGTTGTCCATATGGACAGATGCTTAAAGAAAAAGGCAGAATACTTGCTTTCTGGAGCTGAGCTTTCTGAGAGCTGACACTGCCAGTGCTCAGCTCCCTCAACACGCCTAATCTCTGTAGATGTGGGATCCTTATGAAGTTGTCAGTTTAACTGGTAGGCCCTTAACAGGTGAAGGACAAGAACCAGCAGCCTCCTTCTGAAACCGCTGGCTGTAAGTACCTGACTGCATTTGCAGATGCCATATGTACATACCTCTGTTGGGTTTCCTGCAGGTGGATGCACCTTCTCCAGCAACTATCTTGAAAGTAACCTTTTTATATTCGAACATACTTAATTGATGTTTCACTCCAAAGCTTGAGTGAAAGAAACAGCAAAAAAATCCATACTACATTGATGATGTACAACAAATGTTATACGATCAACAACAGAACTTACTTTCAATAAAACATGATGAATGTTATTCTTTAAAATAGAAATTAAAGCTTGTAGGATTCTGAAATATAGGAGTGAAATAAACACTGTGTAACCCAAAGGGATTTGTAGTGCACTGTGTTTCTGGCATGTGCCTGCACTGTTTTTACATACAGTAGCTGTAACTCCACTTTAATTGCTAAAAATAAGCAGCAGTATATTAACAGTGTAAAAGTACCATTTCGTTTCATAGCATAGTGCTTTTCTTGCAAAATTGGTACTTTGTTTTGTGCTTGCTTATCTGTACTTTTTGCATTTGGAAGTACGTTTTGGACACATTTGCTAGGAAGACAGTGTTGTTTTTTCAGTAAAGCTGAGTTTCAGAAGATGTTTGTAAACCATCTTGAAATGACATTTCTGTTAAATACTAACATTCTTATCCTGACATTTTAATACACAGCACACTCTACTTTACATAAAACATAATGAAGCACCAAAAAATGTTGAGTTTTAAATGGGGAAAAGCATTGCCAGGATTTAATTCATAACCTTTACACCAAAAGAAAAGAACTATATATGCCAGCATTTGCCCAAGTTAGCAGCAAACTACTGACAAAGACTGCTTTCTTTCTGTGTTCTAGCCAGAAGCATGCAGCACCCAGAGGACAAAGGCACCCCAGGCTGGTGATTGAGGAATGTCCTTTAACGCATGAAACACTGACAAATGAGGTAGTGAAAGAACTTTTAGAAAAGGTAATGGAATTTTGTGGTTGTTTGTTGTTGTTTGTTTGTTTTGATTTGGTTTCTTTTTAAACTTCTCTTCAGATATTTCTTTCTGCCATACATGTAGGTAGTTGTCAATGATTGGAGGCTTATGGTTCTGTTTAGATTTTTAACTTTGCTTTTGTTTTATAGAAGCTACCAAGTGCTTTCTGTGTGCAAAAAGAGTTCATTTTCTTCACTAATTGCTTTTTGGAATTTAGAATTTATTACTGAACCATGGAAGGTTTCGGGAGACTGATCACTTACAGCACTGGAAACAGAAGCAGGCCCAAATTTTCACTCAGTCTTCATAAAATGCTTGCTTGATAGCTTCTTCTAGAATTAGTGTTACAAAAAAAAATAAATAAATTATGATGTTCTGTGTTATGTTCAGTAGGAATAACATACATTAACATATCGATTTTCTAAGTAAATTTTTTTTCTTCTTCAAATTTAGTATATACAGTAATCGGTAATGGTAGTAAAATACTTCCTTGGCACAACTTCTGAAAATATTGTAAAGTTAAAGAAAAGTAAACTTCCACTGAAATACAAGCCCTAGTTCCAGTTTTTTTGTTTCACTTCCTCTACAAAATTGAAGACTTGCTGAAACAGGAAATTATTGTTATTGTAAGAGTTTGAGTGTTATCTTTTACATGAGTTGCGAAAGAAAAAAGCAGACAAAAAAGCATACTGGCAATTCTTAATGATCACTGAAATTGCCAGAGTTGTTTAAAGTTTCTAAAGATTTTTTTGAATTTTTCAGGTGTTCAAAACTGAAAATTGTGTTCCATTTATACCATGTGTGTATTGCCATGTTTGTTGTATAGTATACAAAACACTTAAAAGTATAAAACAAAGCAACAGCAAAAAAAAAAAAAACAACACAAATTAAGCAATTAAGCAGTGATTCTGTCTTGCGAGAAAATCTGGAAAAGAAAAGCTACATGAAATGGATCTGATTTAAAAATATTCCTATTAAAATGTAAATTTACATTTTTATTAAGAAAATACATGTATATTTTCTTGAACCCTTAAGAATTTTTGGCATTAGGGGGGTCGTCAGTTATAGGACGTCTTTTTGCAGCTTCATATAATCATAATGATGGCTGAATTTTGATACATGGTAAAGTTACTGTTGTGCATGTGTAATGGTGATAAACAGTATCACTTCAGTCTGATGTGATGCTAAAAAAGCATTGTAGCACCACCAGTTACTTGAGTTAATCACTCTAAATAGTTTACATGGGTTAACTAGGTAGATAGAGATCCTTCCTTCTCTGCCCTTGCTAATTGAGTATTTCCCGGGTGATTTCTGTGCTCTGGGCTGGGCTTTTTGTGTGTTCCTGGGAAGGCTTTGTTGCAGTGGGATCACCTTCATAGGTGGAAGTGCTTCTTATCCCAAGCAAAAACTTCCTTCCAAGAACAGATACATTCCACCGATTGCATATTCTCTGCAGTTGTATTTTAAGATTCCAGAAGAGGGGGAAAAAGAAACGCCACTGGCTAAATCTAAGAGTTAGTAATCATAGTGGAACTAGGAATCACACTTTTAGAGGAATGATATTCCTCTAACCATCCTCTAACCAATCTACCGTGAAATTTCTGGAAACATTTCTCCACCAGTATACTGTCTGTCACTGTGATGTAGTAAGTGAAATACTTTGGGTTTGTCCTAGTTGAAGGAATTTATGTACACTGAAGTCATTAACAGTGTTGGCCACCCTTCTTGGCCTGAGCCCAAAGACATGCTAGAAGGCTTCTGTTTACTTTAAAAACACAGCCATACAGCCAACATATATAGACAAGCTACACTTCCATAGTACTGTGTCCTTGGGTGTCCTTGAAAATCAGCAAATTAGTAAACAGAACATGCATTTTAGATGTTTTGGGGAAAAAAAAAAGTTGCACACTATCTTAAAACCACTTTACAGATAAATTTGTGTTTTATATGCAGGTTAATGAAGCAGCTAAACGAGGAAAGAAGTTTGTGGGCTTTGTAACACAACATTTTCCTCAACCTAAAGCCTGTAATGGAACAAGCACAGATGGAAATGCAGAGCTGGAATCAACACTGGGCAGAAGACACAGGGAACCCAGAAGAAGAATTTCTGATGAAGACTACAAAAACTGGAATGAAAGGTCACTGTGTGGTCACTCATCTGAGAGTGGGAATGAAGAGGAAATGCAAGCAGAGAGTGGACTGTTACAGGATGCAGATTTCCAGTTTGGAAAAGAAGTCAGTTCTGTTAAGCCACAAGAAGGAGACGGTAATGAATTCTGTTTGTTTATTGCAGAAATAAGATATGTTCTTGAGTTGTTTTAAGAAGCAGTAGGAAAAAAATAACAGAACAGCATATTCTGTCATCAAGTACTGGTTTTGGAAGATGCATCTTCCTTAAGTGCATGTGTACTTCCAAAAAAGTCACCACTGAGGAACCAGAAGAATTATGTACCTTCTGCTTTATATATCTGAACTATGATGATGATGATGATAATAATAATAATAATAATAATAAAGGTGTTATTCTGGTTTTAAATGTGGTGCAAACAGGTAACTTTTTGCTTGATATGTGTTGTAAGCATATAGCAAGAAAAATGTGATACAGAAACCAAAGACACTGTTTTTTACCCACTCCTAATATTGAACCATAAATTTGTAAGGGATATCCAAGCATATGCTGTAATGAAACCAGTTGTCCTGTGTGTTTTAAAGCTGACAACAAAGGGATCCCCTTCTGTTTAGAAACGTAATTTTGTGTGCTTCTAGCCAACTCACATCACATACAGCAAACAAATCCATTAATAATGGATTCTTTCTGGTTAACATGCCTTCAAGAAGTATTCTGAAAGAGATCACTAAACTAATGCATTGACCATGTAATCAGAGAGGATAATGGTTCCAAAATGAATTTAAACTAGAGAAAATGAAGCATTGGAAAGCTGCTTACTTAGGAAGGGAAAGTATAATTGGAAGATGTTGGTGTACAAGAATCTGTAAGGTAAATCGTGTGGTCTTCACAAGTTACTGCCTGAAACAATGATTCCTGATACTGAAGCATTAAGCCCTTCACATTTACTAGGAAGAAAAGGTGAAAAGGAAGAAGTAACCTAACGCATGAGAACTAATGCATTATAGGAACTAAAGCATTACAGTATAGAAAGCAAGGCAGCATGAAATTTTCATTTAAGATTGAATTTTGATACAATAGGGTCTTCTGTGATGTTCCAGACATGTTTTAATTGCTCTCAAAAGCAACCTCTTCACTTTCTTGTTAAAGAGTTAAGCACCTCTCTAGTTGGTAGACTGTCAGGATAATGACTCTATGCACTGAGATAATCAATGTCCCTCTTATTTATAACACTTGAATTAAAGCAGTTCTTTTACAACATGCTGGGCTGTTAGAGCACGATCTGTTAAACCTTAACTCTTTCCTTGCAGCTTGAGGCTTGCTATACATAGTAGAACATAGATCCTGTAAGGAAAAAGGAGAAAACCCACAGTTGAGTTTTGGTTCGTGCATGCAAGTGTAACCAGGTGGATTACCAACCAGTGCAGCCCCTAGATGCAGAGTTCTCAGGAAATTCTAAACTTCTAAAAGTTTTGGCAGGAATATACCTATCCTCTCTACTACTAGTCAGTAAAGTTATTGGAAGTTTTAAGACAAATTTTCTGAAAATGTAAACACCTTTCTTTGTAAATGTTGTGTTTAACCATCCTTTTAAAAAATACTGATAGGAATTTTCAAAAATTTTTATTAATAGGAAAATCAAGCTTTACCAAGATAAACACATTAATGGTAGCACCTCCACCTGTAGAGGTGACAAAATACAACTGTATAGGAAGAAAAGTCATCTCATAGTGATGGAATTCAGTAATTTGTCCTGAATTTACTCTCTTATTTCAGATGCCTTATGTGTTATTACCCACTCCAAAATGTTTCTTGTAGAAATTGATTAAAACTACTTAAAGTCCAAATAATGCTTTGAAAATCTTCCTCTATTTCTGGAGCTTAGAGAGACTAGTGTCTTAACTGGGATCATCTAAACCAAGTTCGTCTGTTTTGGCAATGTGAATACTTCTGCTTTCTAGAGGTTTGTGTCGATTTAGGCTGCTCAGAAGTTGTAGACATAATCACAGGGAATTTTTTTGCAATTGCTTTGTTATTTCCCTGCAACAGTGACCCAGACTATGACTGTACTTATATCATGTGCTTCCTTTTTAAAATACATTTATTTAGCTAAGACTTCCTAACTCATCACCAGTGAACACCTAACATACTATGGATTTCTGAATTTACTTTTTTTGAATATTTGACTTTTTGTAACATCACTGTATTAATGGCTGGATGTGAGAAGCATCTGTGAATATGCAGATCTTGTTTGTTTTGCATACACTCATACTCTCGTCAGTTACTGTGTGGTAAACCCCAGTATGGAGCTGATTATACTGGTACTTAAATCATCTGCAAAAAAGAATGAGTAAAAAGGCTATACAAGGCATTCATCATATTTAAAAATTTAGAAAAATGTTTTTAATCTTCAGTTAGTCATTGTGAATATTTGTAGTCAAAACTTTCATGAGTGACAGAAATATAGCCTATTTCCACTGGGTTTTCTCTTGAATCTACTATATTTTCCCCTATGCAAAACCCGCCTAACTAGAAGGTGGTCCAGCAACAACCCAACTACAGTATGTTCAGAGTTCTGTTGTGTACTATAGCTTACCCTCCTCACAGCTCATCCTGTTGTTTGTTTGTTTGTTTGTTTGTTTTAATTTTTATTTTTATTTTTGTTGTTGTTGTTTGTTTTGTTTTTTTTTTCTGGTGTTGAGGGCTCTAGGTGCGTACAGTTGCATAAGGAAGCTGATACTTAACTGATACTTAAAAATACAAAAGCAGGCTGAAATAAGAAGATAATATTTTTGAGAGCTCTGTCTTCCAGAGGCTCATTTTTCTTCTTTTTTTTTCTTTTCTTTTCTCAGACAAGCTGTATACAGTCTTCAATGTTTTTGATGATGACTCTACCTGCTGGACCTATCATGAGGGCATCTTGTCCGTGAAAGTAACAAGAAAGGGACCAGTTATTAGTACACTGGAAGCAGACTGGCTAGAACTAACTACATTTTATTATAAACAAGGATTGTCCTTAACAGATTCTTTTGTACACTGGGAAACTTCTAAAGGTGAGCACTATCCCGCAATATCTGGAAGCTTTTACTTATTCATGTGGATCTATTTTTTGCATGTTGGTCTTTCGCATGTTGGTGTGAAGGGCAGTTTGTAAATGTGTTCAGATAGTCTTTGTAAATTTGTAGAATTTCCTTCCCTGAAAAGGAAATACTGTTGTTTTTTGTGCAGTTGCAGCTCTGAATAATTGCAATTTCTGCCTTTTTAATCAAATCTGGGATTTTCAAAGCATGAAAGGAGTGTAGCATTATAATGAAATAAACCTTTTGCGTTAGTTCTGTTTTCTTTTTCTGTTTTTAAAGGGAAAAGATAATGGAAAAATTATTAGATGCATTTCAGTTGTGTTCTGCTGCTTCTCACTCTAGACACTGTGCTGTGCTTGGAATATTTCTAATGAGACAAAAAAGCGCCTTCTGTTCTTCTTGTGCTTACTGCACCATTAAGATTTAAGCAAAGTAAGACTTTCCACACTTCCTCCTTTCTTCAGTTCTCTGCTAGGCTTAAAATTCTTACCAAAACCCTGAGTTTAATTAATTTGATTGTTTATCCTGAAGTTTCAGATCCGTCATCTTTCTATAGGTGGTTCTGGTTGGATTTGGAGACATACACTAAGTAGAGAAATCTGCTTTTGCTCTTACCCTTAACTGTAGGCAGATTCTCCAGCATTTTTTCATGAAGGTGGGAGAGGGAAGTGTTCCCCGGTCCCTCCTGCTTCTTGCTCTCTTCTGCAGGAGCCTACAAGCTCAGTTAGCATGCTAAAATTGTTAGAACCACAGAGCTTCAGGCTACAGGATTTCTCCTCAGATTCCTAAATTGTCTTGTTCCTTCTGCCAGTTTCAATTTGATCACAGTTTTTCCCTGAAGGGAACCTCCTAGCTCTTTCAGAACTCCTATGTGATCAAGAGATTCGTGCTTCCTTTTTCTGATGTTCTGATTAAAAATAATAATGCAATCAGCATTCACTTTGCAAGGCTTGGGTTAGTGAAGGGCTGAATTAAAAAAAAAAAAAAAAGTTTAACTTCTAAAGATTTTATGTTTAAATATGTGTTCTTCAAAAATCGAACCCTGACAAAATAAGAGCTTGATTTTATATATGTATGCGTGTATGTGTGTGTATTTATTTATTTTTTTTTCGGTAACTTAGCCTTGAATGTTAATTATATTTCTGTAGCTCAGCAACAAAGTAAATTTAGTAATTTGCCAGAATCTGTGAAGGAACACAAGTGCATCGACATCATTATATTTCTATCAAGTTGAATTTGTCAGTTATTCTCTCTCAAATTGCATATTTTTTTGCACGTAAACCGTTGAATGGCACAGTTTGTATTGGCCATCTATTTTTCTTGAACTATAATTCCTATCTATTGAAGTCAGTGGAAGAACAAAGATTCCTTTGGGGGAGGAGAGGTGAGAAATCTGACTGCTGGTTTTCAATAGTTTTTTTTAGAGCTGGAAAATAACTCTTTGGAGATACATTACAATTCACCAAGGGGTTTTTCAGCAGCTGTTGAAATGAATCTTTGCAGCTGTTGTCCAAAAACAGTTTTTGCAATCTTTCCGTTCCCCTGTTGCTGTCTGCTTTTTTTCTGTGTGCATAACTGTCCCAGCTTTAATACCCAGGTTATGACTGACTTAGGGATTTCATGCGGCCACTTTGCAGCAGTTGCTGCTTCTTCAGCCCCACGTGGCTGGGATGTATTTCAGTGACACACATGGGTGTGATGCTGCTGAATTCTGCTGGAAGTATTCAAAGGCACAACCCTCTACATGGATGGCATTCTGTAGCTGATCAAGTGTCTGTAACCGCAGTGTAAGATTACTTTAGCTGCTGAGTTCATAAGCTAAAATATTTTTTCATGAGATAACACTGAAGAGTTTTATAACCAGGTAAAAACTGGGCTTTTTAGGGGAAAAAAAAAGTGTTTAAACTTTTGCACTCATCACCAGAATTGCACTTCTTGTATGTTTGCATGTGCATCCAATTGTCACCTTCATCTTAGTTTTTAAGTTTGCTTTTAGTTTGCAAGGTATCTACAGCAGCAGTTGTCCTTCTATATTGATGTAGTGAAATGAGCAAGTTTTAGATAATGTTTTAATATAACTGAAAACAATGGATGCAGGTAAAGCAGCTGCAGAAATTTTAATTTTGTTTGGATGTTGTATGGAGTAAAGAGAATTATGTTGCTAAGATGATCAAAATGCAATTCCCAATTTAAGGCAGGTACAAATTCGAAAGAATTAATTCATTTTTAATTCTCAATGACAACTGAAACAGAAGGGAGTCATACAAGTAATCCAGGTAAGTTCTTTTTTAGCTCCATTTGGGTCTAAGGTAGCGTTGCTTCTGTTTGTTGCTACCTTGCAGGTTCTCATAATCATAGAAGTACTTAAGATTGATGGGAGTGCTGTGATGACACTTCTGCTTTTTCTATTTAGCTTTATCTGCCAGGCAGTGTCTTTTTTTTTTATTATTATTTAAATAATATTAACAAGGATAAACCAGATGTTATTTTGACATAAGTTTCGACTTAACCATTTGTCTCAAAAGCCACTTAGTGGAGGTGCCTTGCTTCAATAATGCATTAAAATTTAGAGTTATATTATCATGATTTAAAAAAAAAAAAATCTAGCATGTTAAACGTGTTACTGGTTGATGATTATAAGTATCTGCCTGAACACTGAAGACAGGTTCAAATTCATTAATTAATGAGATTGAGAATTTATGAACTGTTAGGAACTCTGCAGGTGTTCATGTTTGTGCCTGAAGCCATCTATTCAGTATCTGCACTGTATTTGCATATATTCTAGAAATAAAATAACATGTTCAGTAGCTTTACAAAAGCATAGGATATAGATACGTAAGTATCTAAATAATCATAGCTCAATGTAAGTAAGTTTCCTATATGCAATATAGGAAAAATAAAGATAATATGAATAAATGCTCAGTGTCTTACAGTACATTAACAAGCATATTGGTAAAACAAGTAAAACAACAACAACAAAACAGGACTTCCTGTTTGACTTGGAAAACTTCCATGCTGGTCTGGTCCAATTTTAAAGCCAGACCAGTTGTATTACATAGCTTTATTTTGCTAGACACCTTTTAAGCTTATTTCTGCCACTGAAGCTGTGGCAAATAGTCATCTCTTTACGTATTTGTGCAATATTGGAGAGGATTTAAACCTGATATTTTGAGGAATGCATAATTTTTCGGTTTAAATTTAGTTTAATTGTTTAGGATAGCTAGTTGGCAAGGTAGGACTGCACAAAAGGCTTCCTTATTGCACTTAGGAGAAGAGACAGAAAATGAATTAATACTTCATGCACTGCTTTAGTTTGGGCTAACTGGATACTGTTAGACTTCCACAAGTCAGGGAGGTATTCTCTGAAATGTCCTTCACATCAGGAATCTTCCTACAATCACTTCTCTTTCAAGCTTTTCCTTTGGCCATTTATGTATTTATTTAAGTAACTGTAGCAAGACTTTACACTTCATGCTTCATTTATCTTTACAGTCTCTCCCACCACACCAAAAGCCACATTTATTGTTAGGCATACAGTATTGGAGTTGAATAAAGAGGTTTTGTGCCTGTTTGCTGCAGGGGATATGTTGAATATGGGAAACGTGAACTCAGAGTTTCTTTAGAGAAAATGAAACAGTTCATAGCTCAATTTGTATTGAAAAGGGGGTTTTGAATAATAAATTGACTTGCATGCTTCGTGAAATTGTAATTAGATGCAGAAAGAACTTGGAGTTCCATTGCTGTCTTAGTTCCATTTCATTTGAAGGACTCTTCAGTGGGAAAATATAAGCCCATGTGTAAGCCCATATCTCAGTAAGATACTGACCTAAAAACTTATATTTTAGCTTATGTTTGTCTTTGTTTGCAGGTGATTATTTGCCCAAATCTTTAGAAGGAATATTTATCTACGAAGAAGAAGGTGCTGGGGTTCCAGGTTCTAACAGGAAAGGAAATGATGCAATAGTAGTTGAACAATGGACAGTTATTGAGGTAAATTGGTAATTATTTAGCAACACAATTTCCTACTTCTAGCTTGCTTTGTTTGTTTCTGTAGAATGACTGTACCAGTATTTAATAAACATTTCAGGATGATTTCTTTAAGCCACCTGAATAAACTAAACTAGCCTTGAATCATACAAATGAGGTCAGGCCTGTGCCCATTAGTCATATGCATAAAAGAAATACACTGCAGAAGTACTGGCTTGACGCTCATAAATGTTCATATTCAGACCAAAACAGACCTAATTTCAGCAAGTGCAGCTCCACTGACAATGTACTGAAATATTCTTAAATAAAGGGGAAGTCAAACTTGGAATTAGAACAGAAAAGCTGATACTGTATGAGTTAAGTAGAGTTTTCAGATGTATGTTCTTAGTAAAAATTTTACTTTTAAATATCAAAAGACTTATTTTTTTTAGTAAAGTTACATATGAATTAGTGGCAATCATTAGTGGAGGATGCTATGGACTTACTTTTAAAATTCTCAGCAATAAATACATTTATTTATGTGAACAGACATGGCACAAGACTAAAGCCTAAAAATAAATAAATAAAAGTACAAGTAGGCCTATAGCTAGGTGAGATGCTTGTTACTCAGATTGGACGTAAAAACCTTAATATATCAATTGAGAAATCATCACTGCTGTTTTAAAAACTTGTGTTTTAGGAGCTGATTTAGCAACATGACAAATTTAACAAGATAGATGTGCTTTGAGTGTCATACTGAATCAGGACTCGTATCTAAAGTTAATATTCCTCTGTTTATCTAATCTGTTGTCTTGAACTTTTCAAATTGCTTTCAGTTTGAAATAGGGAATCCCTTTTCACACCAAATACAAATTATCATGTTATAACTAAGAAAGAAGAGGGGTTGTAATTTATGTGTAAAAATGCAAATAAACCCTGTACAGAGTGTCTTTACTACTTTTTATAATTATTAATGTAGGGGTGTGAAATTAAAACAGATTACGGACCTTTATTGCACACACTGGCTGAGTTTGGATGGCTCCTGACCTGTGTCCTGCCTACACCTATTGTACGACATGACAGGTATGCAAACAGCAGGATGCAGCATTTTGCTGTGTCTTCACAGTTGCACATCTTAGTGAATTATCAAGTGATTTTGTCACAAGACAGTCATGCACTGTTTATTGCAAATTGAGGAGGAGAATTTGCTAATCCAGCAAGTTACGATCTAATCCAGCTGTTTCTCTTCTTTAATGTAGATATTGTTTCAGTTTACATATAGTAATGAACTATTGGATTTCAGTTCTCATATTTTCTTGCTTTAGTATTTCGTTGGATGTCTTGGGGGAAATACCTGTATATGTAAGAAGAGCTAAATAGTAGACCTAGATCCCATATAATGTTTCAGAATTTCTTTTTAATGGAAAATGTACCGTGCTTTTATTCAGAGTACCTGCCATAAAAAATGGCAAATGTATCACTGAATTAAGCTTACACAGTTTTGTTTTGTTTTGTTTTCAATTCTGCTTCCATCAGATTAAGATTGCTGAAGTTCAGGGAAAAAATGTACTGAGGCATAGCTTAGAGCTCATGAAAACAATGGAAAAGCTGGGTGACTTTAGTAATCTTTGGATCTAGACCTCACTGTATTAAATCAAGACAGCATAAAAAGGACATGAATGCAAGTTTCTAAGAGAACTGCTACAAGAAAACGGAATTTTGTTCGAGTGATTTGACATAATTAAATTAACTCACCCATGTAAGAAGGAGGTTTTAATGGTCAGAAAATAGCGGTCCTCTTTATCTGTGTTTTGTTGTTACTGTTTTTTGGTTTTGTGGTTTTGTTTTGTTTTGTTTTGTTTTTAATCAACTGTTTACAAGCTAAGACAGTAGAAGTTGAGGTAAAGCATCTAGCATGTTTTCCTATTTTTAATGATTTCTCTGTTTTGTTTTCTTCTGAAACGTACGAAATTCTGAACTTACTGTGCAAAGCTCCTGCTCCATCAAGAAGTATTTCTCAGAACACAAAACAAAACGTCTATCCTTCAATTCTTTTTTTAAATTCTTAATCTACATGTGTTATCTTTGAACTTGGTGACTTCGTAGGGTATGTGAACTGCTGAGCCTGGTTTTCATAAACAGATGAAACTTTTGGTCAGATCTTAAAGATTGAGAAGTAGCCTTTCAGAATCAGATCAACTTTTTGGAAGGGCGTGAGTGAACAGTCGGATAGGAAGGTTCTAGTACGCCTTGTGTGCTGAAGGTCATAGGATGAGAGAGGTTTAAACCCCTAACCTTTGCTATCACACAAGCAGTGTACCTGTACCCATCCCCGAGAGGTTGGACAGAAGGGGTAAAACTGTCCTGAGCAGCCATGTTAGCTCAGTCTGGGCTTGCTGCAGGCAGCGGATGCTATTTTACACCTGGTAGATTGCAGAGCAAAAGCAGGGCTGCTTAGAAGAAGCTAAGTGCTATTAAAAAATAATAATAATAGTAGAAAAAAATGCCGTATGAAGTGATAATGGATTCAATAGACAGGGTCTGTTTCTTGAGTTACTGAGAAGGTGATGCACCAGCAAGACATTGAGGTTATGCTAGGTGTCTGAAATAGCTTTGGTTTCCAGATGTGAGACAACTAGCCCACTGCTAGATGCAAAACAGGATTGTATTCTGGCCAAACATGAAGTTGGATTCACTTCATATTAACACTGGAATGATTGATGAATACAAAGCATTTGTTTTCTGGTTTAAATAGTTGTGTAGGTGTGTGCGTGATTTGTCTAATAGTTGTTGTCTGGAAGGTATCTCACAGTCCACATTAGAAGAAATATGGTAAATCACATTTTGAGCGTGCATGTAGTATGTCTAATATACAGTTATTCAGATTTCGTTTTAGAAGTAAATAAATAAAAGTTCATTAACAGAATTCCTAGTTGGGAATTAAGAATTCTTAAAAGACTCTAAAGAAGTGTTTCTGTCCTGACAGCCTGCATAGTGATCGATAAATACTATTATTAGACATCAATATTGGCATTTGAAAAAGCGAAAGAAATTCCTACATGGTTACTGTGTGTCTGATAGGAAAGATGCTAGTGCTGTGGTGGTAGATGATCTTAGGAATTCAAGTTAAATGCTGGATAAAGATACTTCATGCTGCCCACCAGCAGTCCTTTTCCCAGACGGGGAACTCTGACCTCAGAACTCAGCCTGAATTTAACAGGTTTCAGAAATACTGAACAAATAAACAATTTGGCAAATTCATGTTTTCATGTTTGTTTGTTTGTTTTTTAAATGCAAAATATATAATGAAAATTCTATTCAAGAATAAAAAATGTTAGCAAGGCAGCCTGCTCCCCATTTTTATTTCCCTCCATTTTATGTCTTATTCTCTGCCTTAGTCTATTCCTAATTTTTTGCAAAACTTTCCTCATCTCAGATCTTCTACAATTTGTTCCTGGCCATTAAGCCTACTGTTCATCTGTAGACAAAAGGTGTGACCACAAGCTAGTAAGGTCTGGAGTGTGACAGGATGGTCACACACAGAGTGTTTCTCTATCTCCCTTCTTTTTTTTTTTCTTTTTTAAGTATAGGTTGGATTTGAAACAGAATGTAAAAATGGCAGGCTGTAAAGCCTGCTCCTCTGTGGTTTTGATGTTGCTGTTATTTGAAGTTTATATTATTTTTACAGATGTTCCTCTCCATAAAATAATGTCGTGTTGCACAGAGTGTCATGCCACATGCTAGCTGAATGTCATGGATGCCCATTTCAGGCACGGGCAGCAGCCTGTAAGCCTGTTTTGTCCTTTAGCTCCTACCTCAAGGGCTAAATCAGTGCAGGATACAGGAAGCATTTCCTCAAGAAATGTGATCTTTGTTGTTACAAGTAGAGCAATAGTAGAGAGCACGCAGAGTTGCATTTTGTGCAGTGTTGTTTGAAAGATAAGGACCTTTTGGGGTGTTTTTTTGTTAACAAAGTAGAAAACCCACAGAAGTTCCTAGTCTTCTGTCAGTGATTGTTTTTCCAGGCATACAGGAGAACAGAGCATGAAAAAAATGGATGTGATGCAATGTTTGTATCCATCTCTTGGATATCATCCCTATCTTGGATATTTAAATATGGTTAGCAGTCATTAAAGTATTTTTTGACCAAGAAAGAATGTAAGGAAGAGCCACAATAGTACTAGTGACCTCATTCACTAGAGCCTCCTGCATGATATACAGCTGTAACATACATGTGAAATGTTTTCTTGACAGGAATTTGACAATAATTATGCCAAGTTCAGAAGCTGTATATCAAGGATAAGATGAATAGCCCTTTTAGAAGTTAAATTTAGTGATTAGGGGGAAAAAAAACATGTTAGAAATTATTTTGTTGGTAATTTAGTGCTACTGGAGTTATCAAAATAATGTTATTGTGAATTTCTGGAATTCCGTACATGTTTGTGGTCTAAAGTTAGAATTCTTTACTGGTTTTGTTTGGGAATGGAGCAGTTGTGTCAAGTCCTGTGGGAGCCTTACTGTCCCACATTGGTACATGCCTCAGAACTGAAAGTCTAAATGCAATGCAACTGCAAAGGAGTGCGAAACTTCATTTTGGGGAAATGCAAATAAACCAAATAGAGTAAAAGAACTTATTATAGCTTTTCTTCATTTGTTCAAGAAACACTGTCTAACCTTAGTTGATTCGTACATAGAAAGTGTATGCATGAAAAAAAAATAAAAACATGTAAAAATCATAGCTATTGGCAGGCCTGAGTAGCTTCCAGTTGGATGATTGTTCTTAGAGATTTATTTAATATATGCATACACGAAGAGGACGGACTTATTGCCAATTCAGCATAAGCAGACAAGCAAATAGCTGGTGTTTTAACAAAAGAGTCTCTGTTGCTCCTCATCCCTCTTACAAGAAGAGACAGGAAAAAGGCTCCAGCAGCCGTACTTCGCAGTGACCTTTATTTCCCCTCACTGATTGCTGTAGTCCCTGAAAATCGGCAGGACGGACTGTCTGCAAGCACCGGAAAGCAAGCAGGCAAATACAGTGCAAAAACATTGACTTTGTGGTTATTAGTTTATCATCACAAACAACTTCATCTACGTTTGCAAAATGCCCTGGCTTACAAGGCAAAGTGGAAGTGTGGAAATGAGAGGGAAGCTATGGAGTGGCTTACTCTAAGCGTTTTTTTCTCATTTAAATTCTGTGGAAATCCCACTGTCATTGAGTTCTTTGTGAATTAAGCTCATAGCTGCTTTGTCGTGTGCAGCATTTTAATAAGCTGAGACTTAGAAAATTGTTAATTTACTGATTGTCTACTCACCAGTGTGTCCTTTCTCCATTCTAGTAGAATTTGTACAAGCTGAAGCTTAATGTTTGTTTCTTTTTTTTTTTTTTTTTTTTTTTGCTGCAGGAATGCAGACACAGTTACAAAATAGAGCATAGGCAATTCCCCATGACAGGCATTCTGCGCAACCTTCTCACTTGAAAGAGAGATTTCCCAGTTGATATTACCAAAACAGGCATAAATGAGGCAGGGGAAGATAACTGGCAATGTGGATTAAGTTTGCAGGATTGCTGATTTCCTTTTCATAATGTAAAAGTGTAACATATGTATTATTTTTTTTCAATTAATGGAAATAAGGAAGGTAGGGACTCCCAGAGGAGAAAACATGTTAAGTTAAAGAAACTAACCTCCTCATTTCCCTGTCTTCCCCAAAGGCTGCAGTTTAGGATAGTTCTCTTCTCTCATCCAAGGAAGGTATGCAAAGACATGCCTTGACCTTAGTTCAGCAGGGTTGAGAGGAAGGTTGTGATGGGCCAAGCACCATCACAAAGTCATCATAATTGACTATTGATCAGGTACAGCTGGGAATAGTGCTGTTCTGTGTATGTTCTCAGAGCTTACTTTGAGGCACTCTACTAGGGTAGGCTGTTAATAAATTCTTTCTGATCCCCTAGCAATGGTTTTAGTCCCTGATTTTTCTTGGAGTGAGTCCCTAATATAAAAAAAAACAAATTCATACTATCAGTCCTAGCCCTGGCATAAAATATGTATCAGTTATATCAACCTTATGTGTGTGGTTGCTGAGATTGTGACTTACCGTACTGAAGTACGATCAGACATTATTTTACTACTTCCTTCCAGAGCGTTAAGCATAAAAATACAGTTTTATTGTTGATAGAGGAATAGGTGGAATCATGACTTCTTGAAGTGGGCTCACTGTGTGGTAATCACTACAAGTCTGTTTTAAGTCATTGAAGTTTTGTGGTGCTATTTATTTATCTTACTCATACATTTGTAGTTGCTTTCGTGCTAAAGTGTTTCAGTGTATTTCCTTTATGCATGTTAAGAGCTCGTTGAATACTGCACAGAAGTAGAGTAGGGAGAGAAGAAGAAGTTACCAAAACGTAGTTCTGGTATGTGGAAGAGCACAGAATTTTTTTTAAACCCTCCCATCCCAGAGCTCTGATCTCACAATTCTTGCATGCATTTAGTCCTTACAGAGTCTTGCTTTGTAAGTCACATGCGGTCAATTTGCTGGCCTGTATTTTTGATGGAAAGGTATTGAAAACAAATATCTAAAATCTTAAAGAGGTTGTAAAGGACAATTCTTTTTCTATTAACCAGTAGTAAAAGAATGCAACATTTTTGAGACGTGAATACCTGAGTTGTTTTTGATGAACTTTTTCAACAGAAAACCCACAACTGAAGTTCTTTTTTTGCTCTCTTACTTCTTTCTTCTCTTGTCCATCCCATGTACAAAACCACCTGTGTCATTTATCTCATTGTGGATGTACTGGTTAAACTGAGCTGAGACCTTTTGTCCAGAGGTAGTGAAAAGGCAAGCTTATCCCACTGTCTTAGTTAGATGTTACGTTAAAACCAGAAGACAATTTTACTGCTAACTAAGAGTCTTACTTCACAAATTTCCTGTCTCAAAGATACTGAGATACTTGTTGAAGCTGTTTATCTTCTGAAATTGAGGCTGTTTGCTGTGGTGTTACTAGATAGTTGCATGTTGTTGTATATCTATCAGTGCAAATAGATGAAAAAAATACTCTTTAATGTTTAATTTCAGATGTTGCGAAGGTGTGGTCTTTCATTAAAAGTAGGAGCTTTGGTACTTAAGCTTTCAAGCACAGTCCTGTCAAGTTACTCCAATCATACTACTAAAAATGTTTTGTTCTGTATTTGTTTACATGTGCAACACCTTAACCTAGCTGTGTGCTTCTGTTTGTTTTATTATTATTATTATTACAAACCAGTTTATGAATTAAAACACCAGCAAATGCTTGATAATCTATCCTCTTCTGACTCATACACACACAATTTACAGTTGACTATGAAAGGCGTGAATGTTACAGGAATGTTATTGCCTTGAAATATTCAAAGGATTTTCCTTAAATTTTAGTGAAGGAAACCTGGCCACAAAGCAAGTTGTTTTTCTTCAGAGACCTGTTATTTGGAATTCTGCTGTCCAGACGCCAGAGGTGAGTAATGTGTTGATTTAAAAAAAAAAAAAAAAAAAATTAGTATTTCACACTATAGTTACATACAGAAACAGATTTCAAAATTAATGGGAAAAGAGTGGCAGAAACAGGTTTTGCTTGAAAAAATCTGTTTAAGTTTGTGTCACATTTTTGCAGCTGCATTTGCAAGTTGGATTTATTATTTTTTTTAACTCAGCTATATGGCTCTTAGACTAAGCTGTAGAGAACAGAAGTGTAGGTATGCTAAAAGCCTGTTACTTTAAGAATCCTGTTCTAAGAAACAACTGTTTCTCAGGTGGATGAAGTTGGCTATGCTGCAAGCATTTGTTTAGAAGCCTTCAGGAAGTCCTAAGTGAGCTGACTCAACTCCTGCACATGAAAAAGATGACATTTTTTTGACCTCTGAAATGTCTGTTTTCATGCCTGTAGCAGAATACAAGTGTCAAGCTGTGCAAGGGGCTCTGTAATCTGGGGGTTCCCAGGGTGAAGGAGTGTTAGCCATTGCTGTGTGACTGAAAGTATGTGACAGAAATAGAGGACTTAAAATTCCTACAGCTGAACTTCAACAGTTACCTGTCCCCTTTAAGTGAGATTCCAATAACAGTGGTTGTATAAAAGTACTTTGAGGATTAAATCATCAAAGTAGTCATCACATCCTGCTCAGAGCCAAGGTCACAACAGCAGTGGCACCTGTACAGTGCTATAGCAAAGCCTGCTGTGGCCAGGGGAGGATAACCAATGGGTTCTTCCTTACCAAGGTTTTCTACACCCTGTGGTGCGTTTTCCCTTTTATTTGTTCTTCAGTGGCTATTCTGTCTTCAGCTAATGAGCTTTCTTCTCCTGTGGTAGCCTTTTTAGGAGCTATGGAAGCTGTAGGCATTTTGACTCAGGCCCAGCACTGGAGTAGTAACTTCAGAAATTCTGTCCATCGTGATACTATTACTTTTATGAAGCAGTGGTATCTATCCTCTTCTTTGTCCACCTGTATAAATGTTTCATGAGACTCTACATAGCTGGAATTCATATTTGATCTTTCCAGCTTATATCCAGACTGCTGTCATCATCTGTATTTTCCTGTGATTAGTGTTTCTAAAATACACTCTTCCTTTTTTGTTCTTCTCCAGACTTCTGCTTGTCTCCAGCCTAACTTCCTTCTCACTGTGTCCCCTGATAATTAATTCTTCCATGCCTGGAAGAATGGCATTCAACATGAAAAATGGAAATTTAATTGCACATCTCCATCACAGTCTCAGACCCTAGCTAGGTGTTGTATGCTGTCTTTAATTTATTTTCCTCGTTTACAAAATTTGGGCTCCTATCTTATTTTCCACATCAGTATTCTGTGCAGTCTCCCTTGCCAATGTTTCAGTCATCCATTCATGTCCTTTTCCAAATTCTGCCAGTTCTTGCAGTTTTCTTTCAGTTTCCTGTGTGTACCACTTACCTTTGGCTTTTTGCTTTCAAAGCTTACAGTCCCTGCTCTCGTGTCATCTCTTCTTTTTTTGGAACATAGTTTTGTTGGTATCAGTGTTGTAAGTGTATAAAGCCATGCTATTTTTTGTCAGTCACGATCAAATAAAGTCAAAATTCTCCTGATGTTTCCCAACTTTTTATTGCTATGTATAATAAGTTCATGGACTCCTGATGTGACTACTCTTTCCTTGGACAGAGATACTTTAAAGGACACTGTAACTGTGTGACTCAAGGTAGAAGGATTAGTACTGGATTCTGCCAGGAGACACTGTAATACAAAACACTTCCATAAAAACATTCATTGTCAAAAATTGATAAATCTTTGAGATGTGTTTTAAATTAAAATTAGAGGAATCCTTGTGTTTGCTGTTTAAATTCTGTTGCCTAATTGTGAGGTGATTAGTACTGGAATGACCTTTATATTCTTTATTTTTACAAGTATGACAGTACCTGTGTTGTGTGGTCCTTGTTTCACTTGATTGTAATGCAAAACCTTTTGAGTTAAGCATTAAGACAGTGGAAGTAAACAAACAGCTGATTTGTAGCCACGTACATGAGGATTATTGTATTTAAAATCTGAAGAGACACAGTATCTAAATGTGCCCCTTAAGTACCAGTGAATATCTTACTTCTGCAACAGGAAATCTCAATATGATGAGGTCATGTTAGCATGGGATAAATAGGTAGCTCAGGCTAAAGCTAAAACATGTCCTAAAGTAGCATTTACCCTCTGTTTTTCCAATCATGTAGGTTTTCCCCTAAATCTTAATTTCTTCATTTACGTATTTATATATTACCAAAATGTCTGAATTGGCAAAACAGCATATTACCTTTATTCATAGATGAGGTAATCTGTCGATTTGTTACCAATGCCTAACTGGTATAGCACGTCATGCTAGCTTTGCATGGAATAGCTAGATTTCAGGTGGGAAACAAGCTACTGAAACCTGAAAGCGTTCAGTATTAACTTTTAATATTAACTATTAACTTTTGCTCTAGAAATTGTAATAAATATGTTTATTTAAAATGATACATGGACAGGGGGAACAGAGTTGTGGAATTTTATCAAACAAACCTTTGAAAACATTTTAGTAAAAAAGTTTAACTCCTGTGATTCTACATTGTTGGTCATGACACTTCACTTGCATTTACACTGACTGCATTTCTTGTTGTTTTACAAAATAAAATCATCATGTCCATAATTCAGGATGCTTTTGAAACACAAAGCTACTGCAGATATCTAAAATATTTTAATTTCCAAACTAAACAAAACGCATCAGTTTGTCTATTTATGAGTATCCGTGACGTGTTGGTAACTCGGATATCTTGAGAAGAATACTAACTTTAAGAGAGCCAACGTACAAAACCAACAAGGCTTTTTCATTAACGGAACCTAATTAAGAAAGCAGTTCAGTGTTAGAGGATGCCTACATGAGAGTGTCTCAGACCCTCAGAGCCTGATCACGTTGCAGCTGTGTGGCAGGGTCCGGCCGTGGCACAGCTTTGTCCCCCAGGCATGTCCAGCTCCTGGAGCCCTGTGACTTGCCTTCTGGGGGCTGGCAGTACAGGGTACCAGCTGCTTTGTGTACTCAAGGTCGGTTTTGTTGTAGTGTTTTGGTTTTGTTTTTTTTCCTTGTGAGGTTGAAGTTGCCAGTTCTAAAGGAACTTTTAATTCAGTAAGAATTGAGGGAACTCCTCTGTTACCTGGCCTGATATTCCCACAGGGTCTCTTTTCAGAAGACTGTGTGTTTCAAGTCCTCACAGATCCTATCTCTGCCTTCTTGTGTATTTGTTGGTTAGTGCATTATGATCTGGCTTGCAATTTATGTAATAGTTCAAAGGCCTCTTGGATTTAGAAGGGTTATATTGTCTCAGTGAGTTCTTTATCACACACCATTTGCTTCTCTAAGAAAACAGTTCAGAGGAGACCTGAGACTGAACTGCACACATGAGGGATTTCTCTTTTTTATTTCCTTTAGGCACACTTCTCCATCCTCTTACTGTGGCATCTGGGCAAAGCTTATTTCCTTCTGTTTCTCCTGAGGCAACCCTATTTCCCCTTAGTCTAATTTCCCGATGTCTCCTGTAACAGCTTCCCTTAAATACATTTCCTTTAGCCACAAGGGCCATTGTTTTTACTGTTTCAAAAGAGTTTGGGAAAAATGTTACAGATGTATAGAAGGGGGCAAAGAACTGGCACAAACAGTTGCAGTTTTGGTTTGATCAGTCAGACATGTAGGTTAGGTGCAAAAATAAAGCTTTCTTCAAACAGCTGATTTTTAGCATGGGTTAAGACTTGTAAATCATTCTGTGTCTGCCAAGTAAAACATAGGAATTGGGCATTGTCAAAATAATTGCTTTTTCTAAGCATTTGCTTACTCTCTTTTGAATCTTGACTGTGCTGTATCTTTTGCATCTCTCCTTAAATATCTTTATAGAGAACAAAAATGTCTCCATTAGGATATTTCTCGAGAGGAGTTCATAGTTTAAGCCAGTGTTAAATGCTGCCTTATGTTAAAATGCAGCTCACATTAAATTCATACATGACTCATTGTGAAGTGTTTGGCTTTTTTTCTATATAAGCTAACATTAAAACACCCCCTTTTATTTCAGAAGAAATCCTTAAGGCAAGTTATTGGGGAGGAAAAAAGCAGAGTTGGTAGCAGAAGTGTTGGATTAGACACAGCTACTTCTCACCCTGTAGAAACTGGACAAGCACCTGATGAGTTTCATCTGTCTCCTTCTAAACAATGTTGGATCAAAGAGGCCTCCTCCCAGTATGGAGGCTTTCCCAGATTCAGTAGCAGTGATGGAGTATTAAGAGAACTGGATGATGGACAATTTGACCAGGAAGATGGAGTCACTCAGGTCACATGTATGTGATGAAGTAAGTAACTGCAACAGATGGACATGTACATAATTCACACAAATGTAAAACAAACCAAGTCCATGCTACTTTGAATGCATTGATATAATCCTATGACTTTTCCCAGACTCATTTTGTATTTTTGACTGTAGTAAGCCTACTGTAGTAATAATACTACTGCAAAATGCTTTGGCTTCCTGTCTCTCTTTGATAGAATAACTACCTGACTGGGTGCTTTGCTAACTTTTGTTCATCTTTTTTGACAAACAAGGAAGCAAATGCTGCAAAACAATGACAGTTTGTCTTCTGTAAGAAAGAAAGGAATGTGGATGTTTGGTGTTTTCCACAAGCTGAAAGTGTGTTTTGTTGTTGTTGTTTGTGTTTTGTTTTGTTTGTTTTTTTCCACAAGGGTATTGTAAATATTGGGGGGGGGGGGAAGGACAAGAAAAATTAAATATCTCCATATTGTTAAGTTTTAATGAGATTTTCACTTTACTTGCTTTGTCTAAGCTCAGAAACCTAGAGAAATACAAGTCATATGCTAGACAGTTAATAATTTAAGCTGCATTCAGACCTGGTATGTACAGAAAACCTCTGGAGGCAGACAGTTGCTCCTGTAATACTATCTCAGCTCTGCGGCATTTACCAGGGTTCCATGTACACGTAAGCCAAAAGCTATCCCAGCATTCAGCTTTGTGTGTATATATACAAAAACTTACTCGTGAGGAAATGAAGAGCCTCTCGCCTTCCAAAAGGTAACTTGCATTCTATGAAAAAGTAGTTTGAGAAACTGTAAGAAGCACCAACAGCCAGGTGCAAAATGATACTAATAATATACAGGGGGGAGAAGTAGATAAAATGTAATATTAGATGAGAGACTTTTTACAAATATGTCGATGTATATGCAAAATAAAATTTCTGCTAATTGTATATCACACTAGATGAATGATATCCAATTGCATCAAATAGCAGAAGCACTGTTCACAGGAAAGACTGAAGCTCTTTGGCTTCTGTCCTCACTGTGGGGAGGAGTTAAGACTGGCTTCTGGGAGAAGAGGCACGTACAGGAATTATTTTTATGGTGCTGTCTTGAAATTACATCTGGCAATAAATAGTTCAGCTTCCATCTAAGCTGATCTACTGCAGTAGCTGGGAAACAAAAGCCACAGGAAAAGACATTCTGCTTTTTTTTCTTTTTTCAGATCATTGTTGGTATTTCACGTAAAATACTGTAACTTAGTTACTGTCTGTAAGAAGCTTTTACTAAGGGAAATTTCAAGTTTTAATTAAAAATGTAAATGAGAAGCTGAAGAAAATTGCATGATAAAGGTGATTGTAAATAAAAATGTATTTTTGAAGAAGTTCTAGAAGCAAAAACTTCTAAGTGCTTGTCACTCTCAAGCTAAGAAAATAACCTGATTCAGGTGAAAAATCAAGACAGAACTGAGCAAATGTATTCCCAGCCTTTCTCTCAAGGTTTGTGGTACAGCATGCCATCAGACAGGTATAAAAATCACCTGCCTCTGGTGGCAGTGTTCCACCAGATGCCGTAGAAGTCTCTTTGCCCACACTGGGATGACGGCACCAGCACAGTGGGCACAGGAATGCAGTGACAGCAATGCCAGCAACTGACTCAGAGCACCTTCAGGATGAACAGAATGGGGGCAATTCAGCCTGCGAGCTCCAGGGCAGGGAGCCACGCAGAATGGACTCTGGCAGGAGCTGCTTCTTGCAATGAGCAAGAAATAGTTCATGAAAGAAAAAAAGTTGCACGTGCTGTGATAAGCAGAAGTAGCACGAAGCTTTACTACTATTTCAATTTATTTTTACAGGGCCTTATCCACTTGTATGAGGTTTGATTGTTGTACTAGGGGCTTGAAAGGATGATGGCTTTGGAGTTGCTTCCCAGTTTCATGGTAAAAACTGTTGCAGGTTTGTTATTATTTTTTTCCTTTGGAAGAGCAATTCCTAACAACTATTTGCAGCAGATTTTATCCCTCTCCTGTTCATCTTCACCAAACCCTGGTTCTGGAGACAACCTTTAAATTTATCTAATTTTCCTGTTGCACCTTATTGGAAAGTGCAGCTTCTCTCTTCTCACATGAATTTCTTAAGAAAAATACCAGCAGTCTGGCAAAGTGTTCCCTGCTCAATGGGAGGGTGCTAGCCAGGCGCTCCTCCCAGAGCCTGATCCAACCCCTGTCTTCTCACACAGCCCACTGAGTAGCAGTCATTCGATAGCAGGCATCTCCCCATGGTACTACAGATGGGGAAGAACTGATGAAAAGATACATCTGTCCCTGGCAGAAAGATAAGTAATTTCAGCATATTAAAAAAGGGACAACAGCTGGTCTTGTAAAACTTGGAATATAATGCTCTACTTCTAAAAATATTTGTCAGAAGTAATCAAAAGAAAAAAAAAACACTCTCACATGTGCAATTAATGGTGGTTCTGCGTACAAGTCAAAGTTGTAGAAAGCAGCAAAAATTGGTCAAAAAACTAGGAACTCTGAATATTCCAAGTTAAAGCTTTTAATGTGTATAAGAGAAATTACCTTTTATAAAGTAGTATCACTGTTTAAGATAGTTAACAGCAGTAAATTGTAAAACAAAACCGAACTGCAAATATTTATATAACACATTATAATGTATAAAGTACTAAACTAAATGCAGTTACTCTTTCTAGAATGCATTTATTGGATAAAAAGGAATCATTTCACTTTTGAAATCTTTTCCAGGTAGCGAATTTTTCCAGGTAGCGAAAATGCAGAAAACTCAAAACTAGCATCCAGACGTTTTTTTAAAAAAGCTCTTCCCATATGATTAATGAAGTATAAAGTATAAACAAAGAAGATTCAATTTTTGCAACAAAGGTAGTCTGGATGTCCACAGGTACATTTTAGAATATTCCCACTTGAAGCTTTAAGAAATTTCTTTAAGAATTTTCTTAAATTGTAGGCCACGGAAAGGAATGTGGCTTTATTTCAGAGTTTCAGCTGTACTTTAGTCCTTGCTCTTGAATCTCAGTAGGTTTTGATTGTGTTGCAAGCTTCTGTAAATTTATTTCTAGTCTTTTTAATTTGGTGTAAATATGCTAAATTGCTTCCTTTAAACCCCTTTAGAAATGCCTGTTTAGGTAAGGACAGCTGGTTATTTTTTTAATGCCATTTGTTTTGCATACAGTACGTAAAGTTGTCCCTGCTGTACAAACACTAATCTAGAGTGTTTTCCTAGTTCTCTGTTGTCTTTCACCTCGCAGGGCTACATTTGGGCTCTGTACTGCACACAAACAAAATTTAATTCTTCACCTTGAAAAAAAAAATGACAACCTGGCAGGAGACAAGATAGAAATGTGTAAAGGGAGTGGCACGGAGAAGGTAGCAAAGGAATAAATTCTTCAGTATTCTAATTCAAGGGAATCATGGAAATGGTAAGTAGCAGATTTGAACCAAGTGAAGGTACTTATTTGGCTGGCTGTTAACTGCTTGCCACAGGATGTTGTATGTAAAACTACATGGATTTAAAAATCCTGAAAGGGAAAAAAAAAAAAAGCTCTCTGAAAGTCACTGAACCAGACTGAAACTGTTGGAGACTATAAGCAGTGGTTTGACTGACTTGTGTGCGCATCCTGTTCCTTCTATTTCTTGTAAGGACCAGTTCTTCATCCTTGAGTTAGCTGGATTGAGCAGGACCATTGTGGGAGTGTAACTGAGAATGGTTTCTTGCTGCAAAACTTCTTTTAAAAAATCTGGGAGTAAATTGATTGCTCAGTCTGTGTGAAGACTGTACACAAACCATTTGACTTCATGCACTAGTTGAAGAGCACAGATTAAACAACCTGTCTTCCTAGGGCATGGATGCTGAAACAAATAGTTGAAAATGCTTTTAAAAGAAGTGATGCAAAATCTTCTCTTTCTTTGCCGTGAAAAATTCTGAAAACCAACTCATCTTATGTGGGAAAGAAAGAAGGGGAGGGTACATTTTGCGTTGAGGGGGTTCTATTTAAAGCTATGTGTTTCAGTATGTTCTTAAACTGAAGCATTAAGTTATGACTCTACTAATCGTAAATTACTAGCAGCTCCTGTTAGCAAGCTTTTTTATATGCTCTTATTGCACACACACTCCTCATTTTACTCAAATGTATTTTACATACTTCATTATCTCAAGCCTTTTTATTGAATTGTGGCTCAAACTTTAAGCCTGGATGCATCCTCTGACCCAAAAAAAAAAAAAAGTACACTAATATCATGGCTTCATCTGCGAGTCTGAACTTCAATAGATGAGTCCCTCACCTGTATGTGACAACAAAAATACGACTATTAAAAAACAAAGATGGAAAGACATTAATGCTGTTCCCAATTATACGTCATCTTAAAGTGTTAGGACAGGAAATACTTTTAACAGTGTTTGCAAGCAGGAAGAAATAATCCACTATAAAAAAATCTTTGCCCTGCTCACACTTGTCACAGTTCATTTACATACCTGATCAGTTGTAATAAACTGCTGCTTAACCTCTGGCTTTGATCTATAAAGCACAATTTTCTTTTTGTAAAGCTAAGGTCTATATTTCTGATGGGAAGCTTCTCATCATTAAAAACACTTCTTAAATCGGTTATCAATATCCTTATTGTGTTTGTCTCATGCTGGCATTAAATTCTTTAGCTCAATGTATACTTTCCTTCAATTATATTTTTGCAAGTCTTGTCTGTACATACATACATCACACAAGGCAAAGCTTGTTAGACTTTTAATCATCTATTAAAAGCTGATTAGTTTACTTTTATGTTATATATTAATGTTCTGTAAGTAATAAAAAAACAGGTCACTGTTCTGACAATTGGCTATGGTTTAATTTATAGAATACAAGTGTTAGGACAGAGAATTTTTAAAGCCAATTTCCTGTGTCAAAATTTAGATGAATGGTATGAATTTAAGTGGTGAATATTCTTTGGGTAATCATAACTTGAGACAAAGTGGTTTAGAGAAACAGGGGCTGATGACATGCTTGACGTTTTAAGCAGAAGCTTTGACAACATTAAGAGAATAAAAATCTCAGCAGCAAAATCACTGGGGCTGACTTGCAGCAAGATACGCTAAAGCAAGCATCAGGGCAAAAATAATGAGTTTTTTGACAATTAGCCTTTGCTTATGACATGCCATTCTACGTGACACATTGCCCATAACATGCTTGGAGTATTTGAAAGGCCCTCTTGTAGATCTCACCAACTCTCTAATTGTAGAACCAGCATTTTCTTAGTTGAGACATGTATGAATTTGAGGTCTGACCTTAAGGTGCTAATGAATATTGCATTTCTCTGCTTTTGAAAGAAGAAATAGAACCTCAGCACACCTTGTAGATGGGAGAGCACCGCATTTTGTCTTGGAACCATTCAGCTGCCTGTGTTTTTAGACGACTTGAAAAATGAGAATCACTTACCAAAATATAGCGGTCTGGATAAAGAAACAGTTTAATTTTAATTTTTTTTCCTTTTTTACAATATATTTCAAAGACAGTCGCCTTCCCTATTAAGTAGATTGTAAGTTAAATCTGTTCATGTATTTACTACACAAATCAATGGTTTGCTTAGGCAAAAGGAAGTTTTATGGTACCACTCAGGCACATGTGTGTACGCCGTACTCATGTAAACAACAGCAAGGGAAAATACAAGCAGTGTTTCACTTAGGCCTTATATAAAATCAATAGTAGAGCAAGTCAATTTTACAGTGCAAATCTGAATGAGAATAAACAGGATTAAAACTTCCAGAGTTTTGTTTTGAAGTGAAATTCCTAAAGCGTAAGAAGAAGAAGAGGTTTAAAATTTTAATGCAGTCCTGAGCACCACATATTCTTCAGTTTCGTAGAGGAGATGTAATTCGCAACACTAGTTACATGTTTTTGCCTGTCTCAGTCACTATGACCAGTATAAGCATGCAGCATGACCGTACTAAAGAACACACCATGAATGGTCCTACAGCAGACTGTAACAGAACTAAATAAATTGACTACTTCCAAAATAGTCTCTCTCCTACCTGCAGTACAAGCTTCAAGATACCTATCAAAATCAAGTAATCTGGTCCATACAAGGCAAGTTATAGCTAACTGTATAGACAATAACTAAAGCTATGCTCACTCAGACATCTCATGCAATTACCCTGCTGACAGTTAAATAACAATGATAAACATGAGACACAAGAGCTGCTGAAGAACACAGCTGCTGAAGTACTTCAGAAGTTTAGTCTCTTTATTTTCTCATTGTTTTAAATTCCCTTTACATCCAGGTGGTACAGTTGCTTGAGGTGTGCTTGATTTGTATAAAGAAAAATAGAATTTAAGGCATGTTTAGTATATTATGAAAAAAGACTTAAAAATAGGTGAACTCCCTTCTGTCCAGGTAAGCATAACTTAACAAAGGGTAGTTTACAGAAACAACCTTGCTTGGCCTGTTCTGACCTGCTTAAAGAAATAGAAGAGGCCCCCGGCAACTTCCAAGAGAAACAACCAGCTACCTTTTTAAACAGATAAGCAAAACTCATTTAACATAAGAACTCTGCTAGTGCTTTTAGACCCTGCATTCATGCACACTTAGCAGTATGTCTCTGCTATATTAACACTAAAACATTTAATTCTATCATTCTAGACATAACAATTAAGCAGCACTCATGGAAATTGTCAGTTATTGCAAATCTGCAAAGAAAACTTGAAATAAACATCTAAAAGGGAGCAGAAGTAGTGTGAATCCAAATCTTTCTGTCAAAGAATATAATGCAGGTGAATTAAGAAAAACAAATTAACTTATGTTGAAAATATGATTAACTCCTGCAAGGAGTCAGGTTCAATTTTTCAAGTACTTAATGTTTTTACTAAAAATATAAGCAAATACTATGCTAGCGGGTTATGTAGTGTAATGTGAATATTTATGTGAGGTATAATTTGTAAGCCATTGCCATAAATATGTACAGGTATAAGCCATTGAGTTTTCTGCCACAGTTAGGCTGTAGAGAAGTCGTGGACTGGAGAACAGCAGAGGTCTGTTGTAGCAGGACAGAAACCACCCTCTGCTGTACACAAGCCTCCACTGGTAACAAAACAAAAAGTCCAGAAAGTATGTTAGACATATATCAAGAATATATACGTTCAACAGCATAGTAAAATTATCCTTTAGGTATTACTAATACTATAGATGCTATTATTGTTTGGATATACACATACAGGAATATGCACATCCAAAAGTAAATCTTCAAAGCTATCTTAAAAAAATAAAAGCTAAATTAGGGATAAGCTACACTGCAAAGAGCTTCCTGCAGAATTATATATTTAAGGTGATAATCTTTGAACTAGCATAGCTACTGCATTAAAAAATGGCTTGCTGTGTAATGTTAATCTTGCTTTTTTCCCCACCCAATCTGACACATCTTCAGGATTGTGATTCAATGATTGTTTAGCAGCAATTTTAAAGAACTGTAAATTCTTTTATTAACAAGCATTATAAACAGATACTACTACTTTTATTTAAAAACCATGAGTGCCACATTGATGAATATACAGCTCATGAATAACTTAAAGTATTTCCCATATTAAAAGGCAATGCACACAGCATACAAAAAGTATACTAAAAGCTATGAGGATACGTGATTGAAGTGTCTAAAATGATATATACAGTACATAATTAATGTTTTGCTTGTATTCGGTATAGACTTCTGTACTACCATCCCCATCATGCCTCACTCTCCCCTGCCACTGAGTTTTGCACTTCTTCTTCCAAAATGGGTACAATCAGGTTATCCTTGGACATCAGATTATACTTCATCACAAACTTAGTGAACCGATGACACAAGAAAGTTTCATTCTGGAGATGAAAAAAGGGGAGAAAATATATACAGAAGGAATATTTTAAGCAATTGAGGACAACATACCAAGGATAAACTGCTTATATGTAATTGCCCCACTGGATTTAAAAGTCTTAAAAACAGTAGTAATGCTTAAATGATAAATTTGTTACTTCTTTTAAAACTTTTCCTTTACTAATTGATTAACATACAATGAATCAAAACCCAAAGCTTAAGTCACAGCTCAATTTAACAGTACTTACACGAGAATATATTAAAATATCAGTGTTGTCCTGATCTACTCCAGAAGAGAACTTGAAGATATTGTGAAACACCTTCAGCATATACTATTCCCAACAGAACAGGGCACAACCATTCCACAGCTGTTACAGCAACCTGAAGTGGCACTTAACAAGTGTTTCTTTTTACATCCGGTTACATCCCTAATCTCCTTTCTAGTTATCAATTTCTGCTTTTCAGTAAAAAAAAAAATAAGCCTTTAAAGTTAAGACTAAGTTACAGCACGGAATTTCAGTTCTTAAAAGCGTCATCCACTAAAATCAATACTTTACTTGGGTGCAGATTTTCAGGTAGAAATAAACAAACTGTATAATACAATTACATCACAGCTGTAACTTCAGTAAATGCCTTCACTCGAGAAGTAATTGAACTATTAAACTACTTACTTCATATTCATCAAATATCTGCCGATGATGAAAATAAGCATGTGAAAATATTCTGTAAATCCTTCGGCACACTGATCCTAATTTGGCTACAGAAGATTCCTTTATGCTAACCCTGTAAGCACCAGGAAAGAGGTTACCAGGAGAGATCTATTAAAATGACTGACTAAATACACATTGACAGGAATTCTGATTGCTAAACTGTACTGTCAAATTACATATGACATTAAGACTGATGTTTTGCAGGCATCTGTCTGCAACTGCTTGTTTTTGCAAGAATAACACAAATGTTGCTGCATTCTGTACATTTTAAAATTGCCCCAGCTACAATAAAAAAGTAATAGCTTTTCCTGTAATATACAAATATCATCAGTTATTCTGGTGAGGGCTGGATTTCTGGTTTATGGCACTGATGAGCAAAGGGAAAGACTTCCAGCTGTACCTCCTCACCAATACAGGATTCACCATTTTGACTTCCCTTTTTAGGTTTCTATCATCCCACACGTGGGCTGTGTCTTGAATACACTCAGTCTATCTTCTGTGCTTACTGATGTCCTGCATTAGGGTGATGTTAGTTTCTGGAGATTTTCAGTGGAGCAGTGTTCAAGCCCTTTGAGTCACTGCATCCCTCCAAAGGCCATCCTGTTACTTAGATTGGCACTACTCTAATGGAAGCCCCACAGTAACACTGACAGATAATAGGAAAAGAAACATTTCCCACCTAAAAAGCACCCATCAGCTCCGATAAGTGGCAGACTATTTCAACAGGCAGGAATTCTTCCTCGGCTTACCAGTGACAGTAGCTGCACTAGCACCACTGACACATTCTGTAGGATTTCTGATCGTTTCAGTAGTAGTCCATGAAGAACATGTAACACATTTCTATGTGGTTGCTAAGCAAGACTTTAGGTGCCATCTGCTCCCCCCACCTCTCCTTCCAAAAGGAAGCACTTTTACCTGCTGGGGAAATATTTATTGCTATTCAGAAGACATGCAGCTCCATCAAGTGTGTGTCTGGTGTAATCGATAGCAGGACACTACAAAACACAGAGGGAACAAGCACATGCATGAGTGCGTGCATAATATTATCATGAAACACGTTTAAAGAAAAATTCTGTTTCCTGATCACTAGCCATTTCTACTTCAGAAGTTTCATGTAGCTTCTCTGAAGGTCCAACTACATTTCCTCCTATTGCTTCTCTGTTTTATAACCCACGTCAATTATTTCAAGAGAAAAGTTACTATGGAAATTTGATCACGTACACGAGTAGTGAAATTTATGCATCTCCTTAAGTAATACCATATAATAAGAATACATATTGGAAGTACACTAGCATTATGTCACAGGTCACTTGCTTTCCACATTGTCAAGTTGCCAGAGTGTTTCTTTTACAGCTTAAATTAATACCCTAAAAAATAATTTAAAAAAAAAAAAATGACCCTAAGTATACCTTGTTAAAAGAAAGTCAAGATGAACTAGGACAGGCAGAAACCGGTCAGGAATGTCTGCTAGTTTTGTTGTCCCCTAGTTGCAGGAAAATGACTTCTTGGTTGTACATTTTTGTCAGCAGTCCCTCAGAGTTGCATCACCCACTGTCTGACCACGGGGTGATCGCTATTATCAATGTGGAAAACTGCAGGCGAAGGATGTGTTCAGAGATAAACCAGTATTACCTCCTCTTCTCACTGACTGGGAACCAGAGCTGGATGAAACGCAGTCTGTGCTGCTGTAAAAAGCAGCTCTTTCCTACCTCATCCCATACTTCTGTAAACACACTAACAAATAGGAAAGAAGGAAACCTCAAGTGATTATTCCTAACGCAGACATAAGCTCTCAATTTGACTAAAAGGACAACTCTAATGGCCTCCCCAAAAACACAGGAGCTGCGGAAGAAAATCTTATGCCAGTCGGGGCACTTTTACAAAATACATCCATACCTCTTTGGGAGTTTTATGAGCTGCACAAAGAAAAATCCATTGTTCAGTTGCTGTCATCTGAGTACATGTGTCTGGATGACATTCACTCTGTTAAAACAATTGTTTGGTTATGAAATCACCCAACAGCAACAATCTGATGGTTTTCTGAAATCACTTTCTTGCCCTGTCTACCACCAAAGAGTTACTTGCCAGAAGCCTTTAAAACACTAAAAAACTTACCTGAAACCACTGCCTAAGTTTTTAATTTAATAATAGTAAAGCTCTACAAACTCTGCAGCTTATGTACAAGAAGAGTCTCTTCCCTGACACGATATAAAAATATCAAGAAAATAATTACCTGAAGCTTGACAGCTAGTCCATTGAGCTCAAGGCAGAATTGTCTAAAAAAAGAATTTGAACACAGCAGCATCAAAATCAAGCAATTTGATTTCGCACTGGAAACACTGGATACAAGACAAAATGAAACATTCTGGTCTTCTTCACAGATCTCTAAAGATGTTTTGTAATTATTGCTTTTAAACTGGAAAAAATAACATGAAAAAAAACATACCTAAAGAATATCATCACATAATTTCAGCTAGTAAGACACCTGAAAAGGCAGATGTGCCTTTTAATTAACACACTATAAAAGGACTACTCAGTGAGAGATAGAGAATGCATAGCTTTTTACTTAACAAAACAATTACATTTTAATTCTTATCTGATAGTAGAGGCTAAGCTTAACAAACAATTTAGTGGAGGCATTTAAGCTTTGTTAGGTAAGAAATGCTATTTCACAAACAAAGATCAAAAAAAAATATTAACACTTCAAGAAAATCAATTTCTTAAGAGTGTGAATTTTAAATTCATATAGATTAATCACTCCATCCTTCTAAGATATACTTCCTCCAAATCAAAGTACCTAAAGTCCCACCAAAGAACAGGACTTCCAGATACTCTGTTTCCACTAGAATGTACCTGGAAGTACATTTTTTAACTTAGGGAATTCAGTAACACCACCAAACTACAAGAGATAACTGAATAAACTTTACAGAAGTGCTAAGAATTTAGAGAAATCACTTCTATGAATCTACTGTGATTTTCAATGTACATGAGACAACAAAGGAAATTCTTAAAATGTGTCTTTTGCCATTGTACATGTACGCTTTTTTCCTTTTTTGAGGAAATATCTATTGGAAATATTATCAGAGAAGACAAAAAAAAGAAAAAAAGAAAAAAAAAAGAAAATGAGAGGCAGAAGATCATGACCTATACATCTAGGATGAGAACTATTTCTGAAAATACATTTGATAAAGTTAGAAGATAAGCTTAATAAGAAAAATAATCAGTGGAGATGAAGAACTGATGATTCTAGGAGAAAGTCATGTGGAAATTCATGACTCTATTTTCATATTCCAAGTATGCCAGAATAATTTTTGAAGTGAAGTACAATCATTTTATTTAAAAAAATGCTGCATCAGAGAGCATTATACATCTTTAGAAAAAAACAAGGAATTCAGAAAACAATACAACACAAAATTATCAAAATATTTTGTAGTAGAAATATCACATTTCATTTAAGTTACTTTTAACCTGTCATATTCCAGAAAAGAAAATCAGTACCACTATCAATATACAAAACTTGGTATCAGAACACTACATTGATGAAGATGGATTCTTACCTTAAATGTTCATACTTCCACACACCTTCATCCTGGCCTTCAGGAGGTTCAAGGATCTTATCAATGTTGGAACAGTCTGCCCTTATGTTTTGCTGAATATACTAGGGGGGGGGATGGACAATAAGATCTTCTTGTAATTATAGTATGTACTTAGGACTTCACTGCATCTTTAAGAGACTTTTTCCCAGAGATGAAAAAGTCATTTTCCTTTTTATTTAAGAAGTGATTGATAGTCTAAAAAGTTAAGAAGTTCATGGGTGAAGTAAGGCAACTGGTATAAAAAAAAGAATATTAGATCTGAAAAAATTCTTGTTCTGAATTAAAAAAGGTAAAATAATGAGTAAATTGCATAGCTTTTTTACAAAATCCTTCTCAAACAAAAGAACCCCTTGGGAAATCCCACCATTTCCTTATATCTGATCTGTTTAAATCATACATGAGAATTCTAGCTATTTCTTCATATCCAATTAATAATTACATTTATTTATGTAAGCTGCTTATGAAACTCACTCTTGTGCAGCAACACTAAGCAGACAAATGGCATGCCACATTCCCTGTTGTTTTTAACCAGTAAAATACAAAACTTGGGAACCTGAACTTAAAAAAGAAGAGTACCTGCTGAACAGCTAATGTACTATCCATTTCTTCAAAGGATTCATCAGGCCAATTGTAGAAATCCTGTTAAAAGAAGTTTAAACCAAGTTAACAAAAATACAGGGAGAGAAATAAAAGCACAAACTAACAGTACGCTTAAATACGCAGGAAAATAGATGTAGAATTAGTTTATACAATTCCAGGAAGCAGCATCTTAACAGAAGCAGCAGACAAACTTGGCAAGAACAGGGTGAAATGGCACTTATGCTCCTCAAGTCGCAATATGAGAACATCTTGAAATCAAATTACAACTTGATCTGGCATACCATAAACTTCCTCTCTTCCACGCATCTTGTTCTAAGAGCTATGCAGCCTGTCTTAGATGAAATATTTGCATATGGTGCTGACCCGATCATGTAAGAATGGGGAAGAGAAGAGGTCTTTAGAGAGAACCATTATACAATCACTAGTGAATTAAAATCCTGGTGATGATATTCTTGTAATAATACACCATTGGAAACACCTTCTCTAACCTGAGGAAGCACAACACAGCGCTGACCCAGCACAGCTCTACCTGCTGCCGGCACACAGAGCAGCTTCCACTGGCACACAGAGCAGCTACCTGGGCATGGCAGCCACAACGACGAGCTAAACACGGCCACAGAACAACGCGATCGCATCCATTTCCTTCTCTTTTCCACAGATTTCTCCAACCAGCGCAGGCTTCTGTCACCTCACCCGCCACAGCCAGCCCCGTGCTGGGAGCGCCCCGGGGCGCCCCACAGCCCTGCCCGCGGCCCCTGGCCCTGCTGTGGGGCCTCCCCCTGCCCGGCCCGGGGCTGCGACGCGGCGGGGAAGGGAAGGGAAGGGAAGGGAAGGGAAGGGAAGGGAAGGGAAGGGAAGGGAAGGGAAGGGAAGGGAAGGGAAGGGAAGGGAAGGGAAGGGAAGGGAAGGGAGCGGCGTTTGCTCACGCAGCGCTCCTGACACGGGGCCTCCGCGGCCGCGACCCCCGCCCCGCAGGGCCTCGCCCCCGCCCGGGGCACGGCACCGCGCCCCCCCGGGCCCGCCCTTCAGGGCCGCCGCAAGGCCCAGGGGAGCGGCGGCGGCGGCCTCCTGCCGCGGGCCTGGGCCCGGCCGCGGGGCTCGGGGCGGCCCCGCCGCGCCAGGCCAGGCCCCGCCGGCCGCCCGGGCCCCGCGCCTCGGCGGCGGCGCTGCCGGCCCCGACCCCGGCCCCGGCCCCGGCCCCCCGTGGCTCACCTGGGCCTTGGTGCCCGGCCTGTTCCGCCTCAGCACGGCCGTGCCCTCCGCCATGACCATAGTGACAGCGCCGCCAGGACCCGGATGCGGCAGCGCCGGGCGGGGCGGAGCGGGGCGGTAACGGCGCAGGGGAAGGGAGGGACGGAGGGAGGGAGGCGGGGAGGGCCCGCGGGCCTCGCGAGAGGCGGCGGCGGCGGCGGGGACGGGGACAGGGACGGGCGGCTCTCGGCCGGCGCTGCAAGATGGCGGCTCGGCGCCTCAGCGCCCCCTTCAGCGCCGCCAGGCCTCGCCCGCTGCCGGCCCGTCACCTCCGCTGGAGGATAAGAGAAAAAATAAAAGCGGAAAGATGGCCAGTTTGGGAGAATAAGCGGTAGGGAGGAACAGGGAATAGGCAAGGAAGGGTGAATGGCTGCACAGCGATGAGAAACAGGGAATTGTCAATCCCTGGCTAAGCCCGTGTCGCAGCCTCGTGCAGGGGGCACCCCTCGCTGTGGGCCGCTGAGGGCAGATGGTGCTCGTTACTCGTTTACCTGGAGAGCTGCAGGTCGGCATTCCTGCCCCCGGGATGCTGGGTGTGCCGGTCACACGGGGAAACTCAGCACTTCCAAGGTTAATAAACCACGAAAAGGTTAACATTGGGAGAAATTGGCGCATCAGGATGAAGGATGTAAATGTCGTGTTACCACATCAGGTCTGCTGTGATCCAACATTAACTTTGTAATGAGATTGATTTATAATTAGCCAGTCCAGAAATAAAGGCAATGCTGGTGGTTTCAGTCCCTTATAACACAGCGTTGTGTTGGTTTTTAACCAGCTCCAAGGTTAAACTGGTATCTAAAGCACAGAGGAGTGGGGAGATTTGACGTTTTCATTTGTCCCTGACTTTTACTTCATGGACATCTTGCTTCTGAAACACAAACAAATCTGGCTGAGAATATTGGTGTGTTGGCTCAGTCTGAAACTCGCTCAGTTTTACAGAAAAAGGAAGGAAATCTGCAGTGCTTCTTGGGCAGTTGGTAGCTGTAGGTCTTTTGTTGCCCCTTAGTAATTACCTTGTTATTTCTGGAAGATGCTTCTTATGTTTTCAAGTGGGTTTTAAATAAAATCTGATAGTCATCAGTATTTTCACTTTTTTTTTTCCTATTTTTTTTACCAGGTCCATATTGTCTTATCCCCTTCATGAGTAAAAAGTGGAATATTTGGCCAAGATCATCTCATTCCTGTGCTGTTAGGGACCTGACTTTCCTTTCTAGGCCTTCTACCAGCATGTGTGAGTTCCATCCTTTTCTTACCGTGGCAGGGTAACACGACGAGGACAGTAAAGGCTTTCTGAAAATTCTATTGCTGCTGCTAGTGGAACCTTTTCCCAGAAGGGAACTACGAAAAGTAGGTGGAGCCTGCTTTGTTCTTATGCTTCAGACAGCTGGGAAGAACTGGATTCCCACCAAAAAGCAAATACGGCAGCATGTAACATTTTTGCCACAAATTGGCAAATAATCTATAATGGAAATAATCTAGAAAACAGCAGAATAAAGTCTAAATTCTCACAGGGAAAATGCAGTAGTGAAAGAGCATTTATGATTCATACTGTCCTCCACTCTAAAGCCTAGTGACATAGGGATATAAAATCTGGTATGCAGCCAGGAACTTAAAAGGCAGTGATGGCAGAGGATCACCTTGGCAATGTTCTAAGTTCCCCTGTCCTTGCTTGTAATGATAGCCTTATGGTGCAAGAATAAAATGTTCCATCAGACGCTCAGGCATGTCCTCCACTTAACTAGGCAGAATTTTTTCTTCCATCCACATATTTCTTATTCCTATGAAATGTCTCAAGAAAATGTGGTATTGTTTTTAAACAGATTAAAGCAGCTCCTCATAAACAAGGACTGTAAACCTCCCAATGCTGCTTGCTGTGAGTGGGAATCTGACATAAAGTGTCTTTAAAAGACAGCATTTAAATTAAGCTGAAGCGTTAGGCTTAAACTTTTGCCTGTTGGATGTTCCTTCCTAGTGCATCATTTTCTCATCAAGATGTTACCTGGTTTCCATAAGCTAAGCTGTAAACATATTACGCACCTTCCCCACCTCGCTGTGCCTACAGCAGAACACCTACCTTATCAGGGAAGATAAACGCATGCTTGCTGTAGTGGAAGATAATTCTTTTCAATGAGTTTGTTTCATTATGCAATGAATTGTCTGTTAACAGAGGGGAACAAGACAACAGCCCAGAGCATCAAACTTAGCTCCATGCTGGGTGGTAACTGGCATCTACAGGAGCAACAAATCAGCTCTATGAAGTTTATCTGGGGAAGAAAGAAGGGAGCCTTAACTGCCCCAGCAGAAAATTATTGCTTTAGAATACATCAAAATCAAGTCATTGTCCCCCTGCAACCAGCTGCAGTTCTGAGAAGTATTTTTTATTTCAGGCATTTCTGGTTATCTCCAGAAGAAAACAAAGCAGCTCACAGTTTATCTAGCAACGTTGATTTCATAATGGCTTGAATTTAATGTGAAAGAATTGACTTAACTATTATTAGTTTCAGTAGCTGAAGGTCCTATAGGGATTTATTTCACGTAAGATTACACAAAAGCCTTTTAGGACGGCACATGTTCTCAAATGGTGCTAGATCAACATAGACTGACTCTGAAGGCATTGTTAGGAGCAGTATAAAGTTCAGATCTGTTCAGTCACGTGCAAATAATCCTTTCCCAAGGCAAAACAGGGTGGTTAAAAGTATGTAAATGTGATTGCTTCAGCATTACTTGAGTAAATACCTTACTCTTTAAGAAGGCTGCACTAAGGATAAATGAAGTGTAACTTGGCAAATACACTGTCAGCGCTCTGTAAGTTGTGGGACAGGTGGAAAGATCTGGTTTGAGATAAAGCAAATTGCTTCACGAATTGCTACATTAAGATCAGCACCAGCTCCAATTCCATCAATTAACTTATATAGGAAAGTTACTCTCTTTCTACCTGTAAAGTGTTAGAATTCCTACTACAGGCATCACCTGTAACAAGCTCTGTGCACAGTGTTTTGCAGCAAGCTGTTTGTGGCAGGGTTGTTTGCTTTATCTTGCTATGTACCAAACACCTGTCATCTACTGCTAGACGATGATGGAAGTGAAGTTAAAAACCGTCTGTTACTTAAGATAAAGCTCAATGTGTCCCAAAGCTAGCTGAAACAGTTTCCATCACTTTATCTGCAATAACACTTCTAAAGTAGTCCCACAACTTTAGGCAAGCTTATTGAAAGTAATGTATTACAACAACTGAAATCTTTCAGAAAGTAGCTCAAGACATTACACAGCTGAGGCTCAGTTTCACAGAGCAGTAGCAGAAACTGAGACAGAAGCAGAACAGTTTCAAGAAATTTATTGTAAAGGCCTTTACAGTCTCAGTACACAGATAAGGATATAAAAATGTTGTCGTTTGGAATAATTAAGGCTGGTTGGTGGTCACCTGCATTTCACTGTTCAATGGAACTCAAGAAAGAGCAACCGACTTCTGACTGCACACACTTTTATTTGTGTTCCATCATTACAGTGAGATCACAAGTTATTTCAGAGAGTCAATGCCTGCATATTATAAAATAAAGGACATTATTTACATGATGAAAGAAAGGATTTCAGTATTTTAGTGGAATGGATGACTGCTACTGCAACCAACTTCAGTCCAGGTACTTCCCAAGGATGTCACCATCTCTAAACAAGTAGTAGTCCTGCAAGTAAAAGAAACATTACTTGTCACGTGGGTTGTTTTATCACTTGTTTTGCAGATAACCATCTGTTTTTTTTAAGTCAGGGCTACTGTATATCATGAAGTACAAAATCAAAGTGACCTAAGACTTGTTCTACCTGTTGACTTCAGGGAAAGATTTTTGTTCATAGGACACAGTTTGGGCAGGCCATCAAGTTACTGTTTTTAGTAGGAGGAAGAACAAGCACGGTCACAGGACAATTCTGTAAGCTTTCCCTGTCAAAAGCAAGGATACCCCCAGTAATTTCAAATCACTTTTGGCTTCTCACTGATATGGGCTCAGCATATGAAGTCACCTCACCCACCCAACAAAGATAAGGCCAGATGTTTCTTTGCTTACTTTCTTTTAAACTGGATGGAAGTACCAAGTACTACAGGTACAAGAATGTAACTTGATTCAACCACTTTAATACCAACGGCATCTACCGAACGCAGCTAATCCCATTAAATAACTACAGTATTTATTACTGACAATGTGACATTTGGGAACCAGCTTAATGTGCATTCACGACATTGGGAAACCTACCTTATCTTCTAGTACAATCTTTGTACCACCATATTCTGGTAACAAAACCTTTTCACCAACTTTAACGCTCACTGGATGTATCTCACCATCCTGAAACAAACAAAAAAATGTATCCATATTGCAATGATCTACCCACAAAAAGCATTCAAGATACCACACTAACTCTACATTTTATTTGTAGAGTGAAACTAGAACACAATTTTATCCGTAGAGTTTCTTTCTTTCTAAAAGGGACAGAGAAAGTCCATTTTCATATTCTAAAACCATGGCCAATTTTTCGAAGTGCCAGTTACAAGTACTTTACCGTGTTGAGCGCTGAAAAGTTACTCAAAGTAACACTGGCAAATCTATATCCTTTTTAGAACCATGTGATAAAGTTAAGTATCAACACATTAGTCAAATATTAGCATCATTTCACAATATGAATTTTTGAGAAGAGAGACAAAAAAAGCACGGTATCTATAGAGGACTCACAATTAAGGAAGCCCGAGTCAACATGCCCAAGTTAAATTTTAACCTGTTTTCTACCATTGGTACTAAATAAACACTGCTTTGGTGGGGAAAAAAATTTCCAATGCTGAAGCCTGTTGCCACAGGCATTTCAAGACTGTGAAATGAAATTAAGACTGCCTTTTTTTAAGATCCCAGATGAGCAATCAACATGGCAAGTTTATGAAAGCTGATTTACCATTTCAATTCATTCCTGATTTTTTTTTCTAGTGACCACCTTTAGAGACCATGATTGTTTGCACAGCACAAGCCAGTGAACACCACGTTCTGCAAATCCACCCTGCTCATGAGCCACGTAACTTTAGGCATGTAATCATTTGAACAAAAAAAGACTACCCCAGGCAAAGCATTGAAGGATTGAAGCAATAAAGAGAAGACATCCCCCAAAACACTCAATATTAGAAGTCACTATTGTTTAAGGATGCTTGTAAATGTCAACAAATAATATTAAGTTTCCAAAGGCAAGTATTTTCCATTTTATAAATGATGAAAGAAAGACTGGAATTCAAGGTCAGAGCCAGCAGGGGAACTTGGGATTTCTACCTCCTCTTTGAATTTGCACTTCGAACTTCAGCCATTAACCTCATCCATTTTTGTCAGATACCTTAAAACTTGCGCTGCAACCATCCCTTTCCCACTACATTTTTCCAGCTGCTGCGAACACCCAGATGTTTCAGGATATTTACCTTTCCTCTGGCTCCCGATCCAACTGCCACTACTGTTGCTTGTAGCACTTTCCCTTGAGCTTTTTCTGGAATCATGATTCCTCCTTTGGTTACAGTTTCAGCTGCACATCGTTCTACCAGAACACGATCAAACAGGGGAAGGAACTTCCTAAATGCTTTTCCTGCCTGTGGAAATAATTGTACATTAGAAAAGTAAAAACATTCCAGCAAAATTGCAATTAAAAGGTTTTTAAAACCACAGCTTTCTCTTTTGAGAGAGACCACAAGTTTAGAAGTCTGATGAGCATTTAGTTTTAAGTGGCAAACACACACCACCTTTGATTGCATCAGACATCGATGGAGAAATGAGGAAGGCTGTTAGAGCTGTCCCACATCGCAAGGCAAAAGCAGCAGCCTCTCGAGCAGCCTTCAGGGGCACATATTGGGCAACGTTTGCACTTGAGCCATACAAAGCTCCTGGTCCAGGTGAGGGAACAAACCACCACCAGGTGGAGCAGCCACCTCACGTGGCTGCAAGCACCACGCGCTTTTAATCCTATGAACAGTTAGTTACTATAGTTCGTGAGCAGTTAGAAAACCTATTTTTAAATTCACACACAGATTTAATGAAGATTAAGGACTTCTTAGGACAGTTGCATTCTTGTTCGTTGTAGTGGAGTCTTCTACAATAACGAAGTTAAAGTCTGGCCAGGCTCCCCATGTTAGTCTTTTTCAGGTAACTTCAAGACTTAACATTTCACACGATGTGATACAACTTCTTTAGTCTGAAGTCTGAAGCAAGAGCGCGGTTATTTGGATTGATTTCTACGAATGAACTGTAACTTCACAAAAACATTTAGATTTATACCCCTAGGAACAGGGAAACAGGCACGTTCCTACCTTGACTGCTTTTCCTTCATGTAGAATAATCATTATCTGCCTCTACTTCAGGGTTAATTGCTTTTTAAAGGAGTTTGCTGTGACTGGTTGCACAAACACAAGGACAGAATCCCACTGAGCAGGGGTCAGGGAGAAGGAACTTGCTCTGATTTCGGTGGAAAGCTATGGAGCCGTGCCAGGTCACGTGCAGACGGTGCTCCAGGAGACAGGGACCCAGGGCTCACAGGGAGCACGCTTATGGAAGCCACTAGAAGCCAGGGCCTGGCGTCCACGTGCCCCTCGGGGACACTCACCCGTACGTGCACACGAGCTTTAAAAATAGGTTCAGCTAAAGGCAGGGAAACAGCATGAAAGCTGCCTCCCTCACGAAGATGGCTGGTACCACCAGAAAGATAAAAAAGAAAAGATGCAAAGAGCTGCCAATTGTGATCGGTTTTGTTCTATAGAGTTAATATTGCTGATTTTTTTTGAAGGGACATTCAGCGTTTGGCTGAAACGAGCAGTTGGACGCAAGGACACTGCCATTTGATGCTAAGCCCTACGGAACGGCCCCTCCTTGCTCCCAGAGCCACCAGCGCGAAGCGTGAGCGCCAGAGCAAGGCCGGCCCTGCCCTGCCCCGCTTCTCCTTCAGCAGGAGGCGCGGGCAGGAGGCGCTCACACGAGGCAGCGGATGCCTGACCGGGCGCGGCACCGGGGGCCCCGCAGCTCCCCCACAAGGACTCCGCGACCTTGCGGCTCCCCCCTCCCGCAGCGCCCGGCACACGGGGGGCCGCGGGCAGCGCCAGCACCCCCGGGGCCCCGCGGGCGGCTCCCTCCCCCCGCGCCCCTTCCCCCCGCAGCCGCCCCCGTCCCGCTCTCACCATGCTGCCGCCGCCGCCCCGAGCGCCCCGTGCCCGCCGCAGAAGGGCAGCGCCTGCGCATGCGCCACCGGCGGCCCAGCCCCGGGGCGGGGCCCGGCCCTGCCGCCGCCGTTGCCGCTGCCTCCGCCGCTGCCGCGCTCCCCGCCCCGCCCCGCCCCCGCGCCCCGCTGGCTGGCGGCCGCCTCGGGGGCCCCGCGGTGCCCGGCGGCGAGGCGGAGCCGCCCCCTGACCCCGGGCGGGCGCGCGCGTTCCAGAACGTTCTGGAAGCGCCGGGCCCCGCAACCTGCACTCGGCGCGCCGGGCGGGCTGCGCGCATGCGCGGGGCGCCGCGGGGCCCGTGAGGCAGCGGCGCGCGCGGGGCCGGGCCGGGCCGCCCATGCAGGTTCCCGGGCCCGGCCGCGCGGGGCCCCGCCGTGGGCGGGCGCCTGGCGAGGGGCGGGGCCGAGGCCGCGGGAGCCCAGCGCCGCCCGCCCCGCGCCGCGCACACCGCCTGCACGCCGCACGCCTGCCCCGGCCCCTGCCCCGCACGGCCCCGCCGGTGAGGGCTGGGACGCGGCCCGCGGGGCTGGGGGGGGCTGGGGGCTGCGCGCGGGCGACCGTTAACGGCCTGAGGAGGCGCGCGCCGGGAGCCGTTATGGGGCGGGAGGGGGGTGGGGGGGGAGCGGGGGGTGGGGGGGAGCAGCCGCGTGCGTGCGGCCTGGCGGCGGCTCCGTGACGGGACTGGGGGCAGCGGGGGGGTGGGGGGGTGTCCGCGGGGCTGTGCTGCTGCCCACGGGGCTCCCGGGGCTCCCGGCCCCGCAGCGCGGCCCGGCCGGCGGCAGGGGGCGAGCGGCGCTTGACCTTGCGGCGCGTGTCCTGCCCGGCCGCGGGGCACAGCGGGGCCCTGAGCGCCGGGTGGGCTCCTGCTCGGCTTCCTGGCTGGCAACTGGCTGCGCTAAACCTGGCGCCCGTCGCCTTTTTTTAATTTAATTTAATTTTATTTTATTTATTTTATTTTTCCGTTTTCCAGCCATGCTCCGTTTACCCGCAGTGCTCCGTCAGATGAGGCCAGTGTCCAGAGCGCTCGCCCCCCACCTAACGCGAGCGTACGCCAAGGATGTGAAGTTCGGGGCAGACGCCAGAGCCCTCATGCTCCAGGGAGTGGATCTCCTAGCAGACGCTGTAGCAGTCACCATGGGGCCAAAGGTAAGCGAAGACTGTGCGTTTATTTTGCTTAAACGCCTTGGTCTGGCTGAAAACAGAAGGATAGAGAGCAGTTTTTCCTAGGTGGAGCTGTGTTATTCCCATCCGTGTGTCTGTAACGGAGCTGCAGGGGCATGGGCAGGCAGCTGCAGGCAGCCATATTCTCATTCAGTCACCTCCCCGCGGGCGCAAAGTAAGATGGATCTGAGCACTGTGGAAGGTGCTGTGCGTTTCTGGGAACGGTTTGAAATAAAATAGGGCAAGGGGGCATGCAGGATTGGTTACTCTGGCTCATTTGGAAGCCTGTAGCAATGTAGTAGATAATTAACCCAACTCACACTATAAGTAGTTAAATTAGTTCTATTTCTTTGAAATAGGAAATGTTTTTTGTATCATTTTGCCTTCTAGAAGTAACAAAGTAAAAATACTAAAAGCATAATGTTGAGTTTTCAGTTGACTGGTAAATGTTACCAGCTTATGTGAAAATTCATGGTAGTGGCCTTCATTTTACCTTGCCTGTAGGGCAAATTGTAGTCTGATTCCCTGCAAGTTTTTGCTGACTTGAAAGCTGGCTGTTACATTTTGCATAGTCATACAGCATGCAGTAAGGCTTGAAACAAGGCTCCTTTTTAGGGAAGAGACATTGATTTTCTTCAAGCTCATAGGAATATCTGTTTTGGGTAGTGTGTCTGTAATGGTTTCTTTGGAATTTTGGGCCTGGTCACTAGGTGGTAGTGACTGGGTGTTAGTGGGGTGGGTGGGAGAGTGGTGAAGTATCTGCAAGCTGCAGTTCTGCAGCTTTTGAGATTTTTTGATAAGTTACATTGAATCGCTTGAACTTCTTGATGGGATTAACATAGTGACTGTTTCGTCCCACCTCTAAAGTAGGCTCACTATATCTCAGAATACTTGTGGAAGCTATTAACAAAGGCATGGTTTAGCTCTTAGAAGCTTCTAGTTTGCCAACTTTAAGTACAACTTTGCAATGATAAAGGTAGATTTGAAATAAAGCAGATGAAATGAAATGAAGGTAGGAGGTTCAGCACGTACGATAACGGCGTGTGCGTGGTAGATCTTGTCAAGGCTGCTTGGCCTCTGAAATTATTCTTTGCACATTTTTGGAGCCTAACCAGCTTTACTCAAAGACAGAAATGCTATAAACTGAGCAAGGTGAAGGTTAAGGAACAGTCACGTCAGCAAACTACATCTGCTTCCCATAAGCACAGTTCTGCAGAAGGGAACAAAGTTGCAGTGCACTCAACTGATTTAATTTGTTTTTGTCTCAGGCTATGTTTTGAATGTCTAAGCATGATTTTAATGTACTGGTTAAACGAAAGTTCCTGATGCAACTTTATGCAATCTTACGGATTTCTTGTTCCAGCATTGCCACTTTTATTCGCTGTTCTCTGTGCGTTTACAGAGATTTAGTGGTTGTTCTGTAACACCCAGGTTCAGCCTCCAGCAAGAACTACTACCACACATGTGAGGAAAGCTTTCCTTTTGAACTGCTCTGTATTTAAAGAAACTGGTTTACAGTCTTACACAATCCTCTGATACTGCTGCCAATTGGCCAGTTGCTTTGTCATTGTGGTTCTTGATATGCAGGACCATTCAAAATGCGGCCGTATTTGCAGCTGGCATTCATTGGTTCAGAAACACAAAGCACCTCTTTGAGTGTAGGCTGGTTAATGTGATGGGATAGAAGCAGATGTTGTTCTGCCACGCACCTCGTACCTACCTTTGGAATAAGAACAAGACAAAGCATAGAAGAAAAATTAAGCAAAATGAGGAGGGACTATATGAAGAAGAGCTTATCAGTATCAGTGTCCACCAAAGTTTTCTTGTTCTTGAACCACTTTTAGATTTTGAATAGTGCAAGTCAAATGAAGTAGCAGTAAGAAGTCATGGTAAGTAATAATTTGCCATGATTGTTTTATAGGACAAAACAAGCAATATGCAAACTCTCATGAGTTCAAAGTTAGTAACTAAAGCTCAACTGTTTCTTTTTTCTGTAGCTTCTAGGGCTAGCTGTACTATGGTCTCTTCCATGGCAGCAGTCCAAGGTTGGTTAAATCATTGAGGCAGATGTGAGTAGGCACTGTGCAAGCGAGAACACGGTGCACCATAGTGGCAGCATGCAATGTCCAAATCCTTAGATAGCTTGGCTTGCCACTCAGGCTCTGCTCTGAGCCAGAGCCACACTGGCACGTGGTCAGCTGCAGCGGTGCCTCTGCAGGAGCCAGCGTGCACAGCTCTGGGTTGGGCCTGACAGGCCAAGTGAGGGGACAGTGCAGGATCAGCTGGGAGTGACTGGGGTGAGCTGGGGCCTTGGATCTCCCTTTCCTTCTTCCAACTGCTCCAGCTGGCAGGATAGCTTTAGGAAGAGCTTTAGGGCAGCAGTGGGTGAGAAGTGGCTGCTTCCATTTCTGCTCTTTCCTGCTAAAACTCAAGAGCATGATTGACTGGGGCAGCTACTGAATTCATTTAGGGAACTTTGTGAGAGGGTGCATCTACCCTGTGTTCCCTGCACAGACCATAATGTTCCGCATCAACTTTGTACATTGTTAAGGATATTCCAGCTTTCTAGATGAATGCAAGGGCAGGCAATTTCTGAGAAGTTAATGCAACACATTTGAATACATTTATATGTTGTTTTCAGTTCCGTTTGCTAACCACTGATAAGGTTTGCAAGAGAGCTCTTTTCCAGACCGTGCAAAAAATTGAACTTTCTATTGCTGTTTCTCAATCATGCTTTTTATTGTGATTTGAAGGAAGTTTTGCAGAATTTTATGTTAATGTATTTTTGTTAATTTTAGGGGAAAATATGTTAAAGTGAATCTCGGCATTTTTTTTTTAATTTATTTATTGTAAGGCCAGTCTTATTTTAATTTCAGACTTTGAGTCTATGATGTTAACCATCATGGCTGGGGGATTCACTGAAAGCTTCCTTCTGTAAAAATATAAAACCATCCAACCATTTTTCCAGTTTTGCCAAACTTGGGAAGTGTATGTACTTGTGAAAAATCCTAACTGAAAGATGTATGCAAAGTGGTATTTTTGTTCATCTGTGGTTGCTCAAGAGGATTTTCATTTGCAGTCAAAATGTTGCAGTAACGTGCTGTGTGGTTGCATGGCTTTCATTTAAAATTTGTTCTTTATCTCCCTAGGGAAGGACAGTTATCATTGAACAAAGCTGGGGAAGTCCCAAAGTGACAAAAGATGGTGTGACAGTAGCAAAGGCAATTGACTTGAAAGACAAATACAAAAATATCGGAGCCAGGTTAGTTCAAGATGTTGCCAACAACACAAATGAAGAAGCAGGAGATGGTACCACTACTGCAACGGTACTTGCACGTGCTATTGCCAAGGAAGGCTTCGAGAAGATCAGCAAAGGAGCTAATCCAGTGGAAATCAGGAGAGGTAATGTTTTAATCGCCAGTTTAATCACTGGCTTTTTTTCTAAATATTTTTTTGTGCATTGCCTAACAAATAAAAAAAAAATGTCATTTGTCACAGGCAAGCTATTTAAATCCATTTTTGCATTTAATTAATTTCTGCTTAGTGTATGAATTTACTGGTGCTGTGTAAATAACTTTTGATCATGACTCAAAGCATGTCACACTAAAAGATTATTGCTAAGTATACATGAGCTATCAGTCACTTGGTTTTGAACATAGGAATTTAATGTTTTTTTGCAATGTGGGCTTCTTGGATTGGAAACTTTTTCTGTGCTGTATAAACTTTTCGATCACTGACAAGTATCCTGTTCATCTTCAGGGGTGATGCTTGCAGTTGATGCTATCATAGCTGAACTGAAGAAGCTGTCTAAACCAGTTACAACTCCAGAAGAAATTGCACAGGTAAAAAAAAAAACAACAACAAAACCCTCAAGTTCTGTGAAGTCAGGTTCAGTTGAGCTGGGTTGGGGAGTATATTTTGTGGATGCCTCATCCCTGGAAGGTGTTCAAGATGAGGTTGGATGAGGCCCTGAGAAACCTGATCTAGTGGCTGGCGTGCCTGCACATAGCAGGGGGTTGGAACCAGGTAGTGTTTAAGGTCCCTTCCAACCTTAGCCGTTCTGTGGTGTGACAATGGAGTATTTGTCTTTACATGTAAAGATCTGGAATATGTTTCACTGAACAACCTTCATGGTAACAACTTCATTTTTTTTGAGTTACTTAAATCACCCAGTATTCTACGTTGAGCTTGTTGTTAGTTTGGAAGTAGGCAGTTTTTCTCATCCAGTTTGATCCCAAAATGGGGTCATAAAACATAAATTTGCTTACTTGGGAAAAATTGAAGAGACCAAAGATGTATTTGTAGATAGGAGGTGACGGCAGATTTCCAGAGGTCTTTTGGATGTGCTGTGGGAGGCTCGCATTGATGTGGGTGCATAGGCTTTCAGGGCTTGTTTCTTCGTGGGGCTGCAGATGCAGATGACCTGTCTGTGCTCAGCATGTGGGATACAGCCCTGTGCTTGAGCTGTTCAAAAGCTGTTTGCTATTGTAACGTAGTTCTGGTGTTGATGTGCTGGTCAGCTGCCATATTTTGTCAAGCAGTATTAGAACAGAAAATGTTTTTTTGTTGTCCTTTTAGTAAGGAAACCAATTACTTTTATTGTGAAATGAATTTAAGTGGTTTACTGTTCTAGGTTGCAACAATATCAGCAAATGGAGATCAGGAAATTGGTAATATAATCTCTGACGCGATGAAAAAGGTTGGACGAAAAGGTGTAATAACTGTCAAGGTAAGAGTTACCCAGCTCACGCATTAAGTGCAAAATGACTGTCCCTTTTCCAGCTAGGGCTGGCCTCTGTTGCACATGATATAGCTCCTGCTGCTCTTGTACAATGCTATCTCTAGTTCCTTCGGTCTCTTAGTTCAGGGTGGTATCGCTGTTCCCAGTGTTCTTAAAATCTTTTTTCTTTTGAGGGAGGAGAGCATGTGAATCAGATGCCTCATGTAGAGGCTTTCATTCTGTTGTGCATAGCGTGCTAAAAATATACTTGATCTTTTGGTAGTAAATAAGGGGTTTTTAATGTTGGGTTTCTTGCATCTAAACAGGATGGAAAAACTCTAAATGATGAATTAGAAATCATTGAAGGCATGAAATTCGACAGAGGCTACATCTCTCCTTATTTTATTAATACAGCCAAAGGTGAGTTGACAAAAATGCATGTGAAGTACCTTACAATGGATCTCTAGAAGTTGAAAATAATGGTGCCTATTATAAAGGCTTTGTTATGCTACGCACCGTGGTAACAGGACAGTGGGATCCTTCCCCATCAGAAACTTAAACCTCCTGGTAAAAACTTGGAGTCTTTTTAACTGCATGCCTCACCAACACCCCTTTTCTGTTTAGCATGAACGGTGTCTGTGCTAACATCAAGCTGGCGCTGCCGTGCTCCAGACAGTGGAGTCTTGAAGAAACTCTTTTTTTTAATGCACTCAGTACAACATAGCTCCAAAGTTGCTGCCTAAATTTTAGAGAATGCATGGTGTATATTTTTTTTAAATCAGACTGTTGAGATACTGCATATTGTTTCTGCAGGACAGAAATGTGAATTCCAGGATGCTTATGTTTTAATCAGTGAAAAGAAAATTTCTAGTGTACAGTCTATAGTCCCAGCTCTTGAAATTGCCAATAGTCACCGCAAGCCTTTGGTTATTATTGCTGAAGATGTTGATGGAGAAGCTCTCAGCACTCTAGTCTTGAACAGGTAAGGTTTAAAATTCATACTTCTAGACTTAAAATAACAAATACTGCTTTTTCCTGTGTTTTCATCCTTTTAAAGGAATGCATATAAATGTATCTGTTTGAATCTTAGCACTACTAAAGAAACAGCAACTCCTGTAGCCATGCTTCACATTGGTTGGGACAGAATTTTAGTGGTTTTCTAGCTACTTGTTTTAGCAACTAGAGCTCAGTTCATGAAAGTCCCTGTTTGCTTGACTGGTAGAATTGTACCAAAATGTGTTCCAATAACTAAATGTTTTCTCTGAAAGCATTTGACATGTTGCTCATTGAATTCTTTTGTTCAGATTGAAGGTTGGTCTTCAGGTTGTTGCTGTCAAAGCGCCAGGTTTTGGTGACAACAGGAAAAACCAGCTTAAGGATATGGCAATTGCTACAGGTGGTGCTGTAAGTAATGATGTTCTAATTGGCTTTTTCCTCTAAGGAATGCTAATGCTGTAAAGAACTTAGTTTTAGGTTCATAGCTAGTATTGGCTGTGTTGTGGGCTGTTTCTTGAGAAATGTAACAGTAACTCTAGTGGTTGGACTTAGCAATTATCATTACACATGGTTGTGTAATAATACAGCTCTAACCAACCATGAGTAATAGTTGTTTTCACTGACTCAAGTCACATGCAGAATATCCCTGCAGCGTTCTGTTTTGTTAAGAAGGAACATGAAGGAAACTCTTTGAGAGAAATAGCAAAGCTTACTGGCCTTCTTACAAAACTGGTGGTCTCATAAGTGCTCAGACCTGAGTCAACAAATACAATTCTATTAAATGTTTGGAATAGACTGGAGGATGTCGTCTTACTTCATGCTAATGTTGAGTTTTAGTCCCTCAGATTCAGAATAGCTGATATACTTGACAGTGTTCATTTGTACAGCTTTTTTCATATGCGCTTCAAAATCATAGCATGATACTGGGATCCAAAGCTGGTTGTTGAAATTGATATCTCGTGCTTCATTTAGCATAAACATTACTAACAAAACCAGCAAACCTGTTTAAAGTTAACTTTTTTTTTTTTGCCAGTATTCTTAACTTCCTGAAATGCAAGGATGAAGCTGTAACACAACTATCCAGCCATGTTAAATCAATGAGTTATATTAGTCACGAATTAAACGCTTGCAGTTCGCTCTTTGGTGAGGGCCAGTTTGTGAGGTACCTGCTTGCCTGGCCTGTGTTAGGAGAAGGGAGGAGCTTCTTTCCGCTTAGCTGCATAGTATGGTGTCTTTGTACTGTCATGCTGCTGTATGTGTTCATCTGTCATAAATAGTGATTTCATGTATGGTGAAGCTGTGAATTCTAACTTTTCATTTCGTTTCAGGTGTTTGGAGAAGAAGGTTTGAACCTAAATGTAGAAGATATTCAGCCCCATGACTTTGGTAAAGTTGGAGAGGTCATTGTGACAAAAGATGATACCATGCTCCTAAAGGGGAAGGGTGAAAAGGCTCAAATTGAAAAACGTATTCAAGAAATCATTGAACAGCTAGAAGTTACCACCAGTGAATATGAAAAAGAGAAGCTGAATGAACGGTTGGCCAAACTCTCTGATGGCGTAGCAGTATTAAAGGTGAGAACTGAAACTTCTTAGGAGTAAAATATACTAATTTATTAAAGAGGTTTTTTTTTTTTTTTTTTTTTCAAATCTGTCTTGCACTAATGCCTTTTCTAGTCACTTGTGAGACAGGAGGTGATATGTAAGTGATAATGGACTTCCTTTATCGGTCCTTTATTGCTGATCTAAGTTACTACTGTTTACTTCTCTCATAATCTTACCAACTGATTCAGATAAGGAATTTGGCTTATTGCAGTGCTACACTTGGGCCTTAAGAGCTATTCCATTTTGTGGCAGTAATTCTGTAGCAGTGCTCTCCTAGCCAGGCTCCTCACGCAGACCTTGACATGTGGCTTGCTTGCAGGTTGGCGGGACGAGTGATGTTGAAGTAAATGAGAAGAAGGACAGAGTTACCGATGCCCTAAATGCGACCCGCGCTGCTGTAGAGGAGGGCATTGTTCCAGGTGGTGGCTGTGCACTGCTTCGCTGCATTCCAGCATTAGACGCTTTAACTCCGGCCAACGAAGATCAGAAAATTGGTAGGTAAATTTCCAATGTTTGTGTAGAAGTATTATGAACAGACGTTATCTGTCCTTTATAGGACTAAATACAGGCTGTTTTCAGTAAGTTTAGTTACTTGATCTTACGAACCTCACATCCCTTCAGTATGGCAGTGTCTGCTTTACAGTAGGAAGGAGCTTTCATTGCATCCCTAACTTGGATGTGAAAAAGCCAATAAAAACAAAGCAGCAGTATCCTCTGCCAACAACTGAGAAGCCATGAAGGGAAGAATTGAGTTGACTGTTACAACCGTAACTTAAATTCTAAGAATGCTGAAGACATTGTGGCAAATAAAATGGAAGATGGCTTTATGCATGTTCAAAATAATAATATAAATTGATAAAACAGTACTACTTGTAAAACTTCCGCGAATACCTCACAGTGATTTCATTTGTTGACAAAGGTCAAACAGTCAGGAACTTTATTTCCCTGGTAGTAATTTAAAAAAAAAAAAAGCTCATGCTCCTCCTCAGATGGTTTGATCTTCCTGTGTTAATCTCCAGCACATAAAATCTGTGCCTTGGCAACAGGAGTGTATGTGGTATGTGATGCTAAATATCTTTTTCCTTACAGGCATTGAAATAATAAAGAGAACATTGAAAATTCCAGCAATGACTATCGCAAAGAATGCGGGTGTTGAAGGATCGTTAATTGTTGAAAAAATACTGCAGAGTCCATCAGAAGTTGGCTATGATGCAATGCTTGGGGACTTTGTAAATATGGTAGAAAAAGGAATCATAGACCCAACAAAGGTAACCCGGAATAGTCTTAGCTTTCCTTCTTCCCACATCACAGGATAGAAAACAGGTACTAAGTTATTTCTTTCTTATCTTCAGGTCGTGAGAACAGCTCTGATGGATGCTGCAGGTGTTGCTTCTCTCTTATCAACAGCAGAAGCAGTAGTGACTGAAGTTCCTAAAGAAGAAAAGGAGCCGGCAATGGGAGGAATGGGTGGGATGGGTGGAGGAATGGGCGGTGGCATGTTCTAATTCCTGGGATACTGATGCATCATGAACTCTGCTGTTTAAGACTGACAGTTCTGACTTAAAAACTTCAGATGTCAGTGCAAGAGGATGGATAGTGACTGAAGTGAGGCTGGTGTTTAAAAGAATCACTGTAACCATCAGTTACTGGATTTCATTTAACACACATGTAATTGTTTACAGTCATTGTCCATGCCTACAGATAATTTATTTTGTATTTTTTGAATAAAGACATTTGTACATTCCTGATAACTGGGTGCAAGATCCATCTACCAAGGTCCTGATTTAAACTTAATTAAGGCACTTGATATTCTGTTTCAGAATTTATTGGTGCTTGCCAGTACTAGGAAGAACTTGGAAGCCACTGTGCGTGAGACTAGACAATTGTGTACAAAGTAGACAAATATACACTTACGTGACCTTTATGTAATAAAACAATCTGCTCAAAAAGTATGAAATGTATCACCTTATTCATCTGTACACCAAGCCACAGTTCTGGGAGAAGCTTGATAGCCCGCTTCTAAGATTTAATAGAAATCTGACTCTTGTGCTTGGAAAAACTGGAGGACATTACTCTCCAAGAAACATTCCTCTGTCAAAAATGTTAATTGGAAATATGAGTGACTTAAATTTTGGTAAGAAGTATCTAAGCTGAGCTGCCACAACAGTTCTTTGCAATATTAAACAATGCTGTGAAAACAAGGCACGCGCAGTGACTTTATTTTGCCCTTTTCATATTGCTCGTTGCACATGCTGGAACAGGCTGACTGACTCTTTCACAGTACTGTGGGAGGGCAAGTGCCCTGAGGGTATGAAACAGGTAAGTTGTCTTAGCTAAGAAACGCTTCTGAGCTTCTTAAATACTACTTTTGCTTGGGTATATTATGTAGTTATCTCTGTGGTTTGAGCCTTATAGTCTTCCAGCCTTCTGAATTATGTTTAAATTGTCAGCAGTAGATGTGGTTTCATACTTAAAGACAGCTTTGAATGCCACCTACTGTTTCCTGACTTGACACAGCTAATAACCCTAACATCTTTTCTCTCTGCTTCCCAACTCCATTTTGCAAACACTTCCAAGTAATGGTGTTCCCAAACTCACGTATGTTTTTCTTTCATTGTTTCAGTACATAAAATTGTTTTGCAACTTCCTAGGTGCTTTAAAACTGACCACTTAATCTAGCTGTCTACAACTACAAACCATCTTTCACACATCCTGTATGAATTTTTAATTGCTTTTTCTGGGACAGTGTGTAAATGCTCTGAAACTGCTGCAGGGCAGTCTATATCCTGAAACTTAGTACGTTATGTAGTATGTTGCCACCTATTCTGTAGTAACCACATGAATTCAGATGCTTTGGAAGAGCAGACTGGCTTCAGCTGTGAAATGCATCTGAAGCTTCACCTAATTCCATCATGACCTTCTGTAATTTAAGAAGGTGCATAGGGAGGAGACTAAATTTATTCCAACCTTATTTACTTAGGTTTCTTTGGAGACTGGAAAGAGTAATAATCTAAGGAACAGAACTACTGAAAATCAGCTCAAGATAGCTAGTACCATACATAAATGGAAGCTAAGTACTGAAATGAGACAACTAAGATCTAGCTCTATATTGCACATTACTGAATAACCAGTGGCCTTGGATGTATTTATGCTGTGCGAAGTGGAGGACAGCTCATTCCCTCCTTCCACAGCTATGTGGTACAGAAGATGATGCCTCCGTGCTGTCATGCTTGCTGAGCTGACGTTTACCGTGTTTTGCACTAGCTGAGATTTATGTAGCATAACCTCAATACAATGCCTAACAGTGAAACAGGGGCAGGTGGGCAAATTCAGCCTGCCAAATGTACTGTAAATACAACACTGTCTGGAGCCCAGACAGCTAAGAACCGCTGGATATAGCTGAAAGTGCTGTACTTGGCACTATAGGTACCTATTACGAAAACTCAGTGTTAAGGCTGCTTTTTTTTTTTTTTTTCTATAACAGTTGCTGGTCAGAATTCAACAGCAGTTGGCGACTCCTGAGTTAATCCTTGTCATCGATGTGGATCAAAAGCACCTGCTAGTTGATGTTGGACACACTGTACTCTACTCCCTAAGGCTAAAATGTCAGAATCTCCCTTCACTTGGCCTGAGCTGACTGAGGTGATGCTGGTAAATTACATTCATGCTACTAATAACTTAAACTTGAGTTAATATATTACAACACTGAAAAGAACGTTAGCTTGTTTTATAAGGCAGAGCTTACACTGTGATTACAGAAACTGGCAGGTTAATAAACGGCAGCCTGAGTTATCTTGTGTAACAGTAGATGCCAATTGTCTGTTACTGATAACACTTTGAATTGCACTTGATAGCAGCTTGAATAGACTACATTGATCTAGCTGAACATGTGCGTGATTTGTACAGTATAAAATTACATATAAAGCTCAGATATGAAATAGATGCCCCAAAAAGGAGCATGCCACCTCTTGTACAGAGTGTACAAACAAGTTTATAATGGAGGTTGTTGAAATTTTCCCCATTACGTTTGATGAACTTCATGAAGCATTAACTCCCGAGGTATGCTTGTTTCTGGGCCATGGAGTTTGGATGCTCTTCTTTCAAAGGCAGTGACCATCTGCTTGACTACTTCATCAAAAAACAGCGTAGCAAGTTGTGAGTGTAGAAGTGAACGAAATTCAAAAGAAATCTGTTAAAACAGAGAAGATTTTGTCTTGTATTTACTATTGTAGTAAAATGCTGTTAGAGATAACTTCATTAAAGAATCTCCAGTTAAGCTGCAAGTAGGTTGCAGAAGAAAGAACAGATAAAACAATAGATGAGCTTGTATGCAAAGAAAAGCCTTATTCTTCGGTCAGAGGACTGTTTTCCTATTCTCTTCAATTAGAAGAATGTTTTTCTCTTATGTAATCAGTCCCATTTATCTAAACCAACTGTATGTTACTTAAATGACATGTCACAAAACATACCTAAAAGATTTAGGGTAGTGAAAAACTACAAACCAACAATGGTAACTAAGTTACTCTGCACATAAAATTCCCTTGAAGGGCAAAATTTTGAAGAAAATCCTGCATAGTAAGACAGCAGATTTACAGGTAACATGAAGCAAACCCAAGAGTGGCTTAAAGGCAGCTTGAAATAGTTGCTTATTAGGTAACAACATTTTATATTAGTTTTTCCATCTAGGTAGATGTAGTTAACAGTATGTTCAAACAATGCTAATTTACAGACTGAAGCTTATAATTTGCCTTTGCTCTTTCTCCTTCCTAGACATCTCCTGCCCTCTACCTTTGCTGTCCTGACATGGGCAGTCAGTTTTAGAATACAACTGTCCCGGATAAGTCCTCTGTACCAAGTCCTTGTGCCTCCTACTGCAGTGCTCAAACTGATTTGCACATTCCCTTTCAGTTACTGGATCCTTCAGTTTAATAATTACACTGAAGCTACTGTAGTAGTTAACAGTTAGGGCAGGAGCACAGGGAGTTTGCTTTCTCTCTCCACCCGCTAAAAGAAAAATTGATGACAACAGCAAGGTCACTTTTATGTCAAATAGCCTTCAAATATACTTTGTGCTGTACTGGCCTTTGGTCTAGTTTAAGAACATTACCCTAAGGCTATGGTATTGGATTTAGTTTTGCCTTCTACAAGTTCCAGAAATGATTACAAAGCTGTCAGGAAAAGAAACAGCTTGCATTTCTTCTGCCATTCTATTGTTCCTGTTACTGCATGTCTTTTGGATTGAGATTTAAGTACTTACATCATACCTGAAAAATCAGCAGATGAAATGCCAAATGAAACAAATGTGTATTATCTCAAATTGTTTAAGAGTATTGCATGTTAATTGCTGGAATAGTAGTATAGAATTAATGTGAAATGTAAGCCAGCTGTAGCTTCATTTGCACGTGATCTCAAGCATCAGTAAAAATTAATGTGCCTTTTCAAAGTCTGAGATGACATTTATAGCATGTTGAGCTCTGCAAAGCAGGGATCGTAAATGTTACATCATGTTCAGTAACTATGTGAGAACCTGAGATGTTTTTATGAAGCTTGCAGATAGCAATATGTTGTGCTTAAATCTGTGTTAAATCACTTAAGAGCTGAAATGCAACTGAAACTAAATGTCTTATTAAAGTTCAGCATATATATAATGTACCACCAGGCTGGCAGAACAGTAATGCAGTAGGCTGAGGAAACCAGCATCATCTAAAATTCAACTAACACTTTCTAAAGCAAACTACCATTATTGAAATCAGTCCTATCTCTCACAAGTACTTAGTTGTGCAGTGTGAAGTGTGCAGTGAGAAGTTGGTTTTGAAATGCTTATCATTACTATCTGTGAAGGCCCAGAGGCTAAGTCACACAGCAAGCTGAAATTGAGCAAGGGTTAGAATCCCTGAGTATGTACTGTTGTGAGCCAGCCCCCTGCTCAGCTGGCTATATTTGCTTCTGCTACCTCAAAATGGTGTAAATGATATCAAGTATTAATAGTATTTCCTAAGAATGTCCTTTTAAAGTCCAGTTTTGACTCTCTTTAACTGAAATTCTCAACCTGAAGTGTCAAAACATGGCTTTGGTAAGGAAAAAAAAAAAATCCTCATAAACTTGCTATTTAGCTAATAGGGCTTAAGCAGTTGCTTAATTTGAGTTTTCTCAGCTGATTTATGGCTTGGCTAAAAAGCTGTCTTACCAGTCAGTAGCAGGAACTGTCGTGATTTGCCTAGATAAATTCAAATATCATGAGCAAATAACATGTAAGCATAGTCAGTAAATCCCATCAGAAATGTATTTTCAAGTACCTATAGATTCATTTTTATTGTTGAGCTGTATGAAGTGCAATACAGCAAAAACTTGAGTTTTTAACCCAAGGAAGTCGTGCCAGTTTACAAATATTCCAAAAGCTCTTTTTTGGAAAAATGACTTCAAAAGAAGCACAGTATCCTAGAAGACAACAGGATCAACCTATTTCTGAGTACTTTTGTAACCTGTTCTGAACCCCAGATTAGTTTAGTGCTGAACGCAACACCCTTAACACAATACAATGTAAGAAAAAATAAGTGATGGAAGAAAAAAAATGAAAAACAAGAACTCACAGTAAGAAAAGCAACTTGTCTAGGAGTAACGGACTAAACCAGATACTGGGTTTAAAATGCAGTATTTTGGAACTGCAGTGATATCCCATCATAGAGTAGAGAGACAGCATTTCTCCTAAAAGCTGTTACAGTGGTATTATAGAAGATGTAAAATACATTAAATAGTAAATCTAGAAGTCAGGAAATTAAACTACAGGCCAAACAGGATGGATGGGAAAACACCTACTTTCTGATAACAAAAGCACGTGGGTTGTAAGGTAATTAAAGAAAATAGCAAAGTCCACAAATATGTTGAGTATTTCTCTCTCTGTATTTGCTTATCTTAGTATGTAGAGAATTGGTGAGAGATACCAGTCCCTAGGCTGTTTGGTTATATGTGGACACTTCACAGAAGACTTGTCTCTCAAGGACTGTGTAGCAGTTTTCATGTTGTAAAACTGACTGCAAAAACGCTTCTTGATAGTAGTGACTAAAACTAACTTTTTTGCAGTGTTTATGTGTGTGTATACACCCCTATTTGTAGCATGTGGCGGTTTTAATTGGAATACTTACAGAAAAATCCAATGTACATGTCCTTGGATAGCCAGGGATACCTGGGCTGAAACGCCACACTGTTTCCAAGTGATTAAATAGCCTTCCGTCTGTGCAGGATGCCTAAAAGAAAGTTTAAAAAGTCAAGCTACAGGGGGCTTACATGAGACAAATCAGTATTACTGAAGCATGCACATTTTGTTAGACAGTGAAGGTCACAACATAGTTAAAATTAATTCTTTATAGTGCAGCCAGCAAAAGATCCCATTTGCACACTGTCACAGCAACGTAGCTGAATCCCTATCAAGTTACGGGAAGGATCTTTGGTTTTAGCCATAAAACAGATCTCTTGTATGATGCATAGAATACCATAATAATGTTAAAGATATCTACACCATAATTGAGAATAGGGTCCTTACTTTCATTCATTTTGCTTTTGGTACATACAGCTATTTTTGTGTGGCTATATTTTAAATAGAAAAAGAACGAAAGTCATAGAGTTGAAAAATCACGCAAATACATCATCTCGATTGGCTTGGAGTTACTAAAGAGAATTGCTGTAACTATTTTTAAACTTTCTTTACAGTTCTTACTGTCAACACAAGCATACATAGCTTTTGCTTGTGGTTTGAAAGCACAGATAAGCTAAGCCACGTCAAAGACAAATCAGCAGCACAAAAATACCACCACTTCTTTGCCCAGTGCAGGGATGCAGTACCTCCCAACTTCTGTAACTGCAAGGGGAGGAGTGGAGGGAAGAGCAGACAAGCCTGAAGAGCTGGGCTTGCTTTTCTCATTGTTGCCAAAAGGGCAGGAAGAATGGGAAAGGTGCCAGTGTGTCCCCCTTGCTCCAAACCTTATAAGTAACAAAACTCACTCGACATTTCTCAGCAGCAAGAGCTGCTGCTACCAGCCTGATATTCTAGGGCTCACGCGCTGCTGCTGTAAGCAACAAGAACATGCTCATTTTGTCACCACCGACAGCCCACTATACAAAACCACTATGCAAGCTCCCTTTGCCCAGAGTTATTTCTGAAGACAGTGAAATAGCCCGAACACATGGTCGTTTCATTTCCTTGTGGTAATGTTCCTCCAGTTATGTGAAGATGATATAAATGTTTAGGAAAAAAAATCCTAACAGAGAAAATGCTGATAAATCTAGGAAGAGGAAACTTAAAGTGTTCTCCACACCACTTTCATGGTCTTTTCAGAGACCAGAATTCTTCTTTTGAGAGAATTAGAGTGAATAAGAATCAGTAAGCCAAACTGACAGCTATGCAAAATAAAAAGTCTTGTCAGGGAAGAGTAGAAAGGGAGAGCAGCATGTAAAATGCAGATTTTTACATTGTAACTGTTGAGCTTTCTTAATAATGGAAGACATTTTTTTTTCTTTCCAAAATGAATAACTACCTTGAAAAAAAGCACTTTGCATATTGCCCTTCCAATTCATATCTCCCCTGTACTTAAGAAACCCATTTCTGTTTTATGCAGTGTCTTGTTAGTGGAAGCCTAGAAAAGAATAGTGGAATAGGATACCCAAACAATTATCTTGACCAGTAATCAACTGTTGTAATTTCACTAGTTGTTCCAAAAGATAGTCAAAATTGCATGAAGGGGGAGAGGCAGTTTTTATGAGTCTGTTCTGAGCTGTTCCTAACAAACAGATGTGAACCTCTAATGTAAACAAGCAGCTGGAAGATCCAGACCTCATTTAAAATTTCTCCCTTTATTACCCTTGAAAAAAATGAAAGTAGAAATACAATTGCTGTACAAATTAATTCTAAGAAATGGACTTGAAATCTACCATTCTATCATGGCATCAATATACTGAATAACAGGCTCTTCAGCAGATCCTCTGCCTAAACTTCTTAAATAAACTGGTTAGAATTGTTAGAAGAAAAAATAATGACATAATTTTGCTAAGGCACCACAAGCTACAAAGAGATAACCTTTAAGTCTCTATTATTTTTGCATTTAGAGAGGCTTGGACAAAATTAATACAAACAAACAAAAAAAAAACAACACAACAAATAGATATCTTCATTAATGGCTACTTTTTAAATATTTTTTCCAGCAAAAGCCAATTAAAAGGCAATTTTTCCCCCTATTTGGCAGCTTATGTTTTAAAAACACATTGAAATTTACACCACGTAACCTATAGTCTTTAAATAAAAGCAGCACAAGTTTTGAGCCACAGGAAGCAATTCCAGCATTAATTTTGTTTTTAAAAGAGCTTCATGGAATATTTAAATTTCTACACACAAGTTATGGAAAGATACAGCTACAAAAATAATAATAAATTACCTTAACTAAATGTGGCCTCACGAGGGTAACAACTGATGTGTACCTTTCTAAAACAGGAGGAAATCCTATTTCTAGCTGTGCTTTGCAGTATCCAGAGCGCTTTGATAATATATCTGACTTCTTACACCATGGCACAAACAGTTTGTAATCTTCCACAACAGCAACAACTGCATACATTTCCTGCATAGAATATCTGGAAGCAGAAATATAAATGTTACAGTTACAAGGTGTTTTAACTAGGAATTCAGTATTATAAGGTTCTAAGATACTGTAAGTGGCACAGGCAGTTTTGATGGTGAACATGCAGTCACCTGAAAACACTACCACTATTTTTGGAAGTTAAAAATGCAACTCTATTAAGATTAAAAAAAAAAAAGTACTGAACTGGTAAAAGTCTTTGCACAAGAAAAGCAAAACACTACAAACACTACACAGCATATAGCTGTAAGGTTAGGGAACACTGAACCAGATGTATGCTACTTTCTGCAATATCAGGTAAGCATGCTTAGATTTCAAATGGAAAAGTAGTTTTTCCATTGCAGCTGTGTCTTGATTTAGGTAGATTTTAGATATTTCATAGAACAAATTAATCCATACCTTATAGCTACCAAGAAAAGGTGTAACAAAACTAGGGGTCTGTTTTCAAAGGCTTAAAAAGAACACTACTTAGACCTCGCCCCCCACCCCCCAAAAACAAACAAACAAACAAAAAAAACTTTCAGGAGAAAAACAGTGAGTATTATTGGACAAACGCTCCTTTTAAATGAAATCTGTTGCAGTTCAAGAACTATCACATAAACGAATATTAACCATCATGAAAAAAAATACTAACCCTAATGAACAAATCATACTATTGTGGACTAGAGGCTGAGAGCAGATCCCAAACTCATTAAATTAATGGGAAATTTTCCACTGGTTTTAAGGCAAACTGGGTTTCAAAGAGCTTTTGTATGCACACACTTCACCACACAACTAATTATTTTCCTTCTTTTAAAGAAAGAAGTAAATCTCAAATGAGACGTACAACATAATGCAAGTGTAACATTGGCATGTAGTTTTGAGAAATGGGAGAAAAATGAGTTTTCACGCCTTTTGATTTATCCCCATTTCACCAGACAAATAATGCATGCTTCCCTTTCAGGGTTGTTTTTATTTCGTCATGGAATAAAAAGGTTATTTCTGCTATTTCCTTCCAAGGAGCAGGTGTATGGGGTTCCTAAATTTTTGATACCCAATTTCAGGTTTGACAGCCTGATCTCTACAAATTTTGAAAGGTAAAACTCATTTCTACTCTCCACCTGGTCACAGTCTCAGGGACATGTGCCTTGAGGGATACTCAGTCTTTGAATGTTTAGTGCAAACATGAAAATCAGTAAATGCATAAGGTATCATTCCACTTTTCTATACAAACCCTATAATTCTTCTTTCAGAATATTCTTTTCTTTTATTTACTAGTGGTGCAGCAATGTTGAAGAAACTTCTTGAAAAGGCATGGCTCATTACAGGTACTTGCAAAGAAGAAATTCTGGTCATCAGAATACCACAGGAAGCCAGGTGCCTGCAACATTGAAAATGCCTTTTAGACTCCTTTCTTATCAGCAAGATAGATCACAACACATTGAGGTGAGATGTAGTCTGTTGTACAGCATTCCAGAAAACATCCAGTTGAGATGGAAAAACAAAGGCTCATAAGCGTTTGCAAACTTTAAAAAAAAAAAAGTCTGTGACTAAAAATAGCTCCCAGTCACGAGAAGAGTAACTGGCAGAGTAAAATACAAAGGCCCCCATTAAACACTGGCTGCATGGCAGCCTGAGTTCACGTACAGGACTCACGCACTTAGTGTGCAGAATTAATTTTGCTTTCTTACCAGAAAAATCGAGGCATACCCTACAATACTTTACCCTTTTGGAACATGCAAAAAAGTAGAAAAGTTTCCCATTGCGGCTATGAAGTAGAATTCTGCAGTAATCCCTCTGCTGCCTTCCTTCTCTTATAAGGAAAGTTTCATTCTGAAAGTCCTTTTAGAAACTGCATTGCATCCCCATTTCTTTCTTTTGAAAATATCACACACAACCATGGATGCAGTGTTTTCATAAATAAAACTTAACAGTTTAGCTTTATGAAATGCTCGTAGTTCTAAGATTCCATCTCAGTTCTCTGTTTCTGAACCTATACTAAAATCTAGAAAAATATTCATTGTGGTTAATAGGACTCATGCTGAATTACTGATTTTGCCTAAAATGCTGCTTCAAAAGTTCTGATTTCTGGCACTGGGAAGTTAAAAAGGTCACTATTTGCTGTCAGCGCTTCTACATATGTAAGCTAAAAAGCAACCTAGGCCATCTTCTGTCAGTAATTAAACGATCAGGACTGCACTTCTGGATTTACATAGTCAAAAATGGAACCAAGCTTCCCACCTGGTGTAAGGCTTGCTTGTTATCATTTTATTTTAACACAGCTAACAGATAGATGCTGCTTCTTCTTATCCACCAAACTAGCACAGCAAATTCTGATAAGTCTTTCTACAGCAAGCTCTGCAAGGATTTGGAGTTGTATCTCAAGGGATACGGACAGAGTCTATTTTTTTCCACTTGGACCAGGACAGGACTGTTAAGGAAAAGCATGGCTTTGATAGGAACATTGGATGCCTGCCAGTAACCTTGTAGCTGCCTCAACCTGATTCATAGAGAGTTCAGAACTTTGGACCAGACCTCGTTGTGGAGAGCTAAATTATTTTCTCCATCTGTGGTATAGCGCACTGTCCTAACTAGTTGTCGGGACGCTTCTGTTGGTTTGTTCTTACTGTAATGCTCTGCCAGCACGCTGCTTCAGGCACTTTTATGTATACACATTTAAGTGCAGGGCTGAAAAACAATCCCCACAAGTACTTTGTTATTGCTCTCAGATCAAGTCCTTTTCGCAGTTACACCACCGTTCAAGGAAGGGAAGGTTAAGAGAGGTTATAGTGTTAACAAAGCTGGTGGGACTTGGTCTCTCTCTAGATTTTATTTGAAGAGAAACAGACACTACAAGAATGTGCTGGTCCTGGTCCCAGTTCAGGAAAGCATACCTCTCCAGAAACCACAAAAGCAGGGACTTCGGTGGACTGTCGTGCGTGTTTTGGTGAACCTGGTGAAGGCCTCAGGAGAAAAGCCAAGTCCGTACTTAAATGCAGATGTGCCTAGCGCTCCTTTATTATCCTCTGAGGGTAACACAGTCAGTGCCACTCACACTGCGCTCACTGGCAGCATCCAATTCCTGTCCCTTGCTGCTTTCTCTCTAAACATTTAGGCACTGATCACAGCAGCACCTGACTTACACGACCTGAAAAGGAAGCATTTGCTGTCGTGTGGTATACGTGATCTCTATCTGGTGATTATTTTTAATAGTTACATTTCCAAAGACTAAAACATTTTGAAAAAAAAAAGGAATCTCCAACTCCTACTTATAAAAAGCCTGAAACCAGCGGTCAGAGCACACCCGTGTGGCTGGGCTTGCTGCTACCCCAACTGTTCCCTTCACGAAGCTGGTGCCATCGGATGGCTGGTCAGTCCCAAAACATGAGCTTTGCCAGCAAGTGTCCTTGTGAGCATCTCGCGGGGGCAGCTCGGGCAGGGACCGGGGGGTGCCGGTGCCGGTGCTGCCCGCTGCGGCCCCTCCCGCCCTCAGCCCGGCTCCTCTCCTCACGGGCGGCACCAACGCCCCTCGCGCTTCGCTCGCAGGGCCCCGGCCCCCCCGCCCCGCCCCGCCCGCCCCGCCCCGCCCCGCCCCGCCCCGCCCCGTACCTGCCGGCGGCGCCGAGCCCCGCGGCCACCGCCCGCCCGCTGCGCGCCATCGCCGGGCCCCGCCGGCACCGCCCGGCCCGGAGCCGCCTGGGGGCGGGGGCGGGGGCGGGCACGTGAGAGGGAGGTGCCCGGGCTCATTGGCCCGGCGGCGCGCGGCGCCCGTAACGGCCCCCAACGGCCCCCAACGGTTGTGCTCCGCAGCCCTCAGCGCTGAATGCACTGAAAGGAAATTATTTCTAGAAAATGAGTAAGTCCAGTTCTATGTTCTCTTCAGAAATCTCTTCCTTATCTCGGTGTCTCGTCATTGGTTAAAAGCATTAATTATTAAACAGAACCCCAGCAATATGAATAATGAAAACTAATTTGAGCAGCGCTTTATCCCGTCAGGGCATGGTGGTTTTCAGTAAGCTGTCCTGCAGTGTGCTTTTCATTCTGAGCTTGATGAAAACCAGAAACATTTCAAAACCTGGCTTCTGCAGCATGGGAGAAAACCAGCCCCATCAGAAACGTGAAACAGCCTCAGCCTGTGCCCCCACATCAAATTCCTGTTAGTAGCTTCATCCGCATGTTTCATAACTTCCACCAGAGCCGCTCTTTCTTGCTGGTTCCTGCTTGCCATGGGAGTGTGCCCATCTATGTAGCTGTTGCAGCTTGTTTCTCTGGATCAGGAAGTGCCTCACGGAGAGTTGATGCCTTCTGGCGTTTAGAGGAACTGAAGGATAAAGCACTGCTGTACAAGATGATACTTGAGGGCACTCTGTTTTGTTTTGTTTTGTTATCCAATTAGTCTGTCTCAGAAATAGTCCTTACAACTTGCTTGATGTCTGCTGTTTGCAGAGATCTGATAGGAAGAGTGGCTCAAATTAATATTTCCACCAGAGGGATGTAAAACACTTCTGATACCTCAAAAAGAGACACTGCATATGACCACAACGAAATTTCTGTCTAAAACAGCTAGATGCCACCCTCAGCTGGCCACCAGCTGGCACAACCTTCCCAGCCACCCTCTCCCTGCTGGCCCTGGAGTGCTGTGCTGACACTCAGCACGCTTGACGTGAAAGGCAAAACTAGATCTGGAAGAGATTTAAATTCATTTTCCTCACTCATACTACATGAGAAACCTTAATTCAGTTTCTCAAACATACCTGCTTATGTTAAATGTTTCTGCTCTTTTGCTCTTTTTGGAGAATTACCCTTTTCAGAGAATTTTTGCCCTAATCTTTAATAGACACATAAATGCCAGGAAACAGTCCACGGCACTTGAAGCTGAGTACAGATCTGGGGACAATCAAAAGACTGAGTTTAGACTAGTTTTGCAGCTTTTTGCAAAATGTCAGTTCACTGTGCAATTCTTTATAGCATTCCACATGGGAGAAATAATACGTTCTTTTGGAAGATGAGCAGAAGGGAGTAGCTAGAGGCATGGATGCTTTGAGTGAACAAGTGCCAGAAACTTCTACTGGCACAATAGAGCAAGGACGGGCCATGTGGCTGGATACTTCTTTTGGCTACACTGATAGCTTGGGCTGGCTGTGAAATTGGACCTGAATCTGTTACATAAAGCAAGACTGCACATGCCTGTACCTTGGTTACGAGCCTAAATCTGAAAAGCATCAGGGCTCTTAAATCCAATCCTGTTCCAATCTACGTGGTAATCTCTGTGAAGACGTGGGGAAAGAGGAACGGAACTCCAATGGGCAAAATCGGAAGGGTAAACCACAAAGTTACCCTGATCAAGTCTTGTGGAAGCCACGTAATGGAGATACTGTTCCGGAAGCAAAGGTATATTGGGATTCAGGGAATTTGAGAGGCAGACACGAATTAAAGAACCCAGGGCAGAATTTGTTAGGGAAAATAAAATAATAATAATAAAAAAAATCAGCAGTTTTCTCATTTCACTTTAGTGTTTCATCACAACCCAATTCCTGTTCCCTCTTGTAACACAGAGCTCCCTGTTGTGTGGGAAATGGCAGATCCAAAATCACTATGTTAAAGTGCAGCTCTGTACTGCAAACCCCGAGTTCGGTCCCGTTTAAAAACAGAGCGCTGCAGTCCTGCTGCCCACGGCTTACGCCGGCACTCAGGCTGAAGCACCAAGAGCAGGCTGCTGCAAGCTGATCCTCATGGCCACCCCGAGCATGTGCCAGTCCCTTAGAATAGCCACGTGCATTGCATTCCCTGGGCAGCCCCTTCTGCGGGCGCAGCGCCCCAGGGAGCAGATCGCAGCCCGGCAGCGCGCAGGGGAGGCCCCCCTCCCGCCGCGCCCTCATTGGCCGGCGGGGCCGTCCGTCACCAGAAGGGCGGGACTCAGGCCCCGCCCAACCGCCGGGCTGGCGGCTCCGCGCCGCCGCCACCGCGCACGCGCAAGGCCCCAGCGCCCCGCGGGCCGCGGCCCGGCCGGCTGCCGCGCCTGCGCACTGCTGCTCCCTCCCCCCCTCCCCGGAGCGGAAGCGGCGGGGCCGGCCCAGTTCCGCCTCGGCGTCGTTGGCGCTGCACAAAATGGCGAAGATCGCCAAGACCCACGAAGGTAAAAAGCCCCCGGGGGGCGCTGCCGCGGCGCCTTCCTCCTCGTCCCCGCCTCAGGAGCGCTTCTCCTCGCCGCTGAGCCGTGGCCGGCGCCGCTCCGGGGCCGGGCAGCGGCCGGGCGGGCTCCCCCCGCGGCGCCGGGCCCTGCGCGTAATGGCGGCGCCTCCCGCTCCCTGAGGCCGCTGCCGGCCGGGCCCGCCCCGGGGCAGCCTGCGCGGCCCCGAGAGGCCCTGAGGGGAGCCAGCGGCTGGGGAGCTGCGGGCAGCTCCTGACGGGGAGCGGCGCCTTGCTGTGGGGCAGCGCGCGGGTCCTGCGCTTGGGTTTCTTACAGCAAGCAGGAGCAGTTCCCTTAACGGCCCTGCTGCTCTGCCTCTGCTTCTGCGCCTTTCTTTTCTCTTCATGTTTCTGTGTACGTTGGGTCACGTGACGTGTTCTCTGCGATTTGGCCTTAATTCCCTAACCAAAACCCACCTCTGGCCGTGGCAGCGCCTCTGGGGGCACTGAGTTCGGCTTCCATAACGGAGACTTCCATAATATCATCTCCTGTGGAAGCCAGGTTAATACAGTCTTTAGCACTGCACACCTGATAGGAGTTCATGGATAAAGAAATACTTAAGTAGGTGCCTTCACATTTTTGAGGTTAAGCAAAGTTGTTTCTTTCTAGCATTCCAGGATATTTTTTTTAGAATTTCTAGTTTTTTGTTTATATGCTATAACATGCATGAGGTTACTATAAAATACTAACCAAGTATTTCCCATCACAATATTCTGTCTCTCCTATTAGTTAAAGAGCTTTTAATAATAAAAATAATTTATTTTTTGAAATTACTTGTAGAACAAAGCAAACTATGGTCAATTGAACCAAATGAAAATATTTACACACTTCCAGTTGCACATGCTAACGTGTTAGTGTTGCATTAGAGCACATTTTAAGGATTTTTGTTATATGCACTTTAAAAAAAAAAAAAAGGAGGAGAACCGGCAACAATCATATAGTGATACCTTTTCCCAATGCAGCAATATTATTTGAACAACTTGGTTATTTTTACTTCCAAGTTCTGACCTCATTTTCAGTTCCAGACTGTTTTTCCAGATGAAGAGCTGCATGTTACTAAATTGTTTCAGCGGATTTTTCACTTCTTTGTGCTCCTTGTTAAATACTTGTTGATTGATTTAAGACAGCTTTAAAAAGATCTCAAACAGTTTCAGATTGTTTCAACTGCATAGCTTAAAGCGGACTCCTTGTTTTGTTACGCTGAAAAGTAGTTTAATTGGCTACTTAGAAAGTCTTAGTAAGTACTTGAGTTTTGAATGCTGTCAACAGTAGGTTTTCATTTGCATCTTTTTTTTTTCTTGCTTACAGAAGAAAAAAAAAAAAACCTCCAAACATCTCATAGAGCCCTAACGGGTAGGAAAATTTTAAGGTAGCTAGAAATAAGACTGCATAGGACAAGTTAAATGTGCAAAAATATGATAAGGCATGAAAAGAGAAACTATGTACACTGTAAAATACTACTTTGGCACAGTGTCTTCTTTCTTTTTTTGTGCTGAGTAGTGTCTTGCACTCTGAACATGTTTTAAGTGGACCAAATTTGTATGGGAATAGAATACATGTTTTGAGAGAGGCTATTGGGATTTGGCTGTGAGCAAGGTATTTAGTGACTTCTAATTTAAATATGTTGTTTTGAGGCATTTTCAACGTTTATGATACTTTTGAAATCAACAGCGCATGTTAAAGTTGCTTCTTTTAAAATACCAAAATATATTAATATGAAAATAATGAAATACAGAAAAGGAGCAATCAGTAGGATATTATCTTTTTTGTAATCCTACTCTTTACTGTATCTCTGTCTTTTGACCAAAGTGATGTTTCTGTTTTGGTCCTGGTTGATTAATTCATCAAACAAGTATTTAGCTTTATACGGTGTTACTTTCAGCTTTTTCATTATTCTTTCTTTTTCTTTGTATTTATGTGCTTTGGTAATTAGGGTGTGAGGTTTCCCAAGAAAATAATGGTTAGATCAAGGAATCTAAATAGACTTTTTTCCAGCCAAACACTCGATGCTTCCCAAACTTGCCATTAGGCTACTACTGTTTGCAGACCTCTAGACCTGGTTAAGGGGAGCTTGGGGCCCACTGAATGGGTGCTCTCTTCAAGGAGAGAGTAGCATTTATAGGCTTCACTGAGTTAATTGAAAACGGTGGTGGCTCCAAGTGTGTAGGGAGTGCTAATCCTGCAGGCCCTATGCAGACTTTTTTATGGTACACATAACCCAGCAGGTTTTGATGTAAGAAAAAAAAATAAGGTTCCTTGGGTGTAAACAGTTGTAGTTATTGTAATTTAAAGGGAGCCAATAAAAAATGAGATCTGTACCCTCTTCAGTAAATAATAGCTACTTATTATATTGTTACTCAAAATAGTAATACAATTATTATAAGAGCACATGGCATGAGGCTGTTCTAACAGCCTCTGCAGATGTCTGGAGCCCTGAGACAGGCAAATCTCCGTGGCCCACCTTGTGCAGCAGGGTATTTACTGGCACTTCAGGTGGCTGAGCTATATGCTCAGGCTGATTCAGTGGATGGACAAGGAAGTGGATTTTAGGCAAGAAGTCGTGTTACAGCTATGG